TTCTTTCTTTCTTTCTTTCTTTCTTTCGTCTTTTTTAAAAAAAAAAAAAAAAAGAAAAATAATAATTAAAAATGACTCACCTATAGGGACCATGCGGAGTGCACCAAGGCCTCTTCATGCAGGGTAAACACTAGGATACTAGTTCTGTTGTCTGTTATGATGGGCTTGGCCCTCGGCAGGGTCTGCCCAGGGTGGACTACTAATAAGGGTAGCCAGCTCCTGCTTGCTTGCTGTGTCTTTGCGGTGCTCATCCAGGCCAGTAAAAGTGCCAATCTTTTCGCAGGATGAGGATTGTTTCTCTATTTTCCCCATTGCTGCTCGCAGCGGTTGCAGTCACCTCTCCCGACTCGGATAATAATAATGCGACTCAGGGGTCGGCTGCTGTGAGCGCAGCCAACATCCTGCCTGCGAATGCAGTGCAGGAATCGGCTGGGGCTGGCGACGGCAGCAATAGTGTGACTCAGGAGCCAGCAGTAGTGAGCGCCGCAAACATCCTGCCTTCCAGTGCAGCACAGGAACCGGCTGCAACTGACGACACCGACAGTGCACACTCCGCAGTAGCAGAAAGTGACCAAAGCACTGAGGGATTGGACATTCCACTTCCTACCCTTCCCTCATTGTCTCTGGGCGACATTCCTATCCCAACAGTCCCAATTTCCACCACTGTCAAGTCTCCCACGACCTCGATCGCCTCTGAGAAGGTCACAGTAACCGAAAAGAGCGCGGAGTCCACGCCCACGGCGTCCACGGGTGGCTCGGGGCTTGACCTGGAAGACCTCCTAACAGGTGTACTGGGTGGTAGCGGCTCTGGTGGAAGTTCTGCTCTCTCGGAGATCGAGGACGGGATCAAGAATGTTCTGAGCCTGTTCACACCATCGTTTATCACGGATGCCACCACTCTGGTCAGCCAAGCCTCCGGGTTCTTTGACAATGAGACGATGCAAGATACGAAGGCCATGATCAGCACCCTCGCCAGTATCAAGCCAATGCTCACGTCAAGCAACAATAACAATAGTGGAATTGAGGGGATCACATCGTTGATTGGCAATGGAACGTTCTTAAACGATATCGACAATATTCTGAAGGATATTGCCGCTCTACCAGCCATAATTGGCGAGATCATCAATATATTGACGAGCGATGAAGTCCAACAATTCCTCCAGGAGCTCCCTGAGATCCTGAACAAGGTCTTACCGATCCTCAATCCGGACTTAATCAAGGCTCTGGAGTCACTCATCACGGATAACCTGACACCAGAGCTGGTGAATGACTTGTCATCAACTCTGGGTGCTCTGCGTCCGCTACTCCATGATATTCAACCGATCCTGTCGAACCAGACCATGGAGCCACTTCTTAACCTCGTGACGACTATCATCTCACCGACATTCATTAATGAGATTGAAGAGGTGCTGAAGGCCTTGCCACCAATCATCAAGGATATCCTGCCTCTCCTTGGATCGGACATTATTACTCCGCTAGTGAACCTGCTCAAGGAGATCCTCACTCCTGAGTTCATCAAGCAGATCTCGTCCCTGCTCAGCGACCTGCCTGATCTATTCAATAACCTTGTGCCGTTGATAAAACCCGTGGAAGAACTGATTACCGAGATTATAACACCAGACTTTATTAACGAGATTGGGTCATTGATCAAGGCTCTGCCACCCATCATTAAGGAGCTTATACCTCTGCTTGAGCCTCTCGGGAACCTGCTCAAGGAAGTCTTGACGACAGAGTTTGTGAACGACATCAAATCATTAATTCAGGCAGTACCAGGTCTTTTGGACACCATTCTGCCGCTTGTGCCGAAGATTGAGGATCTACTCAAAAAGATTCTCACACCGGAGCTTATCAATGCGCTTGAATCAGTCCTCAACGCTGTGCCAGATCTGATCAATAGCATATTACCGCTGGTGCCGGACTTAGTGAACCTGATTAAGAAGGTTCTGACACCGGAGCTTATCCAGTCTCTTGAATCGATTCTCAACGCTGTACCAGGGCTCTTGAATACTCTGTTACCGCTCCTGCCGAAGGTTGAGGACTTACTTCAGAAGGTCCTAACGCCGGAGCTCATCAGTGCACTCGAATCAGTTCTCGATGCTGTGCCAGGGCTGATCAATAGTGTGTTACCGCTGGTGCCGGACTTGGTGAATCTGGTTAAGAAGGTTCTCACACCGGAGCTCATTCAGTCCCTTGAATCGATTCTCGATGCCGTACCAGGATTATTGAATTCTCTGCTGCCGCTCCTGCCGAAGGTTGAGGACTTGCTTCAGAAGGTTCTAACACCGGAGCTCATCAGTGCACTCGAATCAGTTCTCGATGCTGTACCAGGGCTGATCAATAGTATATTACCACTTGTACCGGACTTGGTGAACCTAATCACTAAGATTCTCACACCGGAGCTTCTACAGGTTGTTGAGTCGGTTCTCGACGCAGTACCGGGATTGGTGAATACTCTATTGCCTCTGGTGCCCAAGCTGGAAGAGGTGCTGCAGCAGGTCCTGACTCCAGAGCTATTATCAGCCGTTGAATCGCTCATTTCTAAAATCCCTGGTATCATAAACACGCTACTGCCACTGATACCCTCGCTTGAGGACCTGATCGTGAACCTTCTCACGCCAGAGTTCATCAGTCAGATTCAGAAGGTCCTGGCTGCAGTTCCTGGATTACTCAACGCCCTCCTACCCCTGCTTCCACCCATTGAAGAGCTCATTCCGAAGATCCTCACCCCTGACTTCATTTCTGCCATTGAATCGGTGCTCGCGGCGGTCCCGTCGATCATACAGGATGTGCTGCCATTGCTACAGGGCGATATCATCAAGTCGTTGGTGCAGATCGTAACCGATATCGTCACCCCTGAGTTCATCAGCGATATCAGCAGTATTGCAAGCCTGATCCCGCCCTTGGTGCATGACCTTGTTCCAATCTTCAACAAAGATCTCATCACGGCGATCGAGAAGCTGCTGGCGAGCATCATCACCCCAGAATTCATCAACGATTTGACGTCTCTGATCAACGCAATAATCCCAGTGGTGGGAGATATCATTTCTATCATCGGAAGCGATGCCGTGAAGAACCTGATTGCAGGACTGCCAGATATCATCAACGGTATACTGCCAATTCTGAATGTGGACATTATTTTGGCCCTCGAAAAGGCTCTCACTGGGCTTGTCACTAAGCAATTCGTCACCGATGTCGGGTCGGTCCTGGCAGCGGTGCCACCATTGCTGCACAGCTTGGTCCCCATTTTTGGCACTGAGCTTCTTGGACCTGTGGAGAATGTCATATCCACATTGTTGACGCGAGAATTTCTGGGAGACGTAGGAGGGCTGGTTGATACTGTGCCACCCCTTCTCAACGACACCATGCCGTTGTTCCACAAGGACATTATCGTTCCAGGAGAAAATGTTCTCAAGGATCTGATTACGCCCGAGCTCCTGAACAACGTTGGGTCTGTGCTCAATGAAGTTCCGGCCATTGTTCAGAGCTTGATTTCAGTTGTCGGCAGTGACGCGGTGAGCTCACTGCTAGACGCGGTGCCGAAGCTTTTGAACAGCCTTTTGCCACTTCTGAATGGAGACCTCATTTCCAACCTTGTAAATGATCTGACTGGTATTTTAACGCCCGACTTCATGAATGATATCAACACGCTTCTCTCTTCAATACCCGGCCTTGTACACTCCATCCTACCAATCTTCACTGGAGACACGCTCACGACACTGGTGCAAAACATCATCCCCTTGATCAAGGCAGTTGTAGCTGTATGCATACCCCCTCCTCTCCGAGCTTCTACGACGAATAATCGCTAACTTCTACCACGCAGTTGTTGCCATTGCTGACCAATATTTTGGGATCTATATGAGCCGAGATACATTGAGGCTTATCCCCGGACTTTCGGTGATGCTAAGCCAACCTCCTGAGTGTATTCTGGGAAGATATGCATATGTGCGCCTGTGAATGTGGGGTGGAAATCGGGTCAAGATGAGTGTTGACGTGGACGACTTGTCTATTGATGGAATTGAGTAGCTGTCTTGTTGCATATGACCCTTAACTAATGGTCTGATCAATAATGTAATGATTTATGTTTTCTGCGGACACCACTATGTATTTTCGAATTGTGTGGAGTCTGCTACGAAATCCCACAAAATAAATGTCGTATTGAAGAATTGTGAACGCCTGAAGGACCTACCCTAGATACTTACACGATCTCTACGCAATAAAATGCTCTGTAAAGAACTTTCAGCAGTTACAGCCAAAACCTCAGAGTGCAGCCAAAAGCTCAGAAATATCCTCAACACCATACTTTGCTTCTACCCCTTACAATTACCGAACTTGGCCTGATGGTCTGCATGTAAAAGTGTCTTGTCCGCAACTTCAGCAATTGATTGCGGGAAATGCCATATACATTCTTAGAAAGAGGATCATATTAACATACATTGGTGAAATTCTTAAAACTAAATCGGCGAGTAATAAAAAGCAATGCCCAACAATGCTCAGGGCTTGATCAACTGCCCACCCCGTTTCTTTATTCGCCTCCTCATCTGACCCATCATGTACGTCTTCGTAAACTGTCGTACGAATAGTGGCATGAAGGGGTAGACACCGGACATTCCAGTAATGAAGAGGCCCGAAATCACCCGGGAAGACTTCGTTGATTTTAGGAAGAATTGATCACGCACGCGGGGAGGCAACTGCTCGATAGTGAGGCGTTTCACAAATGGCATCGCGACAACAGCCAACGGCCGGGCCCACAGTGGAAGACCTTTGGCCGGGTGAAAGATATCATGCAAGACCGCACGGGCATCGGGTGTCACACACAGTCTTTTATTCACCATATCGTCCCAGTAGAGCTGAAACTCTGTGAGATTCTTTGGCCACATCTCTGGTGATACTTGAAGCGACGTCCCCATGATGGAGAATGCCTGATAGACTCTTTCGGCCCTCGTAGAACTGAGAGGTCCATAGATTAACTCGTACATATTGACCATAGTGGCATAGATCGTGGCCGCCACCCACACCTGAAGCTCGGGGTCTTTTGCGTTATATGACTGTTTGTTATGTTGCCCCACGACGCGAGAGTGGGCTTTATCGACGTATGCCTTCATAGCCGCCTTTTCAGAGGTAGAGCCAAAAATCATGCAGTAAATGTACATCTGGGTATACTCCGCCCGACTGATAGCGCGGGTTTTGAAGGTGCTGTGGTCTGCGACGCCAGCTCCTACCAAAGGGTGTGCGATTTGGAGCAGAATTGCCGCAGGGCCTCCGACAAAAGTGATGCTTTCCCGAGCGATCATTTGGAGCTCCATCATTGCCAGATCAGATATTTCAGGCGTGGAATATCCCTTCTCCACATCGATGGAGAAGTAATCATCCTCCTGGTCAATGTGCACGGCACTTTTTGTTTTCATGATTGGAATTGTGCTGGTGTAGAAACTAATTATATATTGTGAAGACGCGACAAATGGTTGAACAAAGCAAATCTTCAAGCAGGATTATATATGAGGCACTATCTCCAGATTTATAAGCGACATGCAACGCCACCCTTGTTTGTCCGTCTTGCTTCACCTTCAAAGATTGTCCTCATGACTGCTCAGCGGCGTCGGTCCGTGGAACCTGGATCAAGTAGCCCCTCTTTACCACAGTATATGTCCAGTCACACAGCGAAGTGTGGACTTGTGTATGCTGATCCCATGCTTCAGAAGGTGGGAATGGCATTTCCATGCGGGGATAAAAGAGAGTTGGCGAAATCACAGTTAGTAGCCACCCACCATTACATGATGACCAGCGACAACAAAGCCATAAGTGGTTGAATGAGACGTGATTGTATTGTGGACTCCGAAAGAAGACCTTGCTTGCCTCGGACCGCTCTGTGCTTTCGTCATCATCACGGAAATTCATGGACATGCCTGTGGTTTGAAGCCTGTTCATTGGGTCATGAAACATCATGATAGGCTGGTGAAAGCATGGTGGACTGCAGCAAAGGTAAACGACATTATTCATCCACCTAGACTTCATCAGTATGATTCATACTAATACTTGTAGACCAGGGGCCCACTTGGTGGATTTAACTTGGGCTTGCGTTTAACATTTACACACCCAAATACGACATGATAATCACACAAGCCCCATGTCGAAGCTTATCTTTGGTTGTATACCTGGGCCCCTTACTGAGGATCATAACATCAAGCCATTAGATATCAGGCTAATTCAGAGCTTGATGACGGGGTCCCCCACAGCTCCATCTTCCTGATGGCCTAGTTCACTTCGAACTGAAGGTCCGCGTGAATGCATGCCCCAGGAAGCCTAACAGCCTAACCAGCTCCCCTAACAGTTGCCGAGTCCATACGGCGGAATGAGTGATGCTCGACTCAGTCAAGAGAGGTCGCATAGTTAACTAAGCATTAATGAGTGCAATATTTCTTGCCTCTCTAACTTAGCTCTGACCGTTTATGCTTGGCACTGTCCTGTGGAGTGCAGTCACTGCCCTTAGCAGGTCACACCATGCTGATGAGCTGTCCGCTATACTCTACTCATTGTTTGCAATGTGTGGCTTCACTGCCCGTGTAGTTACCTCACAGATTGTAGTGATAGCAGCGCAGGCATTTCCTGGTGCATGTGTGGAGGCTTCTGATGTCCAAAATGTCTAGCTTTTCCAGGATTTAGATCCCCGCAGACGGCAAGCTCACACTTCCGTGGAAGAGGCAACTTTAAGCCTATAGGGTCTGGAGGTCAAACCGCGGGATCATCGCCCGGGCCGCGGGAGCCCTAGTTGTTCTCGGGACCGCGTTGATGATGGCGTCGATCATCTCTACTTTCGGTGTCTGTTGTCCATGGTATAGTGTACTACACATGACCTGTTGTTATAGCTATCCATGAAGGAGGTTGGTCCGTGACATGCCAGGAAGCGAAATTGCGCCATGGTCGCAATTCAGTAATTGGTAAATTGGTGTCGGGCTTCTCTAATGGACATCAGATGAACCTTGGTACTTGAACACGTTTCAATACGCACTCTCACCTGGTAGGTCTGTCATTTCTCTTTGTATTTACATTTACAGTATATAAGAACGATGCGACACTTACGGTACGTTCTTCTGCTCGCTTTCAGTATTGTTATGGGGACAGAGAGTATAGCCTGGAGAGGCCAAGCAGCTAATATCCGAGATTTACGGGACCAGAGGTGGGTGAGATGGTCATTCGCAGTTCCTGACAATAGTTACTGATTTACTCATTCCAAGATCCATAACCAACAACCCACGCATCCTGCTAGAGAACGCGGCGCCCTCGAATAGTTTAGCCTTTGATGTGCCACTAGCCTCGGACCAGATACTCTCAATACTAGCGGCACGAGCTCTTGTCGGGTTGATCAACTCACAGTTGCCCACCATCCTGGCCAACCACTCGCAAAATGATAACGCAACCACTGGAGACCCAGCTACGCGCAACGACACCATGAGCAATCTCCCTAATATTCAATTGTATAGGGGATTGCCAGGTGTCACGTATCCAACGGGGCTGTTGTTGGAAGGAAGCCTTGGGATCACTAGCGCCGTCAGTACAGATGGCATTAAGGGAGAAAATGCTCCTAATTCTTTCTCGACAGACACGATGCCCCAAGAAATTGAGGCTATGGTGGACCGCCTGTTGATGACTTTGAGAACACTAGGGGCAGCTATGCTTCTGTAGGTATCCCTGGAGCTGATGGGACTGAGTTAAGCATCGAGACACAAGAGGCACCGTGGCTAATGTGGAGTACGTGACAGAATGGTCATTGCTCTTGATTCTCGGTTTGGACGCCGCTTAATCAATGTATCAATAAACGAAATTTCGATCGTATAAATCATGATACGAGCCTGGATAACCTACAAACAATGAAAGGGCCTGAATGACCCCATGATCATCCCTGGGCCTGTCGTGGTCAATGACATGACCTTTCATACTTCGCACCCTATGAACACCATTTGAAGACCATGGGGTTTGTACCAGAACAGTGTTCCACAGCGAAAGGTACAAAATGCGCTTTTCTTGGACACAACAGGAGCGCTTCTCATGTCTTTATAATGAGGTAATCAGATTTTCCACCCGCTTGGGACACCGTGGCTATCTCTAAAGCCAGTCTGTTCCTGAAAGCCCATGCTCTCCGTCCCTACCGGAAAGGCCATCCCCGACCCATTTAAAGGGCCTTGCCAGGGTACAGGATACACCACATCCTCCATTACGGGCAAGCAAAACGCTGGGTCAATAGATGGCATTGACTGGAGAAATTCGAATCTGAATGCAGATATCTCTCTATTATCAGTGACCCCTGGGGCATTTTCAGCCCCTTTATATGGTGGAGACAAGGGCTCAGGCACATTCTGTCTGGCGTGCATTTGTCGCCCAGACTCGATAATATTCCTCGGGCTTGGCTGTGCTCTAGGAGCTATGCTGTCTACTGCGTTATTTTCTAGATGCCTCACCCTCGGCTCTTGCGCCTTCCGTTCAGTCTCCTCCAAGGACACCTTAGTCACCCATGGGAGCTGGAAGCCTAAGAATCCAGAGGCCACTGATCGCAGGACCTCTGGTAGAGCGTTTTCATGCGGTAGTCGGCCGGATGAAAGGGAGTAGTCGGTAGAGGTCGAGATAAGGAGGTATATACGGGGATAGTGTACAAACAGATCAAACCACCCAGAGGCGTACTTATCCTCAAAGACCTTCAATGTTGCATTTGAATATGCTCTGTCTCGTTGGTACGGATCCTGAAACCCAGATGTCTGCTCAGATTGGCGTCCTCGGGTACCGAGCCCTTCCGACATCTTTGTAACCAGGTGGAGGATCTCCTTCGTGCCCACCGCAACAAACTTCGTTACATCATAGAGTTCTATGAGGGCATTGTAAATGGTTCCGAGAGTGGTTAGCTCTCGCTGCCGTTGCAGGGCTTCGGCGTCATTGCGTGCAAGGCCTGCATCAATTGCTGCCACGACTATCGGCCATCCAACGAATGCCAGTCTGTTTATGGCGCAGCGAGTCAGTCCCATATACCAGGAATGGTGGAGAGAGTGTACCAACATGCAAAGCGGAATAGCTTCAATGTCCTTCGTATTGCTGAAGTACTTCAATACATTGTGCAACTCATTAATGGCCTCTCGGAGGTGGCCCCCAGTCTCCCGGAGCTGCATGGTGTACGAATGTCCGACAAACATTAGATTGGCTTCAAGAAGAAGGGCTTCGTAGTGAGCTAGATGAATATGAGCAGTGCTAGATTTTGAAGTTAGCCGGGGGTATGGGAGGGGTCTAGCTAATGTGCTACCTACTAATAATACACATATGTCATTTTAAGGAAAGATGTCACGGAATGAGGCATAGTGGAAGGCGTGATCGACAGAGCGTACCGTGACTCTGTCTCCCATTGACGCAATTTATTTCTTGTTTTCAGGACTTTGCTGATGCATGCCGGGAACTCTTTTGAGGGCAGGCCCATCGAAGAACCTTCATACGATGAGAATACCAGGGAAACCATGTCTGTAATCACGATCGCTAGACGGCATTGCTGTTGTAGAGCTGAGAAGAGAATGTGCTTGGTGTGCGCATCATATACTCGAGATTCCTGGATCTCCGCGGCAAAGTATGCCTCCTCTAATGGACTGTTCTCTGCATCGAAATCCTTTTGTGTGAGCTGGCTACGTCGGCGAAGGGCTAAGGAAATCCATCGGTCACGCAGCAGGATTGACCACCATAACCGTTTGATAGTCGATCTCTTCACATTGGCGGGTGGCTTCGGCGGTTTTCCCAGGATGGTCGCATTCTGTATCGCATTGGCAAGAAGTAAACTACCAATTTGAGGATCATCTGGGGAGGCTTGGTAAGAAAGCAACAATGCCCCCTGTGCTCTCTCCAAAAGTTGGTCCTCGGCCTTCAGGTCTAGTAGGAGCTGGAGAGGACTGTTAGTGTCCCAAAGTCTGGAGTCATGTCATAGGAATACCATACTCACCTTGGCTCTATTAAAGAAGGTATCCCCTGCCGTAGGCCTGTCTTTAAATCCACACTCACGCAAGGCCTCCAATGGCACATACTAGAAGATTTAGTTCATCTATCCCTAAAATCATACGAAAGAGGCGTACCGGACAACTTCGGAATAGCATTGCCTGTAACACCAGGATAGAGATCCCCTGACCGTGCGTTGCTGCGCTATCCCCATGCTGCGAGTACAAACCCCAGAACTCTGCCTCATCTAGTACCGGGGTACCTGGATGGATATGTAAGAAGTACCTTTTCACAAACTCGTCGAGAATCGGTCGTCTGGGTAACGAAAAACATCCTTTTGAGGCTAAGTATGAGATATCCCATTCGTCCAAACACGCCAGCGAGCGAAGGTCAAGGAATGGATAGGCAGAAGATTCCACATCAGAGGCCGAGATGGGCACAGCTGTCGGACTAATTGTTGCTGAACTGGCCACAGACAGCCTCCCGCCATTGTCTGGTCTGGTTTCAATGCTCTGCTGGGTCGGGGATGATTTATCGACGAGGGTGGCAGCAATCTGAGTGCCCTGCGGTTGATAGGAGGAAACCCGACTCTTGCCTTCGTATGAAAAGCCCTTGGATCTGTAAAACAGTTGAGCCCAGGTTCTTCGTCTCAATCTTGTCCATACAGGGAGAGAATGTGAGACATGTTACTTACAGCCTCGGAGCACGCTCGCGGAAAGTGCAAGCCTGACCATCCTGGAGGCACCTGGAGCAAGGACATCCACCAAACGATGCATCGCAGCGGACCTTCCGTTGCTGACACCAGACACAGGCGCGGGCGGCCCTTCGGGCTCGTGGTAAATACATGTGTGGATTGGCGCGTCCAAGTCCACCCCTATGCTGCGGACTTGATCTTGCCACTTCAAACTTGAGAGACGTACGACTTTAATTGAAGAAGTCGTTGAATAGCAATGTCGATGTTATGCGGGGAAGCGGGTCAGGTGAGCGAAGGATGCAGCCAAAATCATCCAGGACAGTTCCTTGCCCTAAGCAGGCCATGCCATGAACGAATGAGCGTGTGGCCTATCTGACTAAATCGTGTACTGCCTCTATCGCATTCGTTACTTAGTTGGGGGCTAGATCTTGCCTGCAAGGCCTAGGTAGCCCAACGGCTACAGTCTTGACCGCGGTGTGCCTGGACAGGGTGAGGGCTTAATCATCTCTTACTCGGCTGTGCTTGTTTGAATCAGCGTTCATGCGTAATTAGCCTGTCCTTGAATCATGTTCCTGACTCGTGCTCCCCTGATCCTTGGGTCAAAAGAGCCGGTGAAGATCATTGAGTAACTACATGATTGTCCTCGGCTCCTGCGCACGAACGCATTCTTACTGTGATATTCGAGATGCATTTCCATACGCGTGTCTTCGTTTGATCTACCAGCCCCTTATCCCTCTGTTCGTTCTATCTGAGTTATCATCCCGTTCGGCGTAGCGGAAATGCGATCGGATATCTTAGCGTCTGGGGTACCCCGCTGAACAGCATCAACTCGCTCACATGTGGAAGCCCTCGGTCCGCGGGCTTCATCGGATTGGATACCAGCCGAAGTCCAGTGCTGGGTCTAGTTTTTAGTACACACTCTACCACCAATGAGATGGCCCGACGGGCAAATTGAACTCTTGGCCCTAGACATAGCTTTGCATGGCCCCTCAATATCTCCTGGGGTGACTCGAGCTGTAGTATCCCCACCAAATCTGTGACGGTGCGGACACACGTCCCAAGGTTAGGCCTTGGACTTTAGAGTGGGTTCAACGGTGATAATGATAGTTAGTGACACGGATATTCATATGATGTAAGTAACAGATACTATTCTGCGAAGCAAAATTTCATTCATAATGGGCCTGCTCTCCACCGGAAGTCCCTGATTTTTTCACTCCCGAGACCGAGGCTGTGGTTACGAGAGATGTGCGAATGCCCTCGCGATGGGGGTTATTTCTATACCTATCTCCCATTTGAAACTAAAGTTTACACAGCCCATAAACCAAAAATTATCAATAACTCATCGAGAACGAAAGATGGTCTTCATCGAAGATCCAGCACCCCATTCTCATTCCAATCATCATCGCCTTCCGCTTGGTTGAAGCAGCACTGGTCTCGTGGAATACTTGTTTATAGCTTAAATACTGCATAGAGACCACCCACTAGCAAGCCACTAATACTTAGAGCTTACTAGTAGGATATAATATCGTACAGTAGTTGTGTCTAGAGCTCTGACTGGACTATTGGCTGGAGAGAAGCTTTGCTCGTTTCCACCTGACTCCGCTGCCAGAAAGCTGGACACTATACCAGTGGCATAGACCATCCTTGGTGTTTTAGGCTAAATACTAGCAAAGTCCGATGCCTTGGACTATCGGAATTATGTGGGTCTAGTTCTGGCTGTGTTTTCAAGGATGTATTTGGGCATTGTATAATAAACTGCATCGTCGATCAGTGTTTAAAAACCTGTTTTAGTTGGCTTATCGTATTTTCAAAACACTAGCAAGAGCTACGCCGGACAGGCTGGCTAACTGGCTGAGTCTTGAAGCTTCAGGCACGTTATAACCGAGAGAAGAGCCTCGTCCTGCGCTTTCGGGAGGAAATGTCCGGTCGTAATCAGAGAATGACAGGCTTAACATTGCCAACTGTGTCAGTGGTAGCTACAACATCTGTATTCTGGATCTTCCACCAGAGTGAGATAGTGATGTGATGTGGTATGCCGAAGCCGTACAACAACACCCGGAGTGACTTCCGCAACACCCCGAGGTCCACTTTGGATGGAGGATGAGATCATGGCATCCAATTGCACCCGCAGATCTTGGAGTGAAGCTCAGATGTGGTACATTGCTCGTCTCCACTACTGCTCAAACTACTACAGCTTAACCAGACAAGGGATGACTTCGTGCCGATCCACCCCCACCATTCAGCTCACCTTGCCGAAGCCACAGCGGTTTATGGGATTGGATCTCGTTTCTCCGGCTCCACAGTTTCTGTCTCCAGTGATTTGTGCGGTCAGGTCGCCTAGTCTTGGGTGGACAACGATTAGTGCATAGTACTAACTTCGCGGCGTAGTTGGTATATAGCAACCCTGATGGATCACCATTGTCGCCGGATCTCAGGAGATGGGCCACTGCCAGATCCTCAGCTACCCCTTCGAAGTGGGTCAAAACACGGACGTGGCTGGCGTGCTGGAATTTGAGTTCACGACGTGGCCATCGTGAGACCGACAGGATGGACCAGATTCGGTGGGTCGTTGCTCGACTTGTTCACATTGTGCATACCGCTAGACGGCATTAGTGGTGGGGGGATTGTATCGGTAAACAACGAGGAGGGGTAGCCCGTCAATCAGATTTTACAGCCATCACTCCCACAGGCCTTGCCTAAATCTCTGTCTACCTTGCGATTAGAAAGAAGAGCGGTGGGTGTGGTGAAAAAACTCAACACCAAAGATTCCAGTGCATTCTACCTTAACCGTTCACCATGCCGGACCATTCCATCTCCTCTGAACTCACCCTAGGGAGACTGGAGCTCCCAAAACACGAGATCGAACAAGACCTGGAAGACATCCAGTTCGAGCCGTTGAACAACTACTTTGGCTCGATCGTTCGAAACGCGCAGGTGAAATTCCGCGACGACGCCGAGGCGGAAGCACCGGAGGATCTTCCTTATCTTGTTCATGGGGACTCCGAGAGCGATGAGGAACAGTTCGACCCTCAGCGATGGATGGCCACAAGGCGGTTTCTATCCAGCAACTCAGGCTCAGGCTCGCTGGGTGAAATCACCGTCGGGGGTGCCGTTGTGGAGAATGTCTCTTTAGTCGTCCCCAAAGATAGGAATGGTGGTTTTGGCGACCTTCCTGTGTTGCCTATTACGGCGGTGGGGCAGGAGAAGACAGAGCTGGTGGCCATCGTGGGTAACGATACAGAGGCGGGCGCAGCCACCAGTATTCCCATTTTACTTATGCCAGATGAGGAAGCGTATGAGGAGGAGTCGCCGCGGGTAAGCGGTGGTGATAGCATGTCGCGACTCGCAACTGCTTCGGTTCTTGCGAACTTGGGTACAAGTGATACCAAACAGAAAGCAAAGCCCCAGGCAGAGCAGGACCCAAAGAAGGAGGCCGGCGATGGCACGGCGACAGATAAGGAGGTGACGAAGGACAAGGGAAAGAAAGAGGAGGAAGGCAAGGATGAGAAAGACAAAGTTGCTAAGACCAAGCTGGATAACTACGTGGTCTCTGGGGATATTAAAAACCTGTTCGGTATTAAAGGGTTGAGGGGGAAACTGTACAAATTCAAGGGTAAAGCTTCTACAGGCGACGAATCTAAGACCTATACTGACATTCGTTTAGGCCCTGAAACTAAGGAGGACAAGGACGAAACGAAAGACAAGAAAGAAAACACGAAGGAAGGCAAGGAGGAAGGCAAGGCAGACGCGGAGGATCAGCCAAGTGAGGTTGATGAAGGAGAAGCCGAGCGCAAGGCCCAGGCTACAGGTAAAGAGACCCTGGATATGAAAGCTGACAGTGATAATAGCGGCTCCAAGGAAGACAAAGCTGGAAAAAAGGATGAAAAGGGGAGTAAGGATGAGAAGGACAAGAAAGAGAAAGAGAAAAAAGAGCCAGCTCGCGAGAAAGTCAAGATTAATCCAAAGAGTTTGGCTTTGTTGGGTAAGCCTTTGGGAACACTTCTTCCATTCCTTGAGAGTGAAGAGATCAAAAGCCTACCCATCGAGAACCTCGAGTTCACTTACTGTGAAGAGAAGAGCGGCGCATTTTTCCCTCCTGGTCTGCGTCTCGAGGTCGATGTCCCACTCACGGGTAGCCTGCAATGGGCGACAGATGCATTGCAGAAGATGTTCGGTGAGAAACGAACACCCAAAAAGATTCATCTGAGTGCAGACCTGGGTAAGACTAGGGACTGGTCTAAGCGACCGAAAGTGGAAGATTTTGCGCTGCGAGGTTATTTTGAGGATTTTGGATGCCAAACCTGGGACATTCTGCAATTCAAAGCCCTCGGGCTGGAACTTACAGCCACGAAGGCAGCGAGTAGGAAATCCAGAGGCAATAAAAAAGGAAAGGATGGCAAGGATACGGAGAAGAAAAATGACACGGGCGACGATGAGAGCGAGGAACAGGTATCTCACAACGCTACGAAGGAACAACCGACTGAGGAGCCAGATAGGACTCAAAGCGATGAGCCGGAGGCTGAAGTCACGACAAAGCCGGCATCAACGGTGCAGGTTGAACCTGACTCTACGGACAGTCAGGTAAGTTCATCCTTCACTTCATTCGCCGTTTGACTCTGAGTTGACCAAGCCCACTCAGGCACAGCAAGATGATGCGAAAGGCAAAAGTGAGGAAGTTGGTTCTTCTAAGCAGGACAAGGAGGAGAAGAGTGCATCCAGAGATAAGAAGAAGGACAACAAGGATAAGAAGGACAAGGTGAAGAAATCCTATAATTATGGTTTCGGTTTCTTCGGAACCGTGTCGTTCATCAAGGTTCCATACGCTAAGTCACCATTGGACTTACATATTAGGATTGCTAGAGACTTTGAGGTAGAGAAAGAGAAGAAGGAGGAGGCGAAAAAGGAGGAAGGAAAAGACGAGAAAAAACAAACAAAAGAAGACGAAGGCGAAGAGAAGAATGAGGGAAAGGAAGATGCGTCGAAGAAGGTTGAGCCACTGGAGAAGAAAGACGAGCCGAGTAGTGACACCAAGAAGGCAAGTGAAGACACTGAACAGATTGCTAAGGATGCCATCACTGCGGATAGCACAGCAGATAATGGTGGCGAAAAGGCCTTGCAGCCGACAGAGAGAGATAGTAAACCGAAGAAGGCCGAGGAGAAGAAGCATTCGGATGGTAGGCATAAGAGAATGTGGAACGTGGTGATTTTCTGTGACGAGTGGAAGGAGATTTATGGTGTCAAGAACGTCTCAGTGAGTAGAATAGCGTCTCGATTGGGATTTACTGTACTCACCGCTACAGTTGAAAAAAGCCGAGCTCAAGTGGTCATTCGAACAAGGGAACTTCAAGAAAACAATGGCATTTGACCTATCTGCCGATATAAAGCTCGGCGCGGGGAGCTTCAAGGTCAAGGGCAAGGTCTCTAAGGGTAAGTAGCCCCTGGTCTTTAGTCAGAACTTTTATGATGTTTAACAGCCGGGACAGCGGACAGCTTTATAGATGCTGAACTGGGTGATGTCTCGTACAGCGACTTTAAAAAAATACACGCTCAGATTCAGGGTAAAGACGTCCCAGAGGAAAAGAAAAAAGAGGAGAAAGAAAAGTCCGCGGAAGAGATCAAGAGTGAAAGCAAGAAGAAGGAAGAAGAGAAGAAGGATGAGAAGGAGGACACTCAGGGCAACGAGGTCACGTTTAAGAAGATCCGCCTCAAAATATCTACACAGTTCATCGAAAAAGAGCAGACCAGGGTAGGATCCTTGTTATTTGAGGGCCACGTCACTTTCAACGGGAAGGCTAGCGCAAAAGCTCTACTCGAGATCAAGAGGGATGGCTTGACTATTTCAGGAGGCCTTGCTGACTACCAGATTCCTGACACCCCTGTTACCATTGAGCAGGCACGGATGCACATTTTCATAGGTTTCAATCGGAACAAAAAGCAAAAGAAGATTGAGGGGAGCGAGAAAAATGACAACAAATCAATCACCGATGCCCCGAGTCAAGGAGGAAAAAGCAGCCAGCCCGACCAGGGTGAAACAACGGCAGTTATTACAGCTGATGTAGACTCCAAGTTTGATGAGAGTGACACCAAGGACGTTAAAAAGACCGATGGGAAGGAGAAGAAGAATAGACGCGAGAGTGAATTTGCAGTTCTCGGTGTTGTTAAAATCCATGAAGTCACACTATCCGTCGGTCTCTATATCGCACGCAAGAATGACAAGGAGAGCCGTGATTGGCTTGCCTTTGGCAGTGTCGAACATCTTACATTGTCCCAATTGGTACCCGAGCTTAAGGACCCGCCCCTTAATCTACAACTCGACAACATTGCGCTCATCGCGTCGTCAGAGGATAGGGAGATCACGGAGGAAGAGGAGGAAAAGAAGGAGGACAAGAAGGATGAGAAGAAGGAGAAGAAGGGGGATAAGGCGGAGGAGAGTAAGGCGGGAAGCAAAGAAGGAAAGAAAGAAGACGGGACTATTGATAAGATACTAGACATGAAGCAGATTATTTCGAAACCACAGGATAAGAAGATGGGGGGCCAGAAAGAGGACAAGAAGGACGAGACGAAAGAGCAAAGGAAAGGGGAGAAGAAAGCGGACAAGAAAAAGGACGAGAAGGACATTGATGATTCCCATGCAGGTGTTCTCAAGCAAGTCGAATCCTACAAGTACCCTATCCGGAAGGGTAAGCCATGACATTGTGCTTAATCCAAGGTCTGATCTGACTGATTAAAAAGGAGTGCAACTATGTGCGACCATTCGGAGATTTGACGCCCTGGAACAACTTAACGACAAGAAGCCAATCGACGGCCTAATATTGATCATTGCCTTTACCCCTGAAGGACTCGAGATCGGCATTGACCTGCCGAAGACCTTACAGGTAAGAGGTGTACCATGCGGGACGTTTGGTAACAATCATCCTCCCTGACGATGCATACATAGGTCAAATTGCATGACGATGCCATACTCGGTGACTTCGGGGCTAAGGTTCTTGCTGCCGAGGGAGCCCTTGCACTATCTGCCACATTGACACTGTCGGTTGATGACCAAAAGCCCATCAGAGTTATCGGCGAAATTAAAGGAAACGCCTTGAAAGCGAGTGCCGATTTGTATGTTCTTCTACCAATCAAAAGGGTCCGCAGAGATTCTGACACTGACATACCCCACAGCTATATGCATCGGAATGATAAGTGGATCAATCCATTCCAGTTGAACGAGAAGGTGGTGGTATCAAAACTAGGTCTCGGTGCGGGAATCACATATGCCACAGTGTGTGCTACAGGACCTGAGTAAGCCAGTCATCCAACGGTCTACGATAATTGTACTAACATGAATCAGTAACATGTCTATCGCGGGGAGGATTGACGTAGGAAAGGACTTCCATGCCGAAATGGTCCTCAGCCTGGGGGCGAAAAAAGAACAGGTGATCTGCGTCGACATATCCGAAATCAACGTATCGAGGCTGGTTCAACTGGCTGGAGAGATGACAGACATCGTGGCGCTGCAAACCCTGAACGGAGGAGAGGACTTCCTCGTCTTCCGTGACATCAAGTTCTATATGTCCACGGGCGGAATGGTCCTTGGCATCCGCTATGATCGGGGCATACATGTCAGAGGCATGATGGAATTCTTCGGCAAGAAGGGCGAGTTTAATGGTCGAATCCGCGAGGACGGCGTTACGATCAAGGGAGCCATCGATAATTTCAACATCGGCGGCCTTGAAGTTCGGTCAGCCAGGGCCGAGGGCGAACGGGCGACGATGGATATCGAGATGACAGGCGAGAAGCAGAAGGTCCTGGTGGATGGGGTAATCAGCTTTCATGCCTTTGAACTGAGTATCTTAATTGACGCGTATCTGCAAGACAAGCGCTTAGAGGCCGATATCTCCATCAAGTTTACTGAGCATATACTCCTGCGTTTGAAGGCAAACGCAAGCGTCTCCGATTTCCGATCATTGGACGGAATTGTGATGAACTTCGAGGCGGAGATTCGCCCCGATGTAATCGGAGCAATCTTTGAAGCAATCAACCAGGCCATAGGTACACTTGGAAAGATGGCATCGGATAAGATTAAGGAAATCGAGGAAGAGCTCCAAAGACAGGTGGACGAGAAAGAATCCGAGCTCAGAAAGATGGATGAGGGTCTGCAACGTCTGAAGGAACAAGTGGATAAGCAGGTACAGAAGCGAAATCACCAGATCGACGAAGAGAGCCGGAAAAGGAAGAATCTAGAAGAAGAGCTCAAGGGGCTGGAGAAGGCAGTAGAGGCGGCCGAGGCAGAACAGAATAAGAACGAGCGCGATATCAGAAACTTGAAAGCCAAGAAAGAAAAGAAGGAGCGAGAATTCGATGACAAGATACGCGAGAAAGAACTCGAGTACCAGCGTAAAGAACAGGAAGAGCGCGACAAGCAGAAAAAATGGGAAAAAGAACGGGAGAAACTAGAAAGAGAAAAAGAAGCGTCCTTCGGTGATGCATTGAGGAGTAAAGAAGAGGCCGACCGCAGCTGGGCCTGGTGGGTGGGTAAGTCGATGTCTCCCTTAATTTCATGATACTGGTAGCGCAAAGTTGTACTCACCATTGTCTGTCCACAGCGGAAGAAGATCGTCTATATAAGAAGATCCAGGAGAACAAGAGGAAAGCATGGAAGGCATGGGATGATTGGGACTGGGGTGGCGCGAATTACTGGGTAAGACAGGGCATCGGGTTCCATGAAGCATCAATCGCTAATCATCCTGCCTTCTAGAACTGGGTGGTGAAGAAGCAAGAGCTTGAGCTAGAATGGATGCACGGGAAGAAAGCAGCTGATGCTGAGGCTCGTCATGCCGCGGAGAAAATCCTCAGCACTCCTTTATGGAGGACAATCGAGAAGGGTCTCAACGAGGCTGCAGAGCAGATTGAGAAACATGCCAAAGCTTTAGAACATATCATCAACGGTGAAGGCTATAAGGCTATTCAGGCACTGCAAAAGGATAAGAGAAGGGAGCTTCAGAATCAGATTGCGACGCTCAAAAGGCTCGAAGAGACCAGTAAAGAAATCGAGACGAAGCTCAATGCAGCCCGCCAGGCGCTGAAGAAAAACAAAGGTCGTATTACTCAGGAGGAGAAGACGCTGCAAAAGGAGGTCGAGAGGTTGCAAGGCGAGCTCAAAACGAGGCCCTTCGAAGATGCGTATAAGGCCAAGCTCCAGGAGCATGAAAGTGTCAAGGCTCAGATGAAGAACATCCAGAAGAAGCTTTCAGAGATCCGATCGGGAATCGACAAGGCTACGAAATCGGCGCAACGATATGTTCATGTGCTGAAGCAGGCCACACCAGCGGTGGAACGCATTCTTGTCACTGGTTCTACTGACGTATTGGCCAAGAATAAGCCACTGACATTCAAGATTGAGGCCCGCTGGATGGGTAAGCCAGTCCACGCTGAGGTGCAATGGGCACCCGGATGGAATGTAGCCGAGCTATATGATCAAATTGGCTTGAAGGTACTGGAGGCTGCAGGCGAGAAAGCCTGAAAAGTTCGATTGCCGTAAATATGGTGCACTCGACTTGCAAGAGGGAAGACAAATGCATTCTTTAACTAGTCTATCAATGTTAAAAAGTATTCCCGTGATTCAACAATGTTCCCGTACATTGGCATATCTCGTAGCCAGAAACAATAGTCCATTCTTCTCAAGGACCGAGGATGCTTGGGACATGTGCCTAGCCAGCCACCTCCATCACCCTCTCGCTACTGGTTTCTGCCCGAGTTGGGTGATGCTCCCTCCATGCGAGTTGGAGAAAAGACCTGCAGTGGGGAGTGACCAAGCCTGCTAGTCTGTTGACTCTATACGGTGGGGCGAGACAATCCGAGTCACTGCCCCTCCTCGAGTAGTTCATCCTATATGTTGAATTCAGCCATCAAACTACGAGTGGGAGGCGCGGCACAATTTCCCGTCGCCTTGCCTCGCGTACATACCATCCGGCCAATGTCGATAATAAAAGCAAGCATAACTGCAACTTCAAGATGGAGAGCAATCATCAATCAGGACTGAACGATCTTTATTTAGTCTACATCCAAATGGTTCGGTTATATGTTGCACCTTTTATGATTAACAAGCTGTCCTTGCTGCAAGGGGTATGCGCACAGAGCATACAAAGTACTAAACCTTCATCATGGTGCAAGTGCTAATGCCCGTCAGAATGCAACCGGCCTTATATTAGTGCAAGTGAAACAGGACTCATTTGCCATAGTAGTGTTCCAATTGACTACCTATTGGAATTACTGGATGTTACTAATTAGTAGCCACGGCAGAGCCAGTTTCGAAGCAATAAACTAGTACTACTTCTAAGGATAGACGATAATGGGTTACTTGAAGGAAAGGAATAAGGCAGACTTCATGTGCTCCATATGAGACTTGATCCCTGCCTTATCTTCTAGGTATTCACTTACAGTCCTGCTATAATTTAGTTCACGAGAGCACAACGCCCATATACCACACGACCGATTATCTCGCTGGCGGCGGCCATTGAGAATTGCCACAGACGCATCTCTTCGTTGCCATCTTCGGCCACGCGCCTGTTGTCCGGATTCTACTGGCTCATGGGGCAGAACCAGATTGATGAACAGAGGGGGGAGAACATCGGAGCAGGAGTCTGGCACTCCCTCTTGTACGTACCAGAGGGTTTACAACTATAATATATACTCTGCTAACTGGTGCCCCAGAGTTAAAGATAGACAGTTACTATATCAATCAAGTCTATAGCCAAGTTCCTTTACTGCAGTCAATTAAATATAGCCGTATATCAATCGTACTCAAACTGCTGGATTGGGTGACTGATCTTTGTATACCGCTTCGGCAAGGAATACCATTCAATTCCTCCACTGTTGAACCTAATGTTGACCCTAATGCAGTGGGTTCTGTTAAGTGAACCTTAATTGACAGGTGTCTCCGTTTCCCATGTTGCAGGGTATTGGAGCCATGAAGGTAGGATATCCTGACAACAGCAATGCCATAGGTGGGGGTGAGGACCCATCGCCATATAGAAAGACAAAAAAGGCTCATAAATCTGAAGAGTAATGCTATTCCGATTCTATCAGTGCCAACCGGACGTGCATTTTCCCATGAGAAGGAACGCATCATTTGAGGGCCTGCAGGCTAAGTGCATATTGTTGCCACACCGAAATCCGTATATACCTCCCGACATGGTCAGAAAATAGAATAGCTTTAACGAAGGCTTGGGAACTCAGCCATAGGAACTAAGCTGAGCCACCCCTTCAAAACAGGGCAAAATAGGTGTTAAACTGTGCCTCGGTACAACATGATGGTTTCCGTGACTGTATAGCTGGACACCAGAGGGTATACCAGGCGGGAGACAGAGCCATATTCTGCCTACCGAAACGCTACCCGAAGAATCGGAGTCAAGGTGGACAATGTGGAATTTGTACCACTATCGATTAAACCATTAAGGAACTCCACCTCGCAGTTTCTAGACTCGTCACTCACTTGCGTTGGAATCTTTTCGTTAGCAAACCAACCCCGAGCTCGAGCCCGAGCCCGAACCCGAAATTCAAGTCTATCTCGACGTGTTACCCAACTCTCCGTACTATCCGGGAAGTTACCTAGACCGAGGAGGCTGTCCTAAGGATTATGTACTCGGCTTCGGGCTCATAGTATATCAATATCGATGGGTCGCCACATTTCCGTGCCTAATATTTAACTCGGCGTTATTGCAGGCGCAAAGGAGGAAAAGGGAAAAGACACTTCTCTCAAATTACAGGGAAATCTCAAGGTTGAATTATTACATAAATCCCTCCATCCTAAATTGTCTTTCTCCTACTCGATATCTGCGCCTCAACTGTGTGATATATTGCAGACAGCCAGAACAAACATGACCTCCAATTTCGAAAGATTAGTGCGGTTTCGAGACAGTCAAGGTCAAATCCACTATGGAGAAGCCCACAGGAACGACAAGTTGGTCGGCACACAAGTGCCTATCTACGCCGGTTGTGTGCCATGGGATTTACGTCGCACCACGCAAACAGCCGAAATCGTCGAAGTTCTCTGCCCATTACCCTCTGTCCCCATAATCTATGGAATTGGCATGAACTATAAAGGGCACATCGAGGAGGTGAAATTGCCCGTCCCGCGCCACCCGGTGATCTTCACCAAGCCACCCGATGCTCTCACAGGACCATACGATGATATCCTGACCGACAGTAGCTGCACCAACTTGGACTACGAAGGCGAACTCTGCGTCATAATTGGTAAAGATTGCAAGGATTTCACCAAGACAACTGAAAACCCTCTAGACTACGTGCTAGGATATAGCATTGGGAACGATGTATCGAGTCGATTTTGGCAGGAACCAACCCAGTCAGGCAACCAGCATGGATACGCCAAGTCCTTCGACAAGTTTGCACCCATTGGCCCAGTCATTGCTAGTGCAGAAACTATCGCCAGTCAACACCATATGCAGGGGGGTAACCCCGATCTTCAACTTCGAACGTTAGTCAACGGCGAGGAGAGACAGAACAGCCGGACCAGTGATTTGCTCTTCGGGCTCAGCGACATCTTAGAGCATCTAAGCCGTGGGACCACAGTCCGGACAGGAACGGTTATCATGACTGGCACTCCAGAAGGGGTGGCTGCTTTTATGGAGCCGCCTAGGTGGCTACGTTCGGGAGATGATGTGCAGGTTGAAATCGAGGGAATAGGGAAAATCAAAAACAGAATGGTTATTGCATAGTGAGATATAGTGCGGATCAAGGCAGCGATGACCGATGTTAGTCACGCACAGTGAATTGATCAGACGATGGATGGAATCTCTATATTAACATAACCATGCATACTTCGTCTCTTCCCTAACCGCAGTACAATTGTCTATAGTGCGATGATGTGTTTCAAGGCCTAGGCTTTTCAAGGTATTCTTGCGTAGTGTAACTAGAGTTGAGGTTTCGAGAAAACCTGCCAATTAAATTCGTATGGAGCTATATCCACTCCCAGTTGTACTTCCGACTACTCCGTATGTATAAAGCCTTCATGATCAGCCGCTTGTACGGCAGATAATTGTAGGCATTTTCCTTTGATGGTAAGACGTTGAGTGGCCAATAATTGGGATGGTATAATGGTGCTATAAAACCCAAATATGCATAATATTTTTCTCTGTTGCCATTTTGACCAGTTCCTATGCGTTCTGTGGGTTTGTTCTCCGTTGTTCTTCTTTCATATACGATGTGGACCTTTTAGATAAGAGGGCACAGGCTATAGGCAGCAAATATACTATCTTTGACTAGTGGACATGTACGACGTTACAAAAATTGCATTAGGAGTAGCCTCCGTTCCCAGGGCTTTCTCCCTCCATATTCAGAGTAGAAGATCGTGTTTGCCAGCATTTTCTGATTTGTCTATGCCGAATCCAGGTCTGGCGGCCCTCGAGGTCCGATTTCGTTTCGCCGCTTCAAAACCTTGTCATCCTCCCCCGCTTTAAGTTTCCGAATCATTTCCTCCGGGTCAAAATCAGTACCAATCGGATTCTCAGCAAAGGCTTCCGTAGACATGAACTGATTGGCCTCGTCAGGGGTGTCGAAGTTGTCCACTTGTGTTTCCAAGACATTGCCATCCGGATCCTTATAGTAGATGCTGGTGGTCGGACCATGATTAACACACCAGATAGGGGAGATACCACGGTCCTTGCGCTGGCGGTAGCTCAACATCAGATCCGAAAGTGTCGCGTAGGAAAAGGCGATGTGTTCGAGCCCGTAGCTTGACCGGACTCTGGGGCCCTTCGCGGGAAGTTCGAGCAACGCGATGCGATGATGCTCTTCATCATAGGTGATGAATGACAGCACGTCATTCCTGTGTGCGACTCTGCCACCCAAGAATGTGACAAAAAAGTTTTCCATAACCCTGACATTGGGTGTCCGAAGTACAACATGGGCAAGCGTCGAGGGACTTTGCACCTTGGGGGCAGGAGCATCGAAATCTGGAGTCTCCATGGTGGACAGACAAAGAATGAACAGTCGATGTGTATATGACCAGCCAAAGGACTAATAGCGTTAGAAATGAGTGGAGTCCAAATAGTCTTCCGGTGACGCCTGGTATAGATATACTGGAGCAACCTTGGATATCATCCGGGGTATCTGGTAAAAGTTCGTTCGGGTTCGGGGTTTCTGTCGGCTTCGGGTTCGGGCTATGAACTTCTTCCAGGGCCTCGGTCTCGGTGATTTGGCTATTTTCTAAAAGGATCTTATTACTTTCTTCAGTCGGATAACAAAGGACTGTCTAAAGCGAGGGCGCAGCATTCCTGCTCATTCCTGACTGTAGGCTAGCGGAGGGGTAAGATGATTCAAAAGCAATACTCCGGCCTACTGCATCCCATATCGCCTTTCTGTCACAAGAAGTTAAACCTTGGCATCGTTTGACACAAATATGTCGTATTCACTGAAAGGCCGCAACATTCTTATTACTGGTGGCTCAAGGTAGGTGTTGTACACATAATTAATGATGGTCTAGAAATGACTCCGTATATCTAATCTGTGCATAGAGGCCTAGGGGCTCTTGTTGCAGAAAGGTTTGGGGCAAACGGCGCTAATATTGCCATTAACTATATCACGAGTGAGGATCAAGCCCGGAAGGCAGCATCCAAAATCGAGGTAGAATCCAAGGTCAAGACTGTCGTTATCCAAGGCGTAAGTCTAGCAACTTCTCTTTCAACATAAATGCCCCAGCAGCGACATGAGGAATTTAGGATAACCTGTGCCTAGGATGTCGGATCCCAAGAGGACTGTGTCAGAGTAGTTAAAGCGGCAATTGAGAAGCTGGGTGGTCTTGATGTCGTGATATCTAATGCAGTATGCATCTCCTTCCATGGCCATCGTATTATTATGATATCGTGTTGATTGTATTAATAGGGTTGGACAAAGTTCGCCGAATTTGGAGACTTGCATGCCTTGAGTGAAGACGACTGGGACAAGGTTGGAACCCGAATATCGATAAGGTCAAAATGCAAACTACTAGCTAAGCCAAATTCTAGTGTTGGGCAACTAACGTGAAAGGCAACTTTCATCTCTTCAGGGAGGCTTTACCTACTTTTAATTTAAATCCTGAAGGTGGTGCTTTTATCATCACTTCATCTACAGCGGTACAGGATGTTTATCCCAGAATAGGCAATCATCAGCTAATTTGAGATTAGGCTATTTCTGCAACGGGGAGTAGTATGGCATACTCAGTAACAAAGGCAGCTGGTATGATGCATCTGATGTGGTCCCTTTTGAAACATATACTAATGTATGTATAGGACTACACCTTATGAAAACCCTTGCTCAAACACAAGGGCCAAAGGTCCGTATAAACGCAGTTTTGCCAGGTTTGTTACTCACCGAGTGGGTACGTGCATCGAGTACATCAATAGCTTCCGTCACGCCAGCTCTAGAATATCAAGATTGACATCTAGAATAGGGTCAACGATTTTCACCGGAACAGAGGGTAGCCTATGAGAACCGAACAGTGTTAAAACGAGTGGTAAGTCATACGACATCAGAATTGGAACACAGCAATACTCATCAAAATACAAATAGGCTACTTTGGAGGATTGTGCTGATGTCTTTATAACACTTGCAACGAATATGTCCATCACCGGGCAGTTAATCCCAGTGGGTAAGTCGTACTCCATCATTTGAGGCACGAGGATATGTTAACCTTTGTATATAGATGGAGGGTTTATCATTAGGTGATTATCTATCCATCGAATATTCTATGGTGAAGTTGTCTGAGGCGAGGTGCCTATTACTTTACGTCGTCTCCGTTTTCCACAGAAAGGCACTAGTAGAATGCCGAGTATTCAGCAGAAAGGCATAATCAAATGCCAAAAAAACAAAAAAAAAAAGAAGAAAGAAAGAAAGAAAGAAAGAAAGAAAATGCAAACGGGGAAGAGGCAAGTGACACGATACTTGGTATCTAAATGGATGGAAGTCTTAGTATATTTAGATGAATAAAAGCAATTCCAGCTATATTGCTCAGCAAAGCGGCTTGTTAAATGATACCTGCACGGCAAGGGCCTCCATCTGTACCATAGAAGGCCCCATGTACTAGATCAATATATTCGGAATGGAGATGTGCCGAATCAGCAGGATTCCAGGTCCTATTCATGATAGGCAATTGACCTGACTAACAGGGTGTCACTTTTGACACATATTTTAACCAGGCTAGCTCCTACTCTAATAGATCACATTACCCTATCCTTGGAGCCGTCCTGGCCTTGGCTGCAGGCCACTGTTTGAAGAAGCCTTTGATAATAGCATCTTTCTACGGTCTTTGAATGTTGTTGTTGTGCCTGCAAGGACCTACTTTGTATATACTTTCATACTACGGCTGTACCTGAAGAAGAACTGTGGAAATATTCTGCGTACAATAAAGAGATATTGACAAGCTATAGCTCACGTCCAACAGTCATCAGCCCAGTCTATGTCAAACCTTCTAGGATCAGCCTGCAATATGTACAGCGACATACATGTAGACGTTATTAACAAACACTCAGATATACATTCACATATAAGACCCAGCCTACCCGTCTGAAACTGACTCCACCATAGCATGTTAAATAAACACCTTTTTCAGATCACGTTCCAGATCCGTGTAGTTGCTCATGGAAGGACCGAGGCTCCGCCAAATAACAAAGTTATCGGGTCGCACAAGGATCGCCCCACCATCAGTGATTCCCCGGACCTTGGCCCAGACGCCGTCACAGTTCTGGTATAGATCGGAATGGGTTGACTGAGGATGCGCCCCGATGGCCGCAGTTCCAATACGGAGGCCATACTTTTTGGTCAGGGCATCTGCTGCCTTGATCCACTCATTGCCCGCTTCATCTGTGATCAAGACCAAATCATGCTGCTTACCTGAGCCGATGAGGTCGTGCGTTGAGATAGTCTTGCCACCCCGTTCGATCCAGGCGTGTGGCAAGCGGTGCCCAGGTCGCGTGGTCGGCACATAAATCTTACCTCCTGGATCCTCTCTCGGAGCAGTAGTGCCGTCTGGCACTACAGCTCCACTAGAGTATACGAAACCTAACTCGATATTATGTGCGGAAAATTCGACATCTTGAGTATTAAATACGCGTTGCAAATGATACCGAGCAGTCTCTCCTTGAGGAGAGTCCTCAAAGAGGCGTGACAAGCGTTCTTGGTTGTTAGCTCTTTGTCCGGGAGCCAAACCCAGTGCAGCATTGAGGACAAAAGTGTTGTTATAGGCATGGTAGGCCCAATCGCAATTACGTCGACCAATTGGGCGGCGCTCAGCATCGTACGTGTCGAGCAAGGGTGGTTTTGCACGGCCATGAAGAACAAGCGCCAGCTTCCAGGTCAAATTATGGGCATCTTCTATCGCGGTGTTTAAGCCCAACCCGGTTAATGGTGGACGCCGGTGGGCAGCATCTCCGGCGATAAACAGACGACCTTGGCTATATTTCGTGGCCAGTCGTCGCTCCAGGATCCAGTGGCTGACCTCCAGAATTTCAACTTCAAGTTCTGGAGCCTTGAGCAGTTGTCGGATCTGGGGCAGCAGATCCTCCGCGGTGTACGTTCTGTCGCTGACAGGGTAGTCATAATGGAAGACCCATTCTTCGGAGTGCCGATTCCAGGTTGGACCCATTTTGATCAGCGTGCCATGATCAAACTCTCCCTCGGGGTCGGGATTCACATAGTGCGTGATCAACGTGCCATCTAGGATGTGTTAGGGACATATCCACCCATTCACCGGTAAAGGCTAGCCACTTACCACCACAATACTTGGACAAATCCGCCCGGACATACGCGCTTGCAAATTTGACGATGTTAGCCGGCCCTTCCATCTCAACACCCATCTGGGGGCCGACAAGCTTTCCACCATCTGCCCCAATGAGGTACTGGGCCCGGTATGTTGCGATTGACCCGTCGGACGCCTTAACGGTCACAATGACACCATCGCTTTGCTCACTAATATGTTGGACCGAATGGCTGAAGAGAATCCGTCCCGGGTTACGTTCCTCCGCCACCTGCCGGAATACTGGTTCCAAACGAATTAAGGGCAAGTTAGTCGACAACTCTGGCCCATCTTTTCGGTAAGTTTCACCCTCCGGTGTGCCGAGTTGGCCGCCAAAAGCCGGCATCGTCGCCAAGAGGCGGTTGTCAAATGGACCATTACCTCCAGGCGGGGTACGCCAATCGGTGCGACTCAGGTTCCCGGTGGGACAGCTGGTGGCTTTGATATGTTCGGCAACATTGTGCTGGCGGAAAACCTCCATGGACCGCTGGTTGATATAGTGGGCCCGGGGGAGTCGCGATGTTCCCGGGTGTTTCTCAAACAAAAAGTGCTCCACCCCATGATCAGACAAGAAAATCGACGTTGTAAGGCCGCAACCACCGCCACCAACAATCACGACGGGGACGTCAATGACGGGTTCGACGATGCGATGCGTGCCATTGGCGATGGAACCCATGATTTTCATGCGAGAATAATACAAAAGATGTAAGAAATGCTGCGACTTCGACACTGTTGTTCGAATGACTGAGTCTTTTGGCCACTGTTTCAATCCACTTCATCTACTATATAAACCGCCTTCACCTTGATATTCATCCGGTCTGATGATCTTCAAATTCCCAATCGGGTTCGGGCTCGGGTTCGGGCTTTGACTCGGCCTCCGCAGGATCAACCAAGCATTGACCAGATTAGACAACCCAAGACGGGACCTAAAGAAATATTGGCTCTATTGAATTCCCCGCATCTGGTCGGGAATCCTGCCAATGTGGAGCTGGTTTTCATGTATTGCAGCCGTAGCAAATGGCGGGGGTTTCGCCAAGCGGTGATTACCCAACCCCCTTTTTCCCCACTGGCCAGGGATTTCAGATTTCCAATGCCTTTGTGACTGACTTGTTCCTTCGTCCGACGAGATTATGGCCTGCCGAAGCTGTCGCACGCGCAAGGTCAGGTGTGACCGAACCCGACCCTCGTGTAAGAACTGCATGCAGCGTGGAGACGAATGCATCTACATCGGCGAACGGCGGAAGCGACGGAAGCTGGACGATGGAAGCGCGGACTCATTGCCTCAGGACGCACACGAACGTCCACCGACGGAGCCTCAGGAGACGGCGTCTCCTCTAGTGGTCCGTCACAACCAGTTTCTCTATATGAGCGATTTGGGCTCTGTATCAAGCAGCACCGGTAGCGTTAGAATAACGGTGGCTGAGTCAACTACGGACCCATGGCAGGAGGAACTTCTCGATCAAATCCTGGATGGCGACGATAGTGACCCTCTCAGGGACCGCCACCCAGCCATATGGATGCGTACGGACGATGCAGAGGAGTACTCGGGTCCCTCTTCTGGAATTGCAGGCATCTCGGACTTGGGGCTAAAGTGGATTCGGAGTCGCGTCCCCGAGTCTGACGAATTGTGTCGCACCATTGAGTACGTGCGAGAAGGCCTTATGACGCATTTGCGACAATGCATCCCACGACAATCGTTTCCCAATCCCGAGATGTCTGCCGTTTGGACGGCTCTTCCACCACCGCATACTGTCCGCAAATATGTGGACACGTATTTCTCGACCGTGCAAACGGTCTTCCCGGTGATCGATGCAGTCCTTTTCGATGAGATGCTGACTGAATGGTACCAACAGCCTTCATGTCAAAGTGATTCCTGGAAAGCCCTATTAAATGCGGTGCTGGCATCGGGGTGCCGAGCCGCGTTATCGAATGACACGGCGTCCGCCTTCCAAATTTCTAGCAGCCAGTCGTGGGGGCTATTTCAGAATGCCCTTAACTACGAACCAAAGCTGGTGCATAGTACCACGGATCTATTGGCTGTCCAGGCACTCGTAGTCATGGTTGTCTTCGCACAGGGCATGTCGTGCTCACAACGACTGGAATACATTCTCTGCTCCACTGCCGCACGGTTAGCACATAGCTTGGCTCTCAACCGACATGTCCCAAGAAAGTGGCGTATGTCCGAACGCGAACAGCGTGAGCGTCACCGTCTGTTTTGGGTGATTTACTGTCTTGATAAGAGCATCGCTTTGCGCTCTGGGCGACCACCGGTGATCCATGATGAAGACATTAGTTGTCCCTTCCCGCGGGATGTCCGATATGGAACGGCAAAGGTAGTCTCCATGGAAAGGGAAGTAAACACTGAAGAGGTCTTCTTCGATTTTTTTCTTTGCTTGGCCAAGTTTTATCGCATATGTAGTCTTATGATGCAAAAGCTATACTCGACTCTAGCCCTCTGTCAGCCAACATCCAGGCTACAAACTGTGGCGAATGGAATCCTGACGCGTCTGGAGAAATGGCGTGAAAGCATTCCTGAGCGATTTCGACCCGGTCAGTCCTTCTCCCGTCTACCTATGGGTGGTCTTCTTCTACGCATGCAAGTGCTGGTGCTGCATTTCTCTTATTATTATGCCGTTTGTGCTGTCTACCGCCGCTTCACACCTATGTTTCTACAGGGCAATGAAGAGGATAAGGCGGCAGAATGTACTCCGCAAGGCTCGTCAGTCACACATATTGAAGCGGCTAGGTCGATGGCCCTCCTAACAAAATATCTCGATGTAGAGAGCTATACCCCCGCTTGGTATGTTGAGATAGATCGATTGTCTTTATCCTACTCCTCTATATTCACTTCTGACGTCGATATAGGCTCCTCTTTTATTATCCAACAACTGCACTAGCGACTATATTTATGCATACGGTCACAGCGCCATTGTCGGTATCTGCACTTAGCGATATTGCCCTGATGGAGGCCGTGGCCGGCTTTTTCGGTCGCCTCGAATTCATGACTTTTGGAGAGGCTGCGTTCACCAAAACTAGCGAGTTCGCGCGTCAGGCACGATGTATCGTAGAAAAAGCTTTGAGCCAGAACCAGAACAAGCGACGTGTCCTCGGTGAGTCTACCGGGCAGAAAGAAATGCTGCATCCATCCTCGGTGGCGCTTACCAGTGAAATGAAAGATACTCTGGGTAACCGACGCCCAGGCATCACGGTCCATGATAATGAGGAGGATCTCACTAACCCCTCGGCCCAACCGATGGTCCTCGAGCAAATTACCTCGACCTTGTCAACCCAGCTGAGACATAGCGACTTGAATTGCACAGGTTCGCAAGTGACTGATCCAATCGCAAACAGGTCTGGGGGCGGATGGAATCCCCCGGATTTTGGACACACGCCTTCAAGTCTGTGTAATCATATGACAGACGACATCGATCTATCTTTTGTACATCTCCCTGGTGGGCATTTGTCGGATGAATGGCTATCTGCAACCCGGCTAGACCTTGCTTGACCTCCGCGTCTCAGGCAAGAACACAGCAGACCAACCTCTTGAACTCTACTGTTACCGAACACAATTGTTTGACGAACCATAACTCCTGTTACATGGTAATTAAAGTAAAGAAACCCCATTCTGGCTATCATATCTTTATAGTGAACTATCAAGCTATCATGTATTTAGGAACGATGGCCTTGGATGCCCTAGGCAGAGCAGTCAGATAGTGGTATTTTGCAATCATGACTGATCGCATCTTCACCCGAGCCTCTTAGCTCGCAGTTTTCGATCGACTACTTGAAGCTTCACATTTGCTGCTTTCACTTCATTGATAGGAACCAAGCCTGTAATGCTTCGTGGGCCATTATTTCGACGTCATCCTACTTCTAGCCACATCCACAGTACCAATCGACCGGTTCTCTCACCCAAAGGAAGCCAAGGAGGGAGTCAGGCAATGAGCTTGAGCTTCAATCGCCATCTTTCTCCCACCTTCCCAGGAAATCTTCTTTCGCTCTGCCGTGTCCCTCTAGTCTATAGATCTCGGAGAATATCGAAGGCATATTTGAATTTAACTAAGTCTCAATCCCTGATAAAATGACTTTCTTAATGTCCACCTTGTGCTCTCTCACTGTAAGCTGATGCGCCCTTGACGGTGATCTGAAATGATATGGCACGAGAACTTTAACACATATTGCAGCAACCTGCTATGATCTCTGAGGATGGAATATCGGTATGGTTGTTGTAATATGTCTTACGGAACTCTTGGTCCTGATCCTGTAGCAAGTTTAAAAAATATACAGATACACCTCTTGCAGAGCATTGTGGAGACTATAGTTTTGATATACAATGGAGTTGTGGAAAGATTGGGGTGGTCACGTTGAGCCATCTCGATTGGGCATCAATACTACGGGGCTGAGGGGTTGATTTTACAACCCAATAAAAGCCAGAACCCTGTATATACTTTCTCTGAATTTGATGTTTCTCGTAGTAGATAATGTAATGGGTAGGCCAACCGCACACTCCTGTATTCTATATATCGTGGCACTTTTATAAACCCAACAAGCCGTACCAGTGCACAAGCATTGCATAATTCTCCTGTGTAATACCCTATTCAGTCTTGTAACATATAGCTTCACACGGTGTGAGAACTATACCCTTGGCATTTTATATGGGATCCCATATACAGCCATTTTGTGTTCTGCAGTAATTCAGATGTTTGGTCTGGTCTGTCTTTTGAGCACTATTCTTCACTGTGTATATCTTTTAATTACTTTGCAGCAGTCCAAGCCTTTTAACTGACCCTATTAACTTACCCTAACCTAGCCGTTTGCCAGTCTATCTAGATTATTTATATTCAGTGGCTTCTCCTCGGCACCACTTCACATAACTGTTTTATAATAGGTCTGGTCTATTATAAATGTATTTTACGATGGTATTCGACACGCACGTATTCTGTACAGAACTGGTGTCACCATCTATACTCTTTGATTGTTTCAGCAACCTCTGGTGTAAACCAAAGCTATTCCACGGTTGTAAGTCGGTGGTGGCGAGTCACGGGAAGGTGACGGATCTTTATCGGCCCGAAGCCGCCAACACGCCCTGCCAAGGAATCTCCGTATATACATATTAGTTGGACACCAGTGGAGCAGCAGCTACGTAAATTGAACCATTCGCTTCACATCTACCGGAAGCTCACAATCGAATTTCTCTTTATTTGTTGATAAGATAAAGATAGACTATATTTACTGACCTTCGCCGTGGGCGAAGCAGCATCCTCAATACTGCATTTCAAATGAACACGCTTATCCGACGGTGGTTGCTTTGCTCGGCATAGACTAGTGCGCCATTCCTTTGATGGCCGGATTGGTCGCGGAGCAAAGTTGCCGCCGCAGTTAGGGCAGACGTTGGCTAGTTTTGTCTCCGCGCAGTCAGCGCAGAAGGTGCACTCGCAACAACATATGCGCACCTCTCTTGACGATGGTGGCAGGTCCTTGTCGCAGTATTCGCAGTTCCGGCGTAGTTGGAGCATTATGATAGCTTGAATTGTTCCCTGCCAACTACCTTGATTGCATGGTTTTTTTGCGTCAAAATGGTGCCAGTGGTGTAAGTAAACCACCCTGGGGTGTGAGTAGGCCTAGGAAATGACCGCAGTCTAATTATACAAAACATAAGGGATCATGAATGAACTGAGTCAACCTGTCCTAGTGGTAAGAGCCCGTCTCCTTAGTTCGACATTATCACAAAGTGATTGACGAAAAGAAAGTTGATTTCCCAAGTCCTACTGTCAGCGATGGGACTCCAGTATGTCATAGCCTTGCCAGGTCGGACGGTGTGGGTATCCGCCGGCAGAATGGCTCCGAGCTAATCTTTTATGTATGTAACAGACATCGTATTATCTCCGAGTGCCACTCTGTTGTTGCAAGGGCAGTTAATAAGGTTTGAAAAGTGGGTCTTGAAATATATGCTTAAATTCCATGTCTGGTAAGGTTTCAAATATATGGTTCATGAAATTATATGACGACCTGTGCCACGGTCTAGTAGCTGATAGCCGGTCTAGGCTTTGTTTGCCGTCCGATCTGTGGAGTGTATGGTGCCTATTGGTGTAGCGTGCATCAGCTGAGCACATGGTGTACGCGGCTTCAAGCCCTAACCAAGGATTGTCGTTAGCCATCACTCCAGTTATAAACCTGTGCCAATTGGAACTATTTTGACACGACCCAGCCGGAGACACCACCAAGAATATAACTTTTTCTTAGTAGCCACTTCTTCAATCGCACAAGACCGACGGGTTTATCCCAAAAGAACTGAGTTACAAGGTCGACTGGCCATTGGCAACACAGTCAGTAGGATCTCCCCCCCCAGCCATATTTAACACACTTTGGGCACCACCAGGTCAATCCACAGGTCAACCACGGGATCCCTGATCATGGGATATACTAGATTTCTCAGGTGCAGAGAAAATAGTCGATCATCAACGTCATCACTTGGAAATAACGGCGAGAAACAGCTCCGTCCCACAAATTATGTACTTTCTCCTCGACATCTTGCATGTGACAGGCTCAAGTTGCGCCACTTTTGAACCTAGCTGTAATCTTATATGACTTCATATCTGGCCACCGATCAGCATATATATGGGGAAGATGTCTCTAGAAAGATATGAGAAACGGCTGCACAGGTCCTGAACTCGTCAGGCAGGAAACCCAAAAAGAACATCGCAATCTATTTTCCACAACCAGCATACCCAAGTTGATGATTCTCTGACGCTATTATGTACATTAATATAGCGCCTGCAACTCTTATACTATCCGTGTGCGCTGCTGCTGTGGCTGCTACAGCAGCACACGGACCCAAACCCAAACCATGTGGGACATACACCACAGGCGAGCTCTGCACGACAGATCCCGCCTGTGAGTTTATCTGCGCGAACTGGTGTGCATATCATTGCAGCGGCTCCGCAAATTCTCCATATACGTTCAAGTGCCAAAAGGGCTATTGCGAATGTACTTGTTACACTTAAACGGCAGACGGTATACGGGTAATCCTGCCGCTCAGGATTATCCGGACACAAGATGTGCAGATGTGTACTTGTGTTCGTTAAATGACGACTATGCTGTTATGAATTTTCTTTTCCAGGAAAAGCTGAGACTGTCCTGCATTATGATTGTGGCTTGTGATGTACCGGGTGTATATTTTTGCAGCTAGGGCACTGAGGTCTTATTTATTAGGATGCGTTAAAAAAGCTCGCATATATGCTATCTAGTTCTCTTTTCTTAATGATCAGTTTGATGCATAAAGCCGATTTACTATTTTTGACCAGCTCACTCTGTCCAATCCTCTTTCAACACTTATCTCCCTTATAAAACGTAGCTTTGAGAGGAGCATTCTCGGTCCCATACTGTATTTTGCATATTTCGGCAATTCCTGAACTGGTGGTAATTGAGATGATCAAGATGCTAGGCCTGGGAAATCGACGGCCGTGGAGGTAGAGTGTATAGAAGGTCCGTGTAATATACAGTATTATGCATTATATAACCGTTCTAGAAAAAAAAGGACAGGGACCATCACTTGAAACAGGGTATCCTACGATTAACTCTATATGCTGGAGTGTTTTGTAATACGTTGCGCCAAAGATTTCGTGTGTGTGTGTGTGTTGGTGGAGGGGCAGAGGGGGAGAATCTGTTTTCGACTCTGAGTGTACACCGTTTTTGTTGTGATACTGCAACACTATGCCGCATTAGCCATTATAGATGTATAGCTCCGCGTTCATTTTCAGTATTGAATTAAGTGTTATGAGGAGGGAAAATATGGACGAAATCGCCCGGTGGCTGAAAGGAATCCCTCCTATGGAAGATAGTTGAGTATATTTGATTCACACTCCGGCAGGCCACCCTGGCTTGGTGATAACTGTAGCCCTTTCTTTGAAAGGGCCGGCACATTACCTCTGGTCCTACTGATGGCATTATCAAGATATGGAACATTAGAACAGGACCGTACCTGAACCCTTCATGTGTAGAGGAGCCAATCAGTGCCCTCGCAGCTCATAGATACTCGACTTACTGAAATAAAGCTCTTATTCACTAGGTCTGAGCTTCCAGCCTTGCCGCCCGCTCGTTCCATGACCTCCTGCTGTCCTTCAAAGTCTCGAGAATGCATTAGTTGGTACAACCTTCATGGAGTCATTGACAAAGATCACCCTCAAACGGTTTGCCTTGTTTTCATTGTTTTGGGTACCCATTATATCAGTTAATATCGGACAGAAATTGATCATGGCTTTCGTGCGCGTCTGCATTGTTTTGCCTGAATCTAAAATGGGAGTTTCTGGGCAACTCACTGTGGAGATTTGGTCACGGGCGTTGCTCGGACTTTAACCCTAATGATCGATCGGGATGTCCCGCCAGTATGATATCGGTGGTGTCTTATATAAGTAGGATGTGGCCATTAAATCGGCACTTCTTTGTACTGAACGCTCATTCTATTATTCGGGAAGCCAGTATATTATACCACTTCTGGGCCTCTTTCGCTGTTATAAGCAACATTATGTTTCTTATAATGCTACTGAGTAGTACATGGTATATCCTTCCAAATTTGTTGGAGCTGAATGAGGCTTCGGGGCCAGTTAAACATGATGGACTGTCCCACGATATTGTCAGTATTTTTGAGAGACCGATGTCGGACGCAGTATGGATTAAACGCTGTGGTTAATGCGGCAGACGGAAAAAGATTGGTTGCGGCTTTTATATCCGAGCTTCGATTCTCGACTCTGATCAAGAATTACTGATCTAGTTTATCCAATGGTATCTTTTAGAGGGAAGGCTTATGCCTTTACTGGAGGTGTACTTGGAATCGAGCTGAAGATGGCTAACTTGCTGGACCGGCTAGGAGCTTTGGTATCTCTGCGCGATCTTTAGATAGATATAGTGGACCAGTATGAAACTTTATTATATGATTCAAAGGACCATCTCTTCACAAAGAAGGCCGGCGTTTTAAGGCATAGAGATGTGGAGAGCTAGACCGTTGATACTGCTACAATATCCAGTTGACTAAATAGGCCGCAGAATGGATTCCGGGCCAATGTAGGTCGCTCGGACTCGCTCCTTCAAATATCAGATATTCTTCATAAAACTAGAATTAGGGTTTGGTGTAGACAAGATATATCCTGATCCAAACGATAAGCAGAGCTCAATTAAACCAGAGGGAATCGTCTCGAGAGCATCCGTTTGGCCCTGCTCTTAGAAGGCTTGGTGGCACAGTAGACGAGCCGCCGCTGAGCTGAACGTTTTCTCGATGAAGTGACGAAGCCAGCTGTATCACTGGGGCGAGCCTGTGTGTCTGCAATGGACATACCTGGTATCTATGCACCGGCTATCTTCAAGTCTGGATAATTCTTTTAGCACGGAATCTTCCGAGGATCCGCCGCGGGGCTAATCGGATGCCTTACCGGCCACAGAGCACTTCTGTCATTTCCACGACATCAGGTCTACGTCCATCATATCTCACGTCCCCACCCATACTCTCAGAGCCACATGATGGATGGTAGTCTGAATTGCCGATAAAACGGTTGTGCATGCACTAGAATCGAGATGGGCCTTGGGGTGCGACGGAGATGACACACGCATGATCTCAGAGTGACACCGACAAACTCTCAGCGGTCCACGGCGTTCTGCCTCAAAGCCAAGAAGCTATAACACCCCTTGCGCTACCGTTCCAACTTCCAGATACTATTGTACATGTCCAATTCATTGATCCTCACAGATCGTATCAAATATCACAGTCGCAATGTCTCGTCAGTTGTGTATCACCTCCGTGGACGGTCACACCGGCTTCTTGATTGCGGAACTAATCTTGACGGACAATAAATTCAAAAAGACCATTGGGTCCGTCACCGGCTTGACACTTCATCCGGATGCCCCGTTTTGCAAGGAGCTATCCAAACTTGGCGCCAAAATTGTTCCGCATAAACCCGGTCGACTGAAAGAGATGGTGTCATCGCTTCAGGAGGTTGGAGCCGATACAATATGTCTCATCCCCCCTGCGCATCCCGACAAGTTTGATATCACAGAAGAGCTTATCGAAGCGACAAAGAAGGCCAATGTACCGAATGTATGCTTTCTCAGCTCCGCTGGTTGTGATCTCGCAGAAAGAGACAAACAGCCCAGACTGCGAGAATTCATTGATTTGGAATCCCGCTTCATGGCGTCCAAGGGGGATCCGTCGACATCTACTGGCAACTCTCCAGTCATTATACGGTGAGTGACGGAATCCCGATCGCATGTTCTATCTAATCCGTTTCGACCTTCTTTGCAACCTGTTTACGCATAACTAGACCTGGCTTTTACGCAGAGAACCTATTGCTCTACTCCCGGCAAGCGCAGGAAGAAGGCATACTTCCCCTTCCCACGGGTAAAGATCATAAGTTCGCTCCAGTCGCTCTCGGAGTAAGTATCTCGGACACAGGGAAGGCGCCATACTGACTATGCTAGGATGTGGCCCAAGTTGCTGCCTACGTTCTCACCGGGAAGGGCAAGCATGGATTCAGCGACAGACATAGGGGTCAGTTGATGGTTCTCACAGGTATGAATCGTCACAGATCTTTGCTGCAAAACTAACTGGCATTACCACAAGGCCCACTACTCACTACTGGTGATGAGCTTGCCTCTGCGGCTAGTCAAGCCCTGGGTGAAAATCTGAAGTTCGAAGACATATCGGAGTTCGTATAACGTATTGGTCCGCTATTTTCACAAATGTTTTCTAACGTCAGTCAACAATCCCAGGGCGGAAGCAAAGAAGGTTCTCCACGCGCAGTCGGCCAGCGATGAGTCTGAGGTTCAATACCTTCTTGAGTACTACTCCTTGGTCCGTGAAGGCAAGACCAACTACATATCGACCACAGCTTTCCATGATGTGACGGGTGGGCACCCACAAGAGCCTCCAGATTTCTTCAAAACCTACGCACAAGAGTTCCATGCCAAACGTGGTCACAAAAAGCGGAAACTGAGTGGGGATAAGTAACGTCGGCGTTTCGTTTTCCATTGTCTGTATTGCGAATTTGTAATTGATGCTTCATGACTATGGAAACATAATCATTTTTTCCACTCACTGTCAAGGATGTGACGTCAGATTGATATAGTCTAGAAGGGATTAACTCGTTCTTTGTGCTCGCCATTGGACAAAGAGTGCACACAAAGGTGGCGTTGGCTCTCCAACCTTTGTACTCATCAGCTCTGACGTGAGGGCTGATCATCATCCTCAAACTACCAGGTCATAGACTACAGTTGCATGTTTCATTTGTCGAACACATTTGTTGCAAAGTATCCGATCTTTGCGATCCGGGACGTATCAGCCCTGTCTATGAATCGCTAGAACATGTCTAATAGATCCATTATCTGATTTCGACATAGGCCCATGGTTCTCTTATCTATCGCCTTTGTTCATGGACCATCACAAAATCGTTAGCTCGCCAGTCGTGTCTCTTTCAAAGTCGTATAGCCAACGTATTGACGTGCACCTGTGATCCAGTCGCCAGTACAGGTTAAATCACGCTCGTTGGTACGGTCTGCTGCTTTACGTACAGTTATGAAACTAACTTCGTTTCCCCTGCGGTAAGATTAGTTCAAGGGAGAAGGATTTGGTAATCGCACAAAGCAAGCCTAAACACGGTTCACTTACTCAATGCATGGATTGTGTTCCGTATCGATCCAATCCGGAGATAGGGCTTTACGGGTTACATTTTAACGGTCAAACGGTCAAGTGGCTTACGGCCGAGTATGGCATAAAAGGCGCGCGCGCTGCGATGTGTTGGCACCTGCTTAGAAACCGCTCGACGAGACTATCGGGCGAGTCTCCATGTTTACAGTAGGTATATACATCCGAACAAGTTAGTCATACACAGTTAGGGGTTGAGCATTATTCGGATATTAGCCAGACGCAATTTGGCTCGAAAGCCCGATAGCCGATAGTATTCAAAGCCCGACACATCAACTGAGAAACGGAGAAGACGAAACCGGCATTATTGCAGAAACGAGTAACTCCGGGCCCCGAAGTATCAGTAATCCAACAATCAGCTTTGGTAGGGCTTGGATGATTTTTATCATGACGGATATCTGGGCTTCTATAAAGCGGACGAAAGCTCGGGAGCTTTAGACGAAGGTCTCCAAGCAAAAGCATCATCTTCCCTTGTGATTCGAGAACTTTGTTTGCACAATTTAGTCACTACACTTTCCGTCCTTGGTTTCTATCGCTGCAAGATGGCCTGCACGACTCATGACGTGGTAATTGTGGGAGCCGGTCCAGTTGGACTCTTCCTCGCTTGTGAACTACGCCTTGCCGGTCTCTCCGTTCTGGTGGTTGAGAAACGAAAAAGTTCTGACGGCATGGCAGAGACACGTGCATTTGTCATGCATGGTCGATCTTTGGAAATACTCGCTTCTCGTGGTCTGCTTAACTCTTTCCTTGAAGCAGGGCAAAAAACCAACTGGTGGCATTACGGCGTTCTCGACACTCGACTTGATTACAGCGTCTTTGGCCGTGAAACAAACGAGAACTATGTGCTACTTGTTCCTCAGTACAAGACCGAGATGGTCTTATTCCAGCGCGCCGTGGAGCTGGGTGTACAGATACTCAAAGGTGTCCATGTGGATTCAGTAGGCGACTTGGGGCCTTCTGTCGTTGTGAAGGGCGCCTACTCTGATAACCGGCTATTCACTGCCACCGGGAAGTACCTCGTCGGTGCGGACGGCGTTCGCAGCACGATTCGCAGACTCGCCAAGATTGAGTTCACTGGCAATCCACCTGTTAATACTGTCATGAGTGGAGAGGCTACACTGGGCGCGGCTATGCCGAACCCTTACATTGTTCACAATGAGCACGGGTTGGTTATCGCTGCTGATCTGAAAGTCCCCAGCGGAAGGACCAGGCTCAATGTGTTTGCGAGTGATCGTGGCACGCTTCCTGAATCAGTTGAAGTGACTCTGGAGGAGATGAATCATAGCCTCCAGAAAATTACCGGTGTTGACTACGATCTGTCAAACCCCTGTATGCTAAAGCGCTTCAGTAACGAACAACGGCTGGCGACAAGGTATCGCCAAGGCCGCATTTTTCTTGTCGGAGATGCATGCCATAAACACCTTCCAGCCGGCGGTCAGGGTTTGAATGTCGGCCTCCAAGAAGCTCTGAACTTAGGATGGAAGCTGGCGGCCGTCATCTCCCAGTCTGCCCCCGCTTCATTGCTCGATACGTACGAAGAAGAACGATGGCCGATTGCCAAGGCCGTTGTTGAAAACACAACATCACAGTCCCTCTTATTCTTTGCCTCTTCTGGTCCCGAATGGGCGGTCAGGGCAGCGGTCGACAGGCTTCTGTGTGTACCAGAGGCCAATATGAGTCTGGCTAGGGAAATTAGCGGATTTTCTGTCGCCTACCCCAAGTCGCTCGGCATGATACTCCCAGATGGATGGCAAGCCCTACCCGAGAGCATCCAGGGAAGGCGTGCTTTGAATGTAAAGATGACATTACCGGAGGGGGTGGTCACTGAACTTCGTGAGTACACCCAAGATGGGCATTGGATCCAGTTGCACCTCCCTGGGAAGCATACCATTGAACTCCGGCCTCCTCCGGCATTTGGTAGCTGGACTACGGTGGTGGAAGCTGTCGACATGCCGGATGAAGAAGCGAGGACGAGCCTGTATATGTGTGGAGTTAAAGAGATGCTGATCCGCCCGGATGGCTACTTGGCCTTTGGTCGATTAGACGAATAGGGTTGGATGCAGGAAAGGAGGGGAGGGGGGCTATTTCTTAGTCGTCACGGAGCAATATCCTATTTCAAGAGACGAGAAAACAAAAAGCCCAGGCACCGGAAGGCAAAGGATGTAAGGTGAAAAATGGAAAAAAGGAAAAATGAATATAAATATAAAACTAGCAAATCAGGGAGTTCCCCATTTTGTGCGTGTCTGTGTATCTAGCTAGATCTGTTAGTACCCATCCTTTAATTAAATATAGTGAAGTATTGACCGCAATCATTACAAGTACATACCATTGCTATTTGGGCTGGGTAGGGGAGATTAATGGGATGTGTTGTGCTGAAAGGGATCCTGAGTCCGACAAGGATGTCTATAGTAACTAATTTAGTAAGCCTCTACGCAACATCCGTGTAATGCCAATTTTTTATCGCTCTCTGGTTAGATAGCCCCCCCGGCAATTCCAACGCAAATACTTAGCTGGCTCGTCTTCCCTGCCCCTCTTTCCTTAAACAATTCTTGCATATCAATATAAAGCCGTCTCACCTGAATATAAATAGCCCACTCGTCATGATTTCCATGCGCTCGAGATCAAGTCCCAGCTACCTGTAGTAGGGGAAAAGTAAGGTGGTAGGCCAATGAAGCTAGCACATTTGACAAGTACCGGTAGGGGGGGCTTGTCCCTCCCGGGTGGAGTTAAGCAAGCAGTGGTAGATATGACACGATACTTCTCCCATAGTGGCTGAGAGAGTACATGCTGGGTTAAAGGTAATGATGTTTCTCGGAGTACTCTGAACTCTCTGGCTCTCTTGATCCACGCTCCTATGGCATAGTGAGCGTAGAACGACTTGTACATCAGTCTAAACCAATGAACATGCAAACCGCAACTCAAGTTAGACTTCGTTTCGAAGCGATTTACCTACGTCTTCGCCTGAAAAGTCAAACCATATTCACTATGATTTGGAGCACTCCTCGTACTCTGGTCAAAATGCCTCTGGCTCAGATTTGAGCCGTCGTGACGACGGCCGAACAACAAATCTTGCCGAGTTCTGATAATGCCGATAACACCGAGACTGCCAAATACGGCAACTTTGACCGACTGGCATGCAAGCGCAAGCTCGGCGTTTTCAACATTTTTCTCGCTGATAATTTTATGCCTGCTGATAGGAAGAAAGTACAACCAGGAGTCACTGTACAGTTTGGGGTTGGGGACTGGTATAATGGGAAACTGTAGATCAACATAATACTTTCAACCGTAGCCGCCCCAGCTAAAAGAAAAACTCCGAGTAGGATAAAAGAGATGAAATGAATATATCCCGGTCGGAGTGTAGTCCACAAAGACAGAGCCATACAGATAGTCTATCCAGTAACCGTAGGGAATTCCGTGATGTTACTCCAAAGTCACTTTTTTCGTGGTCGCAGCAGACGAGGAAGCCTTGTTCTCTCCACTGCACAGTTATGGATACTTTGAGCTACAGTATGACAGAGGACCATCCAGTGGTCGGTGGTCGGTGCGCGCCCATTGCTCTGAGTACCATTACGAATAATAGATCCTAGAGATGCCCAACAAATTCACACACCCGTGCAACAACATATCACTAAAGTAGGTTACGACCCCGAGAATACTCTTTACTGCTGAAATGTTAAGAGCATGTCCTGACGGTACCTACTAAATATAGAAAGTAAATCTTGGTTACTTTATTCGTGAGGATATATTTCACAAGCGAACTTTTCACCCTCTATGTCCCGTATAAAATGTCTTAACAACCTGAATTCAAATATCCCACCAACAATGAAGATTCAAACTTTGATTTGTTAGGATGTGCAATATATGCTGCCTGTATAAGATATTTTAAATTTAATAGAACATTTCAATATATTTTAAGCCTCTGTCTCTTGAGGTTTGACAAAATACACAAAACTTCAACAGTACTTAATATATAAGCCTCTCAAGAGTAGCTACCGCTTCTCTTGGCTTACCATTGCTGAGATATCCGATATTTGGAAGGGGTCGCTTTATATGGGATAGAGTCAAGAGGGCTGAAAATATCGCCCGTGTGGAACACTCGCCTGTTGGATTTGTTATAACTAAGTAATTGCAGAATTCGTAGATGAGTAATGCCGCGACGGTGGTATTAACGCAGGGTAGAAGTGGAGGATCATCCTAAGATCTATACAACTAGGCAGGGGTAGAGGGCAATCTCACCGTGACATTGAGCACAGGAAGTCAGTAACAACATAAATATATAGATTTATGCCCCGCAAGAAGATATTATCATTCATATCACGCTATTACCACTTCACGAGGCCCACCATTATCCAGGCGGTTATGATACATACACAGAATTAGAATAGACCCTGCACTTGCGTATAGATATACAGTATACCGTATACCATCTAAGCCGAATGACCATCCCATTTAGAACACTGTGTCTTGAAGGAACATCCCGAGGTCGAGTCAGCTATCAAATTCCCCAATGATCACAATTTCCTTTGGCCTAGGCATACCTTCACTAAATTAGCCCAAAGGGGAAGTTGGGTCGAGAGAGTTGAATAGATGCACGTGGAACGGCCTGGCCATTCAGCGTGAACTTTTATGGATGGCCGAAGATTAGGTTACTCCAACCTCGGGAGTCTTGCATAGCACGCCATATTGAAGGCGCACACGCAAGCAGAAGATCAGAGAACTCTACAATATAGAATCTAGAGCTAGCCCCCAATCACTCCCCAATTACGTTTACCTGTCCACCCATATTCAAGCAAAATATTCTCTGAGGGTCCTTGATCATCTTCGCCAAGAGGTGGGCGAATACGCTCAGGCCCCCCACAGATCCGCGGCGGATGGCGAGTTGGAGATCACATAGTTCCAAGGCTGGCTTGGCCGGAAATTGTGAATTTTACTCGATTCAGGCTTCGTCTTTCAACTCCAAACCGGCACACGGTAGGTAGTACTGTCGAAGCACTGGAATACGCCACCACTGGATATGTGGGTCCCGGGCCGGCTCGCAGCCGGATCCTTCGTCCGCTGGGCTCGCTCGTTGCCCTTGGTCTTGCGGATTTGAGCGACTTGGTATACAACTCGCCGTTGTGGGCCTGCCGCTTCGTCGTACTTTCTTGCAGGCCATTGATCGCCCCTGTTCTCTCGCCTACGACTACCTATTCAAGTGGGTAGCCACCCCGGGACCTAGCAGGGAGTGGTCAAATGGATTCATCTGGACTCTGGACGAAGAATGGAAGACCAAAAATGGAAAAGGACATAAACTGCCGAAGTCAATCTAGACGGATCATCGGGGAGAAACTAGCGCTTAACTTAGCTGGGTAATTGCCAGGGTCTGGGAACTACCCGCCAATCGTATTCGGTTCATCATTTCATGACACTGTTTATTGCAGAATCCAACCACATGCAGCCATGGGGCCCTGTGTTTGCCGGAGTCACATTGACGCTTTTAGAGGCTGCAGAATTACCGGCCCCACTGCAACTCCGCACGAGGATACGAGCTGGAGATGGTTCAGCTGTTTAAGGTAGGATCGCTCCTTTTTCGATTAACAAACCATTACCCCCTTCGGCTAGTGCTCACGAAGCGCGTAAGCAACTGTTGAACCATTGACACGCCTCGTCCGTCGTAAGGCAATAATGAAATACATATTTTGTATGGCGTGCGGACCCTGACTCCCTCGTTAGACAGGGCCAATACTATAAAGAGATGCTGGGAGATCGGGCGGCGTCAATTGCGGTTGTTTGGTATATTGATGTCGGAGTTGGATTTATCAATCCTCAGCGCATTCCCCTTCCAACATTCTGAGTCCAAAGATACATATTGTCAGATATTGTGAGGTTTTTCTTTTCTTTTTTTTTTTCCTTTCCCTCCCGGTCGTATTTCTTGTCGACCAGATGCTGGTGACAGACCACTCAGATCCATCGGAGCCCATGTCGAAGCGACGCTTGGCCTGTGAGCGCTGCCGGGACCAGAAACTCAAATGTATCCGGAGAGACGAGAATAACTTTGAGCCTTGTGTAAGATGCCTGCAAGCTCAGGCAGAGTGCATTATCAGTCTGCGAAAAACGCCGGGCCGCCCAGCAGGGCGCAATAATCCTTCAAGTCAGCACTGTTCTACCCGGGAGCCTCAAGAGTCTCGAACCAAAGGCTTGGACAACGGTAGGGCAATCGATTCCGTACTTGTCCCAGGAAATGGATTAATCCTACCGGAAGACCTATTTGGAATGGGCCCCACCTCCTCTCTGGATAGCGGCGGAAGTGACCCTGCTACGCTCTTCTCGTCTGTCTCCCCCCCGATGTACATCCAAGATTTTGCAGACTCACGATTCAAATACCCCGACCCAGCGACTGACTTCCCTTTTCTCTGGGGCTCATCAGGCGACTCAAGTTCGTTGAGTCGGTGCTCATCGTTTCACTTGCTGGACCAAACCTACGACCCTGGATTCCAACTACCGCGACTGCAACAACAACTTTCAAAACAATTATTTCTGCTCCGGTCAGTCTCATGGGATATTACAACGGTTATGAAGCTGGATTGCATCCCATGCAGTTGTCAAAGACAGCCAGGCGACGGAAGCCGAGAATTCAACCCGCTCTCCAGCACATTCGAGGTCATCTCCGAGTTTGAGCAGCTCCTCAGTATCGTAAGAAGTAGGATGACCGACCAAGAGGGGGCCAGAACACCGGGGTTCCGACAGGAAATAAACGTCTCCTATTCCTTAACGGCTATGTCCTGCTATTTACAGCTCGTCCTGATATACGATTGCATCATTTCCTACGTCCTCGACCAGGCATCCAGCAACCCCGTAGTGAGGGATTTCATCCTGAATTCGACGCCAAATATCTCGCTAGGGGGATTCGTCGTCCCCTCTCCGAAGAATGTTTTTGGTCCATTATTTGTACAACTCCTGCAGCTTAAAATTCGACCCATTGAGTGTGCGTTGGGGCTTCCTCAGGATTGCTGCATCTCAGAGGAGACCAATTGCGATAGTGTTTCCCGGGGACCCGGTCTTCTCGGCGGCAAACAGGGGGAGTCAATCTTAGCGGCACTGAAAGGATCATGCCTGGGAGAAACGGATGATACGAAGACCTTGGGGGTTATAGAAGCATTGAAAGATAAAATGACGAGAATAGAATCATTTGAGTAGCACAATCAACTTTTCCCCGAAACGACCTGTCTCGCAGTGTGCATCCCTCTTCTGACAAGGTGTAAAATATATTTCGTCCACACAGTCTGAACAGGCGATATTCCAATCACATCTTAAGAAGGTAACCCTGTAGGTCAGCACTAGGGTCGAATGGAGCCCAAAATATCTCACTTTTAGTAAACGTCTCTTGGTATCCTATACAGGAAATGGCTTTGATTGGCTTAAGAATAGACATATTAGTGTCGTGATTTTAACAATTTCATGGCAAGGCGCCGTCTTACAGTTAGGGTTATACAGGAGAGGAGAGCAATACTAAGCAACGGCACTAGTATTTTAAATAGGAGATAGTAAGTATAAATTGTAACACTCTCATATTCTCTGGTCTTTATCCTTCTAGTATTGCCTTGCGGGTTATATTTTTTCTCGGTCGGTGTTTTATGAATAAAATCAGAATTTGGCTGGAACCCTTTGTTGCTTTTATATTTAGCAAGCTTGCGATAGAGAAACACCTCAACATATGTACTAAAATAACTTAAATATACTATTAGTAACTTATTTCAGTACTGTAGACTCCATTCACGTTTTCTTTCTTTTATTTTTTAGAAGAAAAGTTATAATTCATAGTTTATACTAATCTACGGATTATTGTTTCAGTAATTCCTAAGTACCGCGAACCCGCGGGGCTTCCGATAATTCTGCTTGGTCGCTGAGAAAACCAGTCATTTTTTGTCCACTATCAACATCACGTTGCACTGTGATCTGCTTTGATGCATAAATTTGGCTACAAATCAAGTGGATTCAAAACTATGCCAACTAAATCCAAAAATTTTTCAGCGGAAAGGGAAAGGACCGATAAAATATGAGGTTAAAAAGAACACAAGAAAAAAAGAATTTGAGAAAAAGGACGGCACTCAATCAATTCATTTAACGTTAGAGCCTCTAAAACGAGGCAAGTAGTTCCTGCGCCATTCCTCCAGAAAGTGTTGTCTTTTCCTTTTGGATCGCATGGGGCAGCTCATACATCTCATACTTCTTCAGGTACCAGTGTTTAGCGCTAGACTCATCGCCGTCGCTGTCTTTGAACTCGGTTGAATCTGACGCCCGCAAGAAGTACGAGATGGAGTAGCGGTCTTCGTTTTGAATCCCGCCCAGAGGCAAGACACGATGCAGCGCGGAGCGAAGGCGTTTATTCGAAAGGAACCGCAGGGTGTCGCCGACATTGACGATAGCATGGCCTGGTCGTGGTTCGACGTACTCCCAGGCGCCATCGTTAGGTGAGAAGACCTGGAGGCCCCACTGCGGCGCGTAAAGGATGGTGAGGGAACCGATGTCAGTATGCATATTCTGACCAACCTGACTCGGGTCCTGAGCACCGTGGGGGTAGTGAAGGAAGTAAAGGGTGCTCTTGGAACGGCAGTCATCACGGTGGTAGGTCTCGAGACGAGAGTCCCCTTTGAGACCTAGCTCATCAGAAATGCAGTCGAGCAAAAGCTTCGAGATGAAATGGCAAGCGGCCGTGAACTGGTCGAACAAGACCAGGTTGTCCTGTGCAATGGAGGGAAGCGCCCATCGGCCATCCAGCTCGAATTTTCCAATCTGGTCTTGTTACAAATGCATCTGATAATACGGAAGAAAGTAGTAGCATACCTTAAGGGCCTCGAAGCCGTCTTTGAGCGATTCAACGGCTCCCGACTGGTTACCAACGGCCTTGAATCTGGTGTCCAAGTATTATTAATTTATTGTTCAGCCAAGCTCAGTTGTACGGTCTTGAAACTCACCCATGAGAGAGAGATACGGTAGGGGTCTTCAACTTCACATCTGCTGGCTGAGAAAACCATTCTTTGGTGATCCTGTCGATGTCGTACAGGTCTTTCCAGAACTTCTCAGAGCCTTCGCCCTGGAGATCGAGATAGAAGAAACCATCTTTCTCACAAGCTTTGAGAAGCTTCTTCAGCTCCGCCTCATCCTTATCGAAAAGGTTCGTGAACTGGATGGTAGAGAGATCCGCAGTGCGGACATCCTTATATTCGGCTGGACGGCTAACTGTCATTTTGAAGGGAGATAGAGAGCAACAAAAGTTTGATGAGGGGGAGTCAGATACTGCGAGTGTTTCCAGTGCTTGGAATGTTTGAGAATTGTTCATCTTTACCGAACCAGAGCGCCCTTATATCCTTTGACATCTTGATAACCTTGGTTGCCAACAAATTCTAGATTCTCGTACGATCACCTACATCATCCCACTAGGAGGAATAGACTTGGGAAACCTTTTTCCGGTTTCTGGCGGACCGAGGTTGGAATTTCCTCATCTGAGTACATTTTCAGCTAGGTGGTCTCCGAACCTTGCAGCCAAGGAGTTCCTGTCATCGGAGAGACGCTGGTAACCGGAGATTTTGCCTCCGTAAGGAAGGCACAGTCGGTGTCGGATGAAAGGATAGCCACTGGAATAGAAGAGATTCCGATTCATTTACTCTAGGCTGCTCTTTCACTGCGGGATACTACGCTCATTTTCGAGATATCCCCGAATCTCGGCCGGCCGGCGAGCGACGTAAGATGAACGTCGTCGACTCGTGCTTCGACTCACTAACAGTAGTTAACATTAGCTGGTAACTCGGAGATATTGTTCTGATCTCAATGGATCGCCTAGTTTGAGGGGTTAAAATCGGAGTCGATGCGGTCCAGGGCCAGACTGGGCGTAATTGGAGTCGGCAATCCCGAAAGGACATTTTACCAAGGATGCAATGTAGGGGTGGAAATCTTATGTTTGCTCAGTGGGCTTTACATTGGGATTGGGTGTACTGTGTGGATTTCAACGACTACGGTACAACAAATAAAAATATTCTAGTTAAAACACTAATCCTTCTATCCTACAATGGCTGAGTGAGCTCAACCACGCCGCCATCTAGTGCGAGACCACAGTCGTCGACCTCTCTTTCAGGCCGTTAACCTAGACGTAATCACTGCGCCTTGCTTCAATACCAACTAGCTTATGAAAAAAAAGCAAAAGAAGAAAAAAGAAAAAAGAAAAAAAACAACACAACGGAAGTTTTCGGCACTTAATATAGAATCTTCCTAGGCTACCATATGAAACGGACATACAAAGGCAAGAGTGGCACACATGAATTGACTCCAATCTACTCAATGTTGCGCGCCTGGGCCTTCAACCATCGCGATTGAAACCCCCTTCATGCCATCAAACTCCCTGTAGTCCTTCATACCTAAGTTCCGGCTAAAAAGATGCATTTTGTCCGTCGTCAAAAGCATTACGCGTCGAAGATGCGGCCAACTGCGCAACTTCTCATTCAAGATTTCGAGTACCCAGCGCCCAAGACCGGATCCCCGATGCCCGTCCAGAATATAGACATCGGTCAGGTAAGCGAACGTAACGTTATCCGTGATGACTCGCACGAGCCCGATCTGCTTCAGAGCAGCGGGAGTATTATCTGCTAATGCGAGAGTCTTAGCCAGAAATGGGGGTAAAGATGTTGTTCTCTGGCAGGAATCCACTTACTCGCAGAGTGTTCTACTCCATTTGAAGTTGAGGAGGACCTGGCCCCATTTGGTGTCTCCATCGGTGCCTTTTGGTAGAGGCCCAAACAGAGTGAACTGTGCAGTGCTTCCTGAAGTGCCGCAGCTGGCAGATCCCCAGCCCACCATACCATCTCAGAGCCTAGAGCGGCATTGACGGCATCGACCTGGAGAAGGTCAGGATCTGTCGAGACGAGATAATCGCCGCGATGCCAATTCTCTGGTGCCATTCTGATAGAAGATGACTCCCGGTGTCGTGGAAAGCAATCCTTCAGTCCCTGTATGGGCCATGTCCGGGAGGGTGATCAATCACTATTTGACAAGCCCATAAACGATGTTCACGAGAGAGGAACATGAGGGGAATTCCTGAGGGAAACAACCCAAGACTAATTGACCCCACCTCCTGTGTTGAAATGTTAACAAAAGGTCTGGCCCAAGTGGGTACCGTAAGCGTGCATCGGAATAATAATGCAGAAATGCTCGGCCTGGCATGTAGTTATGGGTAATTAAATGATCGCCGCTAGTTAATTTTTCAGAAATTTACCCTCCGAAAGTGGAGTTAAATCTCCCCGAGAAGCATCATTGATTCGCTCGGTCCATTTCTCACTCCAATGAATGGAATGCCTGCGATACAGCACTCTCATGCTAAAAGCCATCGTAGATTCCATTCGGAACAATGACAAGCTAAATCCAACTTGCGTCTTAGTCCTTAATGGCTCCGTTGTTTGACCACTGCATGTCTCCATCAATTTCTTCTCATCTGTGAAGATGCCCGGGCCCTACCCGTAAACATTGATGCTGTACCACATAACGTATACATATATATCTTGTCAAGCACCTGATTACCTTTGTAATGTAAACATAATAATATATGGATAAACTAGTGTGATTACTCCTTATTTTGATCCGACTCGTTGCATACACGCAAACAAATCCGCCTCATAAAAGATTCCTCCTTACGCGTTATCCCTACACGATGACAGCCCACAATAGCGCAGAATTTGGTTCATCTAGAGAAAGACAATTGGCAGAAGTGAGTATGCATCTATGACGTCTAAATCAAGAATCTAACAGGGAAAAAACTAGCTTGTGCAACTTGTTCAGAGTATCACGTCACCAAAACTCCATATCCCCGAAGGCGTGTCAGAACCTAGCGTTGTGAAAGGGCAGGACCTAAGAATGTTGCCTGAGGAGTTGGAAAAGCTTCTCCGCGAATGTTCAGACGAAGGATTGGGCCAAGAAGGATTCAGCAAAGCAGTCTCATTGCTCAGCGAGCATTCAGTGAATAACTCATCGCCCGGCTTCCTAGGAAAATTGGTCTCCGCGCCATCTCCGCCAGGAACAGCCGCCGATCTGTTTTTGTCGATCTTCAACAACAATGGCCATGTGTGGCGTGCGTCACCAGCTCTCACGGCGGTCGAAAAGCATGTCAGCAGAGAGTTGGCCAAACTGTTCGGCCTGGAAGGCCCACACGCTGGAGGCGTTACGGTGCCAGGGGGAGCTGCGGGCAATATGCTCGCCCTGCTAGTTGCTCGCAACATCGTGTCACCGGAGTCTAAGCAGCAGGGTGTCACGCCTGGGAAATATGCGGTCTTCGTCTCAGACGCAGCTCATTATTCAGTGACCAATTCGGCACAGATCGTGGGACTTGGCAGCGACTCAGTGATCAGTGTACCGGCATTGGACGATGGGACAATGGACGTCGAGGCGCTCAAAACCGCAGTAGACGATGCCATTAAAAAGGGTAAACAGCCGCTGTTCATCAATGCCACTGCGGGAAATACCGTGAACGGCGCTTTTGACTCTCTCAACAAAGTTGGAGAAATCGCACGCAAGGCGAATGCGTGGTTTCATGTTGATGCCTGCTGGGGAGGCGCGGTTGCATTTTCTGACACCCTGAGACATCTAATCAAAGGAGCTGAACTAGCAGATAGTATTGCCTTCAACCCCCATAAGATGCTGGGTGTGCCTCTTGTTTGTGCCTTCCTGTTAACAAACGATATGCGGACTTTTTGGCTAGCCAACAAACTCAACGCAGGATACTTGTTCCATGATAGAAAAACTGAGGAATCTGCGATATCCGAAGATGGAGCGAGTGGAAACAACAATGAATACGATTGGAGAAACTCAAAGCTCATGGAAGGAGCCCCCGATGTGGCTGATATCCGGGATTTGGCTTCTCTGACGGTACAGTGCTCTCGGCGGTCCGACGCAACAAAGCTGTTCCTACACTGGATCTATTATGGAACTAGAGGCATTGCCCGCGATGTTGAGCAGGCTGTTGACAGCGCACAGCACCTGGCCAATCTCGTCGAGGCTGATCCACGACTAGAGTTAATCGGAGACATTGGAAAAGTATTCGCTCAAGTTTGTTTCTATTGGAGACGGAAGGGAGAGGGGATTGACCCATCGGATACAGCTGGTACAGCCGCCATCAACAGCCACAACACGCGTATCTTGTATGAGCACCTCACTGAGCACGGCTGGAAGATCGACTACGCTCCGTATAATTCGACGGGGGAGTGCGTTCGAATCGCATGTAACCGGTTGACTACACCACAAGGAGTTGAAGCGTTAATTTCGGCATTGGTGCGGCTGGGAGAATCATTGGGATTGTAAGACCATCTCAAGTAGGGACATAAAACTACCTCGATGTGGCAGTATATCCTGCTTGGCTTCAAATCTACTCTAGTAAAGCTGTCCCTGGTGTTAGTCGCCTCGGTCTAGTGCCTTACGGTACGCTGCCCGTGGGTGCCACAGTCAGATACCTTCTTCCAGTGCCCCCCTCAATGGACTGGATAGTCCCACAGATTGCTGTCTCAGGCTAGAAGGTTCCATTAGACAGGAAGTCAACCTTCCTCGTTCTTTCTACTTAGGATACCATGGGCTAAACAACAAATAGGAAAACAGTTCATTATACGCTTCCTACAACTCGCATTTGACTGACAATGCCTCCTGGGTGAACAGGCGCCTGGAAGGTGTCAATGCCACGTAGTTTAACTAACTTGAAAATCCATGTATACTGAGTGGACTACGTTGGAACCGGATCTACGGACCAATGTAGTGCATCCGCGACCCGCGGATGTCTGATAAAGTTGAATAATATTATTTATAATACGCCCTCTTATTCAAACCGCCGAGTGTAAGCCTGCGGTTCCGGAGGAAAAGGCCGGAGGATACCTCCCACCAGAAACTCCGAGATTTCGCGAGCCAACCAAAACAGGGCGATTCAAAACGTATATGCAGCGAGTAATATGTTTCGACAATCATAAATGACCGTTCATGTTGGGTACAAGAGCCGATCTAGGAGGATCAACTCATTCTCTGCTACTTTTTTGATCCTCTAACGCATAAAACATCTACAAGGAAAACTGGCGATGTCACCTACACACGAAATGGGAGAAGACTCCACTGGGATCAGCTCTTCAAGCAGTGAAGAAAACTGGGCCTTATCAGTGGGCTCTGAGAAGCTGAACACAGGGGAATCCCCCAATCTCATTGCTGTAAACCCTACTGTAACTAGTCTTACCAGAAACAGCGATGGAGAGGATCCACCGCCGGATGGAGGCTGGAAGGCATGGCTAAGCGGTGCGTGGCTTCATTCCTCGATATATCCTACAGGAACGCTTGGCTAATCCCGCGCCGAAGCACTTTGCGGCCATTTTCTCTTCATGAATACGTGGGGTTTCATTAACAGCTTTGGTGTATTCCAGACCTATTACACTACACTTCTGGACAGGCCACCTTCCGATATCTCATGGATTGGCTCGATTCAAGTCTTTCTGAGCTTTTTTGTTGGCGCCTTCATTGGCCGCTTCACAGATGGCGGATTTTTACGCCCCGTTTTGGTCTGTGGCATGCTCATGGTAACGCTTGGTATCTTTACTGCTTCAATTTCTACCCAATATTGGCATTTGGTTCTTTCGCAAGGCATTTGCTGCGGTCTCGGCAGTGGTTGTCTGGTCACACCAGCGGTATCCGTAGTTTCTACATACTTTGAGAAGAAGCGATCACTCGCCATCGGTTTCGCCACGTGTGGCTCTGTCACAGGGGGCCTCGTCTTTTCTGCAATGGCCAGACAGCTTATACCCTCCACTGGCATTGGTTGGGCATTGCGAGGCATCGGTTTTGTGCAGGTGGCCACCTTACTCTTTGTGACTACCTTCATGAGGTCACGATTGCCACCACGCAAGGCCGGCAGACTCGTGGAATGGGTTGCATTTAAAGAGCTTGAGTATGCCTTCTTCACCGCTGGCATGTTTTTCGTAAGTAGTTGATTCCCCAGACCTGGATTGGTTGATTAAATTGGCCGACTGACCCAATGTTCCCAGAACTTCTGGGCGGTGTTCTTCGGCTTTTACTACCTCGCCTCTTACAGCCGCGACATCATCACTCCTCACTTCTCCTATATCGACTCCCTCAATATCCTTCTGATCCTTAATGGTGTTGGTATACTAGGCCGCATGATACCAAACCATTTCGCCGACACGGTGGGACCGCTCAATATGATGATCCCGACCTGTGTCATTGCCGGCATTGCGCTGTTCTCGTGGTTCGCCGTCCGCACACCAGGTCAACTCTACGCGTGGGCGGTCGTGTATGGCATCGTTGCGGGTGGGATTCTGAGCCTGTTCCCGGCAGGACTATCGAGTCTGACTACCGACTTATCGAAGCGCGGCGCACGCATCGGGATGAACTTTACAGTTGTCAGTTTTGCAACGCTAACGGGGAACCCGATCGCCGGGGCAATTATTTCGGCCACAGGGGGCAGCTACCTTGGGGCTCAGATACTCATGGGTACAAACTTTCTGCTTGGGGGGGCGTTTATCTTTGCTGCGAGACTGACTCGGCAGCGAAGGACAAAGAGTGGATGGTGGATTAAAATATAGACGTACATGTCCGCTGTTGATAGAAGGATACATGCATGGTTGATCAGGAAAAAATTCCATTCTTAACCGTTCGCATGTTCATAGCACTATATACTCAGTTCTCACCATTTATATATATTAACGGCTCTTCTAGCAGTGTTGACCAAGTACATGATCTTCCCACTGAAAAACAACATATTTATACAGAGGCCGGCCATCACAACAATCCAGGCATTCTCCCCATTCCTTTAACCAACCGCCAACCGCCAGGTACGGTTTTTTATGTGCACAAGCCGGTAGAAACTTGACGTATTCCCGGCAAAATACGCTAATATCAAGATTTACGAGCGGCACTGACTTGATCAAAATGTCTCGGGTCATTTAACCATCGTTCTTTATACCATCTATTCTCCAGAGCAGTAACCTCTATTCTCGAATTGTTTCATCACGACCGCTTTTTGCCCTTTCCGCGACCCTCGAAACTCCAGTCAATCTGTGTGGCCATCCTCACCTTCACGTTGAGCTCGTTGGCAAACGCGCGAACCAAGCCTGGGTTCTGTTGGAACCATCGTCCGGCCTGTACAGCATCAATGCCAGACTGTAGTACTTGCTCAGCCAAGGCTCCTGTTTTAATACCGCCAACAGCTGAGATCAGCAATTTATCGCCGACAGCGTGCTTAATCTCTTGAGCAAAATGGACTTGATAAGCAGGGGTTGGCTTGATGGCAATCGCAGATTTGGCGTGAATCCCCCCTGAACTGACATCCACCAAATCAACACCGTGATCAGCTAAAAGTGGGGCGAGCTGTACGGATTGATTTACAGTCCAGCTCTCAGGAAACTCGTCCTCGAGGCCGAACTCGAACCAATCAGTCGCACTGATCCGAACCAGGAGAGGCATTGTGGCTGGGATAATGGCCCGGATCCCATCAACAATCTCCAATAGTAGTCTGACTCTGTTTTCAAAACTTCCTCCATATTCGTCGTTTCTTTTGTTGCTCACGGGGCTCAAAAACTGATGTAAAAGATATCCGTGGGCAGCGTGAATTTCAATAGCGTCAAAATTGGCGTCAACAGCTCTTCTCGCCGCCTCTGCGAAATCCTGTTTTAGGACTTCGATATCCGCTCTAGTCAAAGCCTTAGGGACGGTGTTGATCCCTTCTTCCTGAGGAATTGCCGATGGGGCCACAATCTCATCGGGCCATCCACCAACTTCTTTAACCGCCATTGCGTTACTACTCAACCAGGGAGCGACGGCACTGCCTTTCCGGCCCGAGTGCGCTAATTGAATCGCAATCTTCTGATTTTGGCTATGGGCAAACTCCGTAATACGCCTTAAAGGCTCGATCTGACCGTCTTCATAGAGACCAAGATCCTGTGGGGTAATACGACCGACTTTCTGGACTGCCGTTGCCTCCATAATTGCCAATCCCGGGCCACGTTGGATAATCCCGCCAAGGTGCGTTAAGTGCCAATCTGTAGCGTAGCCATCCTTAGCAGAATACTGACAGAGAGGTGCCAGGAATAAGCGGTTGGGAAACGTCACGCCGCGGATAGTGATCGGGCTGAACAACTTGACTGATCCCTCCAGTTGTGTGCCTGCAGGAGGATCCTGGGCTGGCGTGTAGTAAGACACACCTTCGGCCGCGATATTATCGATTATTTTGTATGTCATGATTTGCGTCTTAGGCGCTTAGGCCGGGGCAAGGGGGTTGATAGGCGCTCAATACCATAACGAGGTAAGAACCTTGAGTATTCTATATACGGAATATCTGGTGATTGATGACAAATCGAAGGATTATTAATGTGATGTAGTATCGTGGGGCCTCATGGAGTATCGTGGAGTATCGTGGAGTATCATGGTGATATGGCCTCATCATCCCTGTCGAGCACAACGTGCATGCCACCGATCCCAACCCCTGATTGGCTTTCGCATGGGCACTTACTCCAATACCCCCCGAGACCTACTCCGATTTACATAAATTGACCGAGTACGGACGGGAAGCTAAGCAGGGATCCGCTCGGGGTTCGCCGTAAGAACCGGACCATTTGTTAACTGTTGGTGGCGCCGCCATGACTCCATACATATGGGCCTATACGAGCCTGGGCCGTAGCTATACTTGTTTTCTTTTTGTTCCTTTTTTTTTTTTTTGCCGCATGACCCTGTCTCCTCATCTGCTCCTCTGCCCACTCCTTGTCATAACTGTCTATGTGCCCTCGCTGGCTGACGTCACGTACACGAATTCATTTGCCGTGGAGGAATTCTTGGGTTGCTCTCCCCGTGAGCCGAGGCGACAAAAACCAAAAAGTATTCTCATTTGCAAAATCCAGGATGTCGTGGGAAACCATAAGCAAAGAAGCCCAGGCTAGGGTGCTGGAGTCTATTCCCGAGCGATGGAGGCTGGATCCCCAGAAATACGGGTCGCTCAAGGATGTGACGAGCGTGCCGTATACCAGCGGTATCCTGACCCCAGAGCAACTCAGGATTACCGAGCTCACTGTTGTCGAGATTGTGAAGCATCTGGAGTCTCGTGAATTGAAGGCAGTCCAGATTCTAGAAGCTTTTGCTGCTCGGACTGCCATTGCGCATCAGCTGGCACGTCAATGCAATCCTAGAAAGTTGCAGAGTTAGGCTAACTAGACAAATAGGTCAACTGCCTAACCGATTGGTTCTATGAAGATGGGCTTCAACAGGCAAAAGACCTGGATATGGCCCTGGACAAAGGGGGCAAGTTGCAAGGGCCGTTACATGGAGTTCCGATCGCGTTAAAGGTACTGAACTATGGGGTACGCTCATCTTGACCATACGGAGGCTGATGGACACGCCAAATAGGATTCCCATGAACTTAAAGGCCATGCTGTCACAATGGGCTACGTCTCAAGGAGGGATAATATAGCCAAGGACGATTCTAACATCGTGAAGACGTTGCGCGCTGCTGGTGCGGTCTTTTTCTGCAAGACCACCATGCCTCAGTCTGGAATGGCTTTGGAGACGGTCAGCAATCTCTGGGGCCGCACAGTAAACCCATTTAATAGAGAACTGGGCGCCGGTGGAAGTTCCGGTGGAGATGCGACGCTGGTGGCCTTAAGAGGTAGCCCCATCGCTCCTTCAACGGATATGGGAGGGTCTATCCGCGTACCTGCCGCTTTCAACGGACTATATGCCATTCGGCCTACGTCGGATCGCATTCCCAAGGGTGGGATGACCAATACCAACACCGGGAATCTCACAATTAAGTTGTCTTGCGGACCTGTCTGCCACTCGCTTGACGACCTCGAATTGTTCACTCGGATCATCAACGCGCACGCGCTCAACCAGTACGATTCCACTGCTGTTCCTGTACCCTGGAGAAAGCTGGATGCTCTGGATCGCCAGCTCACGATCGGAGTATTGAAGTGGGATGGTGTCGTAATGCCTCACCCACCGGTACTTCGAGCATTGGAACACACCGAGCACACACTGGAGAAAGCCGGACATGAAGGTGAATGAGCATCTTGTGTTTTATTTTGACTGATAGGTCTATCATGACAAAGCCAAACTGACCTGGTTCAAAGTTATTACGTTCGACATACCTTTTGATTGCTGGGATATAAAGAAAACTACGGTAAGCTTCCTATTGTGTTGCCAAAATTGTAGCATTAACGTGGAAGTCAGTTCGATATCTACTACCAGTCAGGCTCTGCTGGGACGATGTCCACGCTAGCAGCCTCGGGAGAGCCTACTATACCAGCATTTGCTGACCTGCTCAAAGTCTTCAACACCCAAGAACACTCCGCTGCAGAGGCATTGAGGGTGCGCAGTCATTTCTTTTTACCCCGGTGAACATTATCTTTGAGGAGCACACTGACATGCCAGACAGTTCAATCTCAAAACAAGATCCCTCAAAGAGCAATTTGCAGATGTATGGAACAACACCGCCAATCGCACAAGCTCCGGTCGTGCAATTGACGCACTAATATTACCCCCAGCTCCCGCACTGGGCTACCCTCATGATTTTAACATCTACTGGGGATATACGTCGCTGTTTAACCTTCTCGACTACCCTTCCGTGATCTTGCCAGTGGCCAACTTCAAGGTGGATCCACAGTTAGACCCCGTGGATGCCAATTATCGACCAGTAGAAACAAATCCCTATGATAAGCCAAATCATGAGTTGTGTAAGTCAACCAAACTATCCCCTTAGTAATATGATTTATAAGAAGGCTTTATTCACAGATGACCCGAACCTGTTCGTGAACCAACCATCTACTATTCAGATCGTTGGACGTCCTTTTGAGGACGAAGAAACTATACAAGTAGCCTCAGTTATAGACGCGCTATTTAAGGCTCCATAGGTTACATGGACTTAGCGATTATGGATGTCAAGTTCGCCGAATCCGAAACCCTTGTTGATGCTAGTGAACGCATTAGGATATCAGGCATGTACCCCCTAGCTAGGTCCGCTGTTGAATTAGTCAACAGTATTACCACACATGTAATGCCATATGCCAGGACCTTTTCTATATCCTATAGCGAAAGTGTTTGTTCTCTTTATCAGTCATATCTTGATAACCCTCCAATAAATTCTCCTGGACTGCCACCAGAGCACCACGGCCGGGACGCCTGTTCTCCACCCAACACCACAAAGTATACATGGATTGGAAAAGGATGACCGCGCAGTAAGTACCCAGTAAACCTTTGATAGCGGTAGGATATCGTGGCACCTCTTTCGATAAGAACATATGAGGACCAACGATATTTCCCACGACAAAGCAAACAAAGTAGATGCTCAGCGTAGTAGTGCGCTTGGTGTGACCGGCCACATTGACACCAGCCAGCGTCCAATTCAGTATTATAGGAGCACCGACAAAGTTTTGCATCCAGCACATAGCCAAGAGGGCGTACCGATGGTCAATTGGTATCGTTAAGAGGCCAATCAGCCCAACCATGCCAGGTAGACATCCCAAAATAACGGAGATGCCTAGCATGTTCCGATACTGAGAGACATAGCCCAGCGACAGGCAACCCACTATCTCGAATGCTCCTCCGGGCGCCTGCAACAAAGATGTCCGCAACGGGTCAAAATCTAATCCTTTGATGATAGCCGACATGAAGTTAGTGACTCCGCTGTTTAGTATTCCAATTCCCATTCCTGCCATGTAAAGTAGATAGCATCTGCCATCGAGAAGCGCCTCTTTTATCTGATGAGGCTTGATCGTCGGGTTCTTGATTCCCATCTGATTATGCGATACTCGCCAGACTGCGACAATACGCTCGTATTCGGAGAGCATCTTCGCGTTATGAGGGCTGTCTGGTAGATAGGCCAGTATGACGAAACCCCACAGGAGAGTCAGAGTGCCGACGATCTGAAAAGATACGAATATGTATTTAGCAATCTGAGTGATGGATGAACATTGCCAACCGCACTCACCAAGAAAATTAGCTTCCAATTCGCAATCGTGAGTCCTTCAGCTGTACCCGTCCCATAAGCAAGCAGAGACCCTAGAATGCTGGCAAGGCCGTTGGTACAAAGCCAGAAGGAACTCCTGAGTGATTGTTCTTCGCGTGTCCATAGCATTGAAGTGAGAAGCACCCAAGATGGCGAGATACATGCCTCGAATAGACCGAGAAAGAAGCGAACCGCGAAGAACCCACCGGTGTTGAAGACTGCAGACTGCAGCATGCAGATCGCTCCCCAAACAATCAGCATTGCTCCGACCGTCTTTGCAATTGGGAGACGTTGCAATAACATGTTCCATGGCCATGCACCACCTCATAGTAAGTCAATAGCCTTTCTTTTACTAAGGTTGATGGCTCTGGTAACGTACATAACCAACCAAAGTAGAGAGCGCTGACGACCCAGGAGTAATCATCTCCAGTCATGTGGGTATCTGTCTGGAGGCCGTATGCATTTGAATAATTAAGGCTAATTGACATGTTACGAAAAGGCGTTGTTTACCGATGTCTAGCTGTCTTACTTACGTCTGTTTGTCCAAGAATGATAGCATATATGTTATCATCATCTAGGTAGCTATCAGCACCCTTAACGAGTAAAACCAGTCCGCATATAATCTAACCATTGGGAGAACCAAGAAATCCAACTTCCGTCTAACTTTGAGAGAGTCCGCCTCTAGCTGACTGCGGTCAAACTGCAGTGATTGCTGCAGCATCTCTTGTCCCAACTCATTAAGAGCACTTCCAGCATTCAACCGCTGGAGGAAAGATTCCTTGAAAAGCACGGATGAGGCTTGGATTGGAGCATCATTGTTCTTGGCAAGGATAGAATCATCTATTTTGCTGTCGATAACTTCACCCTCCATGTTGTCGGGGGGCTAGGCTGAGCACTTTGGTGGGCGTGTTGTCGTAGATAACAGTAACATACTATCATGATACTATATCAACTGAGCTGATGTTTATAGCCAACATCCCTGTTTTCCAAAAGGCGGGGTGTACCTCCAACATCGGACTGGACCTCATAAGGCTTGAATGGTCTTGGAAGAGTCGGACAACTGCCCCCGGGCCCGTGGCTAGCCATCTCAGTGCTGACCAAGGGTTGAACATAGAGTTTCACTATCAACCAGCTGGATATGCACCGCAGGCAGTGAAAACCTCCGCCGATGCATTAGCTATCTGTCCGAGTCGGAACAAATGTCTGATGGTGTTTCAGAAACATGGACTCTCGAAGCCTTTACTCCACGTCACAACCTTCCGAGCGGGTTCCGAGGCAATTGACAAGAGAACTACGTACCCGATCATCCAATCAACATGGAGGAGTGTCATTGCGAAGGGCAGCAAATGAGAGATTACTTAGCCATTGCATTGAATTCAATAATGTGAGCTACCTATCTCTCGTTTTCTCTTTCTCTTCGTATTTACAGTACTCTACCGTCTGAAGTTCCCTTGCTGTTGTCTTGAACAACAGCCTTCCGTACCATAGTATGGCACTGCCACTTGAAATCCTGATTTCCCCGTGGGTTACTCTTCTTGGACCTATTTTTGTGTCTCTGTATTATCTGGTTCCTTATTTCTGGACATTTAATCACCTGAGGGATATACCCGGGCCCCTTTCAGGCCAGCTCTCGAACTTGTGGCTGTTGCTTGCTTGTCGAGCGGGCAAGCGTTACAAATATGTAGACGAAGCTCATAAACGATATGGACCTATTGTCCGTATACAACCTAATCATATCAGCATTGCCGACGAGGAGGTCATTCAGACCATATACGGCCATGGGAGTGGTCTTCTAAAATCGTGAGCAAGCCCCCAATGCGTTAACTATTGCATCGGATTGCTGAAGACTCTCTAGGTCCTATTATGATGCTTCTCTCATTACCACGCGTAGCATTTTTACTTCCAGGGACCGCGCCGAGCATTCGCGAAAAAGAAAAGTGGTATCCCATAGCTTCGCGCCGCAGGCAATGCGAAACTTTGAGCCGTTCATCCATTCATGGTTGAAGGTCTTCCTCAAGAAGTGGGACGATATTGCTGAGAAGGAAGCCCAGCCTGACGGTTACGCGAATGTGGAAGGCCGCGTGTGGCTTAAGTACGTATCCCCATGATCACATCCCTGAATATATCATGTATTGACAGGATAGTTACCTTGTCCTCGACATCATTGGCGATCTTGCATTCGGTGCGCCCTTTGGTGTGCTCGAAGCTGCTTCCGAAGATATATCAATTCGCCTCAACAACAAGAAGACCATCTCTCTCCCTGTCATCACGAGCCTCACGACTAGGAGCGAAATCGCAGCCACTGTAGGAGCGCTGCCCGAACTCCGGCCCTATTTAAAATGGATCCCCGACCCCTTTTTCCACGCCGGTGTCACAGGAATGAACAACTTGCGAAGCTTAGGCACAGCTCGCATTCTCGATCGCCTAAATAATCCACCCAGCGCGGACCGCCATAAGGACTTACTGGAGCGCGTGCGAGAGGGGCGTGACGACAAAGGCGAGCCCTTTGGGGTAGGAGAGCTCACCGCTGAATCGTTGACCGTGCTCATCGCGGGCACAGACACCACAAGTAGCACGTTTGCCGCATTGATGTACCATGTCGTTAGAACGCCTGGCGTTTTGAAGAAGCTACAAGCAGAGCTCGACTCAGCGCTTCCGGCAGACACGGTGGTTCCCTCATTTGACCAGGTAAAGACGCTTCCATACCTAGGAGCTGTCATCAATGAATCTCTGCGGCATCATTCCTCTATCAGTCTTGGGCTCCCGCGTGAAGTACCACGAGGCACCCCAGGCCTAACCATCAGGGGACGTTACTACCCCCCAGGTACCGTTTTGAGTGTTCCAATCTACACAGTGCACCACCTGAAGGAAATCTGGGGCCCCGACGCGGATGACTTTAGGCCTGAAAGGTGGGAGAACCTCACGCCACGCCAGAAGAAGGCCTTCATCCCGTTCAGTTACGGTCCACGAGCATGCCTCGGGCGCAACCTTGCTGAGATGGAATTGAGACTGATTACCGCAACGTGGGCCAGGAGATATGATTTTGTTTTGAGAAAGGATGAAATGGAAGTGTGTGAGGGATTGGCCAGGAAACCGATTGCTGTTAACGTCGGACTGAAGCGGCGAGAGGTTCCAGTCTAAGATTCTAACCAAATATGGGTAGAGACGTCGGTAGACCTAGTTGTGGCGAGAGCTCGCTACGGTAGATTAAATTGACTGTCACAATAAAAATAAATGCGGTTTTTTACTCCGTCCTTCACCATAAGATTGGACCATCAGTTGGGATATCGAGAATTTCTTTAACATCAGTACTTGGCAAAGCTCTTAGATGATAGCTAAGTTCTGGTGATTTCGTACCAGATAGAAAAGTTGTCCTCTGTGTCCGTTCCTCTCTGATTCATTTACTTCTTGTATTTTTGCGGAGGGCTATCCGATAACTGACACTTTTACCGGGCCATCTAGAACTATTTTGGAGTGCAGCCAATCTAATCCAACCGTTGCTGTGATACTCCCCTCTTGCCCTGCGTAGTAGTTTAGGGCTAATTCTAGATACCCATAACCATTCACCGGTAGGGTGATTCTGCATACTACCCCAGATGTGCGTTTCCCAACGTAATTCTCAGACACAATATTTCTAACCCTCCTCCGCAATTAATGTTCCGAGTGGGGTGCCGACTTCGAGGTATCTATGGCCTGCTGCTCCGAGTGGGACTCCGACGCCATATACTCCGATTGGAAGCGTCCGTCGATACTTGTACGTAATTCCTCCGACGAAAGCAAAAAACACCAATGCGAGGGTTATGCAGGTATCAAGCCTGCATTCGCTCTATGGGATGCTGAACAGCCCCTGGAATCAATAGTTAGGGCCAGTATCTCCGCATATTCGAAATGGATGGTAGTTGCTGTGTGGGAGGGATATATAAAGAACGGCATACCTGATGCAACATTGAGGCAATGCGGACATCCATACGGTAGATTGATGCTTAGCAACAATGTTGCTCAAGTACCTTGGGTCCTATTCATCAATACCTTGGGCCCTGTTCGTATCGTAGCAGCTCCTTTGGTCGGCAATTCCATGTAATTTCACTTGGCAAGTCGGCCGGCGTGTATGGGTCTCTGTGCCAAGTCGGACATTGCGAGCAACTGCAGCCGACAGTCAGAAAGCAATAGGCAACGTCAGATGAAATTAAACAATGAGAGAGGCAGATATAGATATATATACGTTGCGCCCAATTGACAAACTCCCAGGCTGACAATTACCGCAGCTACTATGCCTCCTATCGCCTGCTTGTTATCTTATTCATCCTTGCGCCCCAAGCCTCTCTTCATAAGCTTAGTAGGCTTCCTCCCGTTGGCGGCAACTCTCCTGACTCCCTTGCCATTTGAGTTCCAGAATACAACGGCGCAATGGGCGTATTTATCCTACGAAAACCCCTCGTTCGCCGTGATCGCGGGTGAATTCAACAGGTCTGCCTTCGTCGCGCAAACCAAAACCGTGACATCTGATCTCGAAGTAACCAAAGCGTAGGTTCAATCCCCAGGTCCCTGTCCGGTTTGTATGATTGCTAACCATTACCAACAGCCTGGAATATCTTAACTCCACGGACTTCGTCGCGTACGACGAACGGTTCTTTGATTTAATCGGTCCCGAAGCAACCATTCGCCGGGTACATGATCTCCCGTTCCAGACTCACGAGGCGCCGTGCTATAACCCATCAACTAAGGAGCTCTTCTTCATCGAATGGGGCCCTCCGGGGGGCGACGACGGTTCCCACGATTGGCAGTACCTCCTGAATACGGAGACTAATGAGCTGCGAAAGATTTCAACCGACCCGCCCATTCACAACGTCCACGGATGCGCATTCCACAATGGATCGTACTATGTTGTAACGGATGGGAGCCAGAATCGGACTGCGTCGCTGAAGAGAATTAATCCAGACACCCTGGAAGCGACTACCTTGCTTAATAACTACTATGGATTGCCCTTTCAGGGATTCAATGACCTTGACATCGACTCCGACGGCAATTTCTGGATCACCGATGACCACTATGGCTGGGTTAGTTCAATGACGCTGTATTCGCTTCAAGCCGCTACTCATATAGCTACTAACTCAATGTTCAGGGACGAGGAGTCATACACTTCACACCACCCGTGCTCTCCACCGTCTATTTTGTCAACGGCAGCACCCTCCGTCCGAGACCATTCCACGTTACCGAGAACCAGGCCAACGGTATTGCTTTCTCCCAGGGCCGCGACGGCAAGGGGACCGTCTTTATTTCCCACACGGGGGCTGTGTCCCCGGACAAGAGCCACCGAGAATACCCTTACCGGCCTCGGACTCTAGAAGCGTATGATGTGTCGTACCCGGGCGCATGGACGAGTGGCCCTCGGCTCGTCAGTGTTCCTATCTCGTTCGTCTACGACGGTATCAAAACCGCCAGGAGTGGCTGGGTATTCGCCGGTGCGGGAGAGGGAGTAGATGTTCTTGACCCTCAGACCGGGCTGGCGTTGGGGACCATTCGCGTGGGTGGGGGGGACTATGTGGCGGTTAACATGGCCTTGGGACAGAAGGAGCTCTGGATTGTTGGGGCCGGGGGTGTCTGGCATGTGGCTGGGTTTCGTGAGACCCTTGCAAGAGGCTTCTAAGTGGCCTCCGCACGGATGGAGTGCGGATTTCAATTGAGATACCAGGTTTCATATAATCCGTAGTCCACAAGCCGGGCGAATATTGATGGTACTGTGATCTAATGTGAATGAGTTACTGTGCCAGCTTCGACAACTTCTGCACTGATTCCCACTTGATGATGAAAGGATGTGGGAGGCTCGGGAAGATGGTCAGCTGTATACATTTTCATTTTATGTCCATTTGTTCTCGCCTGTTATATGGGTGAATTTTCCTCCTAATCTGTACTCAGTCACCTGTCTTCATCTCTGCTGACCTCGTCTCCTTCATTTTCCTGTGTTGGTGAAAAGGCAATTCCTTTGCTTCTAGGGATGGGGCACGCTGCGCCATTGTCATCCGTCTAGTCTGACAAGGCGATGAAATAGTTCATCTGTGGTTCTCTGTGTTCCAATCTGGGCTGGCCGTATAGTTGCGTTGCTTGCATACGAGTTTAGGTATACGGGCTTCCAGAGCGTCATATGGGTTATTTCATTCAATTACCTCGATAGAGCCAAATGGAAAGAAAAATGGCACTTTTCAACTTCGAACAGCTAACCGCCGGTGATCAATTGTTAAGCATTAATAAACCTAACAGTGAAAGAAAAGAAACAAAACGGCCTCAGATCTTTACTTCGGCATCAAAGCAGCTGGACATTTATAGACGCTGCCAGATACGGTTAGACACGGCTTTATCATTCCACGTCATTCAGCAGCTGCCTGAGACATGAGGATCCATTTATAGAAGCCCATGTCCAGCCCTCTTTCAACCGAATTACATGCCTCTAAATGACAACAGTTGTTCGCAAACACTTACAATGATTACAAACATTCTGAACCGCCTAAACTTCCGAGCCTTTCGCCACAGATGGGCTGCCGATCTACGTCAAATAGCACTATCACCCCTCACAATCCTCGTTTGGACAGCCTATACATCATTAAATTTCGTGAGATGGAATCTCAAGAGGTCCCAACAATGGCCCCGCATCCGAGTTGTCTGCGTCGCTGATACGCACTCTCAGCGCTGCGACGTCCCAGACGGCGACCTTCTGATTCACGCGGGAGACCTGAGCCTCCATGGCAGCGCAGCGGAGATCCAGGAAACGGTTAACTGGCTGAAGTCACTGCCGCATCCTTACAAGGTCGTGATCTCGGGCAATAGTGATCGTTTTTTTGATGTTACCTCCCGATTAGCAGAAGATAAGCTGGCGACGACACCATCCGCTGACGGCACAAGCAAAGTAGCTGCACAGCTTAGACGTGGTATCTCAATTGACTGGGGCGACATCTATCATTTACAGCAGGCTTCGGTGTGTTTGCCCTTTCGGGACACATCTGGTGTAATGCGGCAAATCCGTGTCTATGGGTCACCACAGATCCCTGTGTGCGGCGGGCCAGACAATGCCTTTCAGTACCCTGTGAACCAAAATCCATGGGCTGAAACCATCCCAGCGTCTACGGATATCTTGGTCACGCATACACCAGCCAAGTTCCATGGGGATTGGTACCAAGGGTCCCCCGAAGGCTGCCCATTTTTGCTGGATGAGTTGTGGAAGGTTCGCCCTTTGCTACATGTCTTTGGCCACGTGCATACCGCTCATGGAGTGGAGAGAGTGCAGTGGGATAGCGCTCAGTGGTGGTTGGAGAAATACTATCGGGATACTTCGGACGCTGCTCAAAACCCGCGAATATTCGCCCTTCGAAGCTTCTTCCATCCAGCGCTGTTGCTGGACGCTGTCATGGTTTTGTTCTCTGGTATGGTAACTCTTGTACGAGACTTAGCTAGTCTACGTCGCCGAGAAGAACGGTCTACATTGATGGTCAATGCTGCTTGCATGAGCGAAGACGGCGAACGGCTGGTGAATGAGCCGATTGTTGTGTATATATAGCAAGCGAAAATCCAGCCATCCGCGGCTTAGGGATTTGTGTCAGATCAGCATATCACTTGTCAGGCCCCTGCTATAGATTGTATTTTTGTGCAGCTTGGAAAGAACATAATTAAGAACAAGGCGCAGAAAGATGATAGCATCTCAATTCGGTAAATTCGGATGATGGCGCATTACGATGGTTGCTTGTAGGTAAAGTTGATCGGGTCCCCAAAGTACCGAAGAGATAATAGCCGGGGAACATCAAAATCAATACCCAACCTAAACACGTTATTTTAACGCGTTAACCCATCGAGAAAGGCCCTCTAAGGCCCCAGGAGCTACTATGGAGGTTCCCAAACCCCGATCGTAGTGGTCCACCGAGCGCGTCGAGGTGGGTGCCCCTGAGCGGAGTACTACCACTACTACCGTTATCAACACCGATATATCGGGGGGACCCTAGGGCCCTAGACAATTATTTTATTAGAATACTCTCTGTAACGATGTTGACCCTAATGTTGACCTGTATTGTAGATAATCGGACTATTGTGATAGCGGGAAGTGCGTTCATTACAGTAGAATTTCAACCAAAACCTTGTAGTTACCCTCGAATTGTTCAAGTTTAGATGCGATCTCCAGACACAGCCATTTCAGCGTGAAACAATCTGGTGCCCTTTTATATACCATGTGCCACATCCTTCGCTATTGCAGGGGCGGGGAAAGGATTTATCGTTGATTCCTGGCCAGTGGTGTATTCTGCGAAGTAATACTGCGGGTCTTTAGACACACTGTGAGCACCACTTTTGCAATATAATGATATATACAATACTGAATCCTGCTTGTACTCTAGAGAGACCATACTATTCGGCCGACACTGTTCGACGAGTGGGAAGTACAATGATGTTACGGACAATCTCAACTGTGGAGCTGATGGGACTTGTGACGTGAAAGTCAGTTCTTATACTGTTACTGCGCCAGATGGGAAGAGTGAGCTGCTTTGGGTGGATACACCGAGTGGGTTAGGACCAACTTGTACTCTGGCGGATCGGAATAGTCAATTTTTATAGAAAAAAAATAATCCTTAAATCGCAGTACGGCTCATGATGTCTTCTGTCTCCCTATCAATATAAAAATTGCGGATCGGAGTTCGCTGCTGACACCCGCTGAAGCTTGCAGGTACTTCGACTTCAGGTTTCTAGCTTCAAAGTCATGAAAGAACTATCTGGGCAAGGGGGTAGAGATCCATAAGGATCACAAGGCTGAAAGCCCATGTTGGTATAAAAGCCTCTGGCTCTTTCAAACGAAGCGTGTTTCCCAGTCTCTAAACTCAAACTGGTATATCCTCTTTCCTTCGCCACCTTGATGAGGTGCTCGACGATAGCCCTTCCAACTCCTTTGCGAAAATGCGTTGCGACTGTTCTCATTGATTTCACTTCACCATGTGTTGGTGACAATTCCTTGAGTGCTCCAATTCCCATTAACTCATGGCCTTCCCAGGCAGAGTAAAAAGTGACATTTGATGCTTGCAGGCTCGAAACGTCGAGAACATCACAGGAATCGATCATGCGATTTATTTCGGCCACATGCAAGGAAATCAAGGCAAGCACGGCTGGGGTGGATTTAATGTCGTCGATCTTGATAAGCATTTCGAAAGAGACATTCGGTTCTGGAGGAATAGTGTAGGTGGGGCGCAAACCGTAACGCGCGGAGAGAAAGCTCGAATAGAGTACAGAAAGCAAGAATGGAGTTGATCAGGTTTTCCGAAAGATACCCACCCCGAACCCGCCTCAGCCCGGAAAAGGTCATGTGATCTAAAATTTTAGATTTCTCCAGAATTTTTTTATATTTCTATGTAGATCTAGAATACATAGAGAGATAAAGCTTTAAAAATTGGCTGTCGGTTCCATTCTAAACCTAAATAGGCATGGTATCTTACTTATAAGCCATCTCTTACCTATTTAGGCCTAGTGGCGGGCTTTCCGGGTCGGGTTCACCTAAATCAGCGCGGGGTCGGGTCGGTTGCGGGTCCTAGATTTTGGCCCCGAACCCCGACCTGATAACAAGTGTTAACTTGTAAGCTGGCCTCTCCCTTACCATTTATTCCCTCACCTTGCCTACAAACCGGTCATCATATCTAGCGGTTTTATCACTTTCGAAGACTCAACTATTGTTACCCCGCTCGTAGAAGCCGCCGATGGGGTTGTTCTCGAACTGAGTCCTCGGCCAGGAAATCAGACACGTCGCTTTTATACCTCTGGTGTCCAGTTTGCCTATGATGTTGAGCCTAATCATATTTTCAAGACGATATGAATGCCAAGTTGAAGACACATGGTCTGTAGGATAGATATAGGCTTGTAGTTGCTGGCGTTGCAGATAGCGATATTCTAAAAGAGGAGGGAAGAGCGGAAGGCAGTTTGGATGTCGTGTTATGCACCCAGGTTCTGTGTGCGCTAAAGGACTCAAAGAACGTAATGAAGGAGGTATGGAAGTTGCTGAAACCCGGAGGGAAGCTGTTATTCTCAGAGACAGTTTGACGACTGTAGCGCAAGGTATGTCTATATCTTTTCTTGTCAAGCTAAGCTAACATGAATAAAGTGTTCTTGAATACTGCTTGGAGCATATTTGTCGGATGTCATCTGACCCCAAGTCATGTTACTATTGTTGTCTCTGGCAAGAATGGCACCGGGAGGGTAGATCTATTGAAAAATGCCTTATCTTGATCGGATAGGACAAATAGAGCATGATAGACCTCATGTCAAAAGGGGTGTTAACGACGGCTCCCTGTACATACTTTGAAATAATATTGTATTCGATGGTTTGCTTGTTCCAGGGCTTGAAGAATTCTAAAAGCCTATCCTCATCCCATTTAATCTCTACAGCCGGGCTTTGATGCTCATGAATACACCCGAGCGCATGACCAAATTCGTGACTGCGTACTTTAGATCAGTGTGGGATGAACGAGGCTATATGCTGGATGAGGGTATATACGGACATTGTTGTACGCGAAAACTCTTCTTCCCTGGTATTTCGGTCAAACCACCCAAACTTCATTGTTGGCTCTTCGGCAGGAATACGCATATTCTCCGTTCCCACGTAACTCTACGAGTCATCATCTTTGAAAGCAACCCAAATCTCTGCAGGGCCCGTTTTAAGAAAGCGAAAGTCGATATTAGCGTACTTTCCCCACACTTGGGCATATTGCCGGACCTTCTTTACATATGCGGTACCCCCAAGGAACCTGACCCGTAGTCTCTTGCCATTGGGCCAAAGAACCTTTCCTCTAAAGCAAGATACCATGGCCCAGAGCCATGGGTTACACTCCTCAAGTTCTGAGTAGGGTATTCTTCATTCAAAATGTTAGGCTCGCACATATAAATCTGTTCGGTGCCCATATTGAAGGATTATGTTGGAAGTTCAGCTTTTAATTATGCAGGATATATTAGTACAATGGCTGCTCTCCAATAGATAATATATAACTAGGTGAGCACCTAAGTTTCAACCGCGATTACAGTCTTTCATAGACTTGATCAAAGCCCCGCGAACATAATTTTGCGACTTTCACTGACTGTAAAGTACTAATCGCTGCATGTAATGTATGCCACCTTAAGTTGAATCCCCTTTCCCTGGTTAAGCGAGACCCAAGTGTGTTCTGCATCGAGCTCTGTATCCACATTGGGCCTCTGAATAATTCTGCAGTGGGTCGTTTGCTGGAAGCTAGTAAGCTGGGCGCTCGTGGCAGTAACGAAGCCATTCATATCCACAGAGCTATGGCGCCAGAGAGATTGGATGGACCATAATCTACCGTCAGCGGCGACATCGGCGTTATCATTAGCCCCAGATTGATCGTTGCTGAGCTGGACAGACACGGTTTGGACGTCTCGAGGGGTAGCCATAGCATCAACAGATATGGCCATAAGGCCGAAAGCAAATGGAATGAACCGCATTTTGGCGTCACAGGTGGAGAGAGTGGCGTAGCTATATCTAACTTGAATATAGTGGAAGACGATGATTGAAACTGAAGCCTGCGATAACCGCGTCTTGTTTGGCTTTTGGCACAACCTTCAGCTGCTTTATATATATGGTTTTTTGTTGTGTAGGCATATGGAGATTAAAATTTGGGTGCTGAATTGGTATCGAGTGGAATTTGTCAGGTGAGCTTAACCCATGGAACGTGTTGTAAAGATACGAAACATGAGTGCAGCTCTCGCCGCATGCGGATATAGTATCCTCTCAAGTTTGGGCGAACCAACGGGATAGTTAAGCTTGTGCCTATAGTTTGTTACCGGTACTCTATATTCCTCGCGGACCCATGGACAATAAGATCCAGTACGCATAGCTCTTGTCATATGATTGATAATCCATATCTAGACCTGTTATAGCATGCGGAACATAACAGTCCGCTCAGACATATGCTCAAAGACAGCGATATGTCTCCAGCGAGACGTAGTCTAGATGGACCTGGCCATACTGTAAACCATGAAATGGTGAAATGATCCTATTGAAAGATGTCAAGTAGCTCAAGAGCCTGGATTCTGTGTCGTACTCATCCATGGTATGCCCACCTCGCGGTCGCTCAGGTCTTGGCAGATTATATAGTTGAAACAATGAGTTCTGGTAGTAGTTTGACATTGACAGGCGCCGGTCTGACTGCGGCATCATCGCAGCTAGACACCCAATAAGGCCTTTCTCGCGTGGTTTAAGGAATATACGTTATTTGATGAAGTGCAGATCACCAGCTCAAGGATCGGTGTGGTGGGGACCCCGTTCCACTCTATCTCAAATACTGTACAAGCAAATGCTTAGTCGAAAATCGTGTTTTTAATTAAGCCTTCCTGAAAATGTAGATTGTCAACAAAGACACAAGGCTTGAGCCAGAAGATGTGTGCATTATTTGCTATGGTGCATCTCGTCGCTCAGCATCCACCCCTCCTCCGCATAAATTTCCCTCTAAGCGACTGGACTCTCTTCGTCGTCATCTCATTGAATCCCATCTACTCCATGCAATAGAGTGCCTCGGAGGTTTGCCATAGTGATCTACACTAGGCCAAACCAGCACGAGGGTGAATTGAAACAGTGTTGCACGAAAAAGTCAGTGTTGCTTTTCATAAGCCGCGACACCTTTTTCTGTCAGCAGGGCACGAGCAGCTGCCGAAAATGAAATAGCTTAAGCGAGGCCGACTTGGCGGGTGCATCCTTGCCAAGATGTCGTCCTGTTTACTTCATGTCTAGGGTCAGTCATTCGCATTGAAAGGAACAACTACACTTGAAACAGTTCGCTTAGCCCAAAGAGGAGTCAGTGATATGAAAAGCCGAGCTCGATTCAATGTTGAGAACTGATTGGCCGATATGGTTCACCGCCTGGGCGAGGAGGAAAGTGAAGCAGATCAGTTTAGGCAATCTCGTTCTCACCTCGGCTCACCTTCAACTACTATTCTCTCCAGAGAAACAACATGAAATCCAATGCTTCTAGCATGACACCAGAGCAAGAACAGGAAGCACAGCCCATACCTAGAGATTAAAAACCATGGTGGTCCCGAGAATCGTGGCCTTTGGCTAAAGCAACATTTTAAAAGCGCCTTTTGCCTTTTTATGATTTTCTCCTGGGAAGACACACCTATCGTTCATAATAGAAATACCGTGCCTTGACACTAGCGTACTGTTTGCCTATAATTTTCCATACCACTCGGTCATAATGACCAGAAACTCCAGCGGCCAGTCAAAAGTTTTCAGCGTGACCAAGAAGTCATTGCGACAGAAAAGAGATCGACGCAAAATGTCCCTAGAAAAAAAGTCGCACGAGTACAGCAATAAATGCGGCGAAGATGTATGCCTAGGCATTCAAATTCGAGAGTCAGGGAAAGTATTCATTTTTTTCCGCGGACACCTCGGGATTTTGGTCCTTCATTGGTCCTCATCCACTACCTAAGGGCAACCTAGGAACTATACGACTCCACCGACCCTAGCTGGTTCAACTCTTTGCATGACTGGAGGGATTGGAATATGGAATGTGAGAATTCTATGATTCAAATCGCTCAAATAAAATCTAACTCCAGATCTAACTCGCTGATGTTACCAAGACCAATCCAAACGCTGAAATGTCTAATACCCAATCTCTTGAAACCGACCACTCCGAGTCATTAGGGGCTTTGCTATATATTTTTAAGCATTCATCATCTCAATTTCTGATGAAGCCTGCGACACCTTAGACGAAACGACTCCACGACGGGGCTTCGCCGAGAGTTCCCCCCATCGCCGGCCCATGGCAACTGCTGGGTGAGCGGCGGTCATACAAATGCACGCAATGGCAATCATAGTGCTCTCAAGAATCATCAGGGAAATTTCATCATTAGCCAGATCACTGTTAAATCCACCTTTCAGCTCCGCAACACGGAAGATCGAGCGAGTGAAGATCGTTAAAACGGCAATGGCAAGACCTTTGATTGGGTTAGCATAGGCTGATAAATTCGGATTATTTAGTGACACTTGCCCAGAAGGAACATCTTCCATTTCAAACCACTGCGAACAGATGCTGTAGACGCATTCTTCATGTCTTCTGAGCTGCGGCGCACTCGCAGGGCGAATTCCGAAGCGAGCACGATGAACAGCGTCAACGAGGCGACCTGGAAAGCCAATCCTGCAATCATAATATTGACACCGGTATCGCTGAGGCTTTTTTGGTCTGAGTCGGCGATGGAGGTAATGGCGCCGCCGGCTGCTTGTAGGACTAGAGCGATGATATCGCAAGTGACGAAGACGATGGTGTATGTACGTGGGCGAATCCTGGAGATATCTTCCCCGTAGACGATGACAATTCTTCCCAGGCAGATGTAAATGGCGGCGGTGAAGAAGGCCGGGGCAATCGTGAGACAAATGAGGTATCTAAAAGTCAAGCTTCTGATTAGCTTGCTTTATTCAGAGGTATGTCTCAAAGGTCACGTACAGAAGGAATGCATTAAAGTCGAATGGGTTTCTGTGCATCATGAGTCGTCCGATATATCCCAGTATTTCAAGAATGAGCCCCGCGGTCATGGCCCCCATGTATGTCCATATTCGGAACCATGTTCCTAGGGCGATTTGTGCAGCGAGGAGAAGGCCGAAGATGACGAGGAAGAGGACATTTGCCGGGATGTTAGGTTGGTAATTGATATAGGCCAAGTCAATTGGGCAAGTTGCCAAGGTGCAGTCGTCCATGTTCATTTCCGACATTTTCAGTGTTGATATTTCTACTCTTTTTCTCTCTTTTTTCTTCTTGTTCTTTTTTGAGATAGTGGGGAGGAGAAGAGGTAGAATGCGAGTCTAGATGGGTTGAGGTTGATATTCCCCTCCTCATAGCATCGAACACACACACTCTCTCTCTTTATACAATCTGACAAAATAACGAGGCCTGAAAGTCAGCCACGAGGCTATGCTATCTCCGATCCTACGTAGGACTATCATTGGCGCGACTATACTTCTCAGGGCCGAAAATGGGGCCGTGCCAAGACACGGAGTCCAGGCCAACTCCGAGTCCGCGGACTAGGAGGGGAATTGCCTGGGGGCCGGTCCGCGGACTCTTAAGGCCTCCTGTTCCTGTTCAGCCTCCATCTTAGCTCCAATTCTTTAAATGCTGCCTACTATGTCCGTGCCGACCAGTCTAGGCCGAGTCAGGACCTGCGAGAACTGTGTGCGTGCTAAAATTAGGTGCTCGCGCACCTCTACCCAAAGCTGCGATCGGTATGCAACATCCCCCTTCTACTTCTACTTCTCTTCTCTTCTCTTCTACTTAGCAACGTAAAGCTAACACGCTTTGAAGGTGTCTCCGTCTGAAGAGAGATTGTTATTTCCGCGCAACAAAAGCTCGTACTCCTAAGAAGAGGGAGACGTATATCTGCCCATTCCTCGTATCGATACGATCTGTCAAGCTGACCGCATCTAATCTAGGCGAATAGGTGCACTCGAGGACAAGGTGGATCAAATATTAGGCCAGATCAATCAGCCTCACTCAAGCCCGCAACAGGCACCACTGCCACTGCCACTGTCCCCGAAAAGTGAAAGTTGTGCTCCGACTCCTCGAAATCCGTGCGATGTGATCGGGAACGGGCTGATCACCCACGAAGAGGCAAATCGTTTGATAGAGAGCTTTCGTGATGCCATAACGTATTTCCCATTTGTACAGCTGCCGAGAAACGCCACTGTCGAGGATCTCAGATCGGAGAAACCCTTCCTCTTACTCTCTATTCTTTTGGTCTCCTCGTTTCGAAATGTCCAGCTGCACCTGGCCCTCGAGGACGTTTCGACGTCTTACCTTGGGGGACAAGTCTTGCAAGGCAATCGCCAACAACCCTTTGATATACTACAGGGATTGCTGGTTACTATAGCTGGGTATGTTCTAGACAATTTCTCTCTTCATTAGATTCACAAAAGCTAACACGGAAGATAGAACGAAGAAAAAACTCCATATAGTGCGGTTTTCTGGATATCTGCACCTCGCACAAAGTATAATCAACGATTGCAGACTGGATTACCCAGCCAAGCTGCGAGTAGTAAGACAAAGAATTGACGTCATGTCGGAAACGGATCCTCCGACAGAATCGATTTCCCTGCGAAACGAGGAAATGCGAGCTTTGGTTGGATATTTTCTCCTTGACGCGAGGTAAGTTCGATTTACCACCTGTACAGCCCGGTCTAGACCTGAAAAGACTATGTCTTGCTTACTTTCTTTTCACATGACTAGTCACTCCATAGTACTACAGCGGACAGGAACAATGCCTTGGTCACCCTTCATAGAATCATGCGCTGCGAAGTTGTCGCAGGAATGCGAATTCTCAACCGATCGATACCTGTTAGGCCAGGTTCAAGTACAACACATGCTTGTACGAATCGATTCCCTAGTTGCACGGGGATACGGTGAGAATCAGGCTCCTGCGGATATAGAAGTTATGATTAGTTCTCTTCAAAGCGATTTTGAAGATTGCAAAGCCCGGCTTCCTGTCCCTATTGACCATGATGGTGAGTTGACCAAGCCTTATCTGTACTGCAGATCTAAATTCTAACACTTGATTAGTATTTCAAGGCATTCTGTCCCACGCCTTCGAAATCCATCTCTATCAAACTATCTTTTTCGATGTATACCCATCTTCCGCCGCGTCATTCGACCAATCCATGGCCCTCCTGCGAATCGATGCCCTTTGTCACGGACTAGCGGCTGCAAAACAATTTATGAGCTTTTACTTCAGTCTACCACCTGGTATTGAAAAGAGATTTAGTTACACCCAATGGACAATGACCGGGTTCAGCGTTGTAGCTTCATGCAAACTTGTTCTCGCATCGTTGGAGCCATCCGTTCGAGATCACGATCAAGTCCGAGGATTGCGAGAGACATTGGATATGCGGCATGAAATCCAGAAATCTGTCAAGCGCATGAATACGCTTGATCAGGAGTGTAAAGGTGGGAAGTGGGATCAACATGAGATATTCTTCTACCAAGATTGGCTGCGGTTCCTTTCTGAATGGTTTGAAAAGAAATATCGTCTTGCGCAGTCTGATAGTGCTGGAGAGAATAATGGTGCACTGGGAGTCTTCACCACTGGAATCTCAGAAAATAATATCTATGAAGAGCCTCAGCCTGATCCTGGTTTTCCTTGGGTGGATCTTCAGGACGTTACGATTGAGGAGATGTTGAATGTGTGGTTAGAGCCAATGAATATGCCACACTACTTTTAAAATGTACAATGTTGGCCTTGATAGTTTCAGTGACGAATGCATACCCCTCTCTGCTTTCTTTTATTTGAATTGCCATTTTATACTACTAGTTCTAACCAAGTACTCAAATTGAACACGGCCTGTTAGGCGGTGGATCCAACCAACCCCGCAGACTAAAGACCAAATAGAAGCTTTGATCACATCAGTATATATACTTACTTTGATAAGGTGCTTATAATCCAACACCAATAGAGAACTGACAAGAATTTATGAACGGAAAAGAGCCTTAGTGGGGACAACAGATACGTTTTATATACTTCTTGTGAAATGGAGCATAAATAGCATGAAGAGCTTAAGCAAGCCAGCAACAGCTAGAATTCGTAGTTTGTGTCTACATAGCGGTTGCTCTCAGCTCCGTATCTTGCGAACAGGGCCGCATGGAATGGGCACGCCCCACTGTTCCGTTTCAGTCCAAGCATGTCTGCCCATACTCACGGTCTGCTCATACTCCACGGTCTGCTCATACGCCCTCCAGTCGCAGGAGATTACCGGCTATGGACACCTGCCAGTTGAGCTGGAGCCACTGGACGTCAATCATCGGACTGCCATCACAATTGGCTTTACAGCAAGCTCCAACCCCCGGTCCCCGCGAGCCCCCCATCATCCCTGGCAGCTGAGCGAGAAAACTGTTCAGCGTATTTTCGGTACATGCGAAATAAAGGCACGTATTCACGTATCCAGAGATAATCGTATTTGACTGCAACTGTAATGTTGGGACAAAATATAATGGTATTCGAACAAGCGGTTTGTCCCCATAGCAGCTAAGCAGTTCAAGAAGGTGTATGGTTACACACCCACCCAGCGGTCTGAGGAGAGTATTCAAAGGGCAATTGTAAATGAGATAGAAGCGAGAGAAGCAGGAGAGCTTTTTTTATTGATATTTAGATAGTTAGCTGGTTAATTTGACGATTTCTTGAAAAATTGACGGGGATTGCGGGCGCACCCATAAGCGAAAGCAGTGGGGGCGCTGGAAGGCACGGATAGTAATTCACAGGTCTCAATATTACTAAAGAAAGTTCTGGGGTCTAAATTATTGTAAAAGTATTTTCTTCTTTCTAATCTACAAGAGAAAAAAGTAAGAAAAGAAAGTATAGACTGATTACTATTATAAACTACTATATGATTGCTATACAATTTATTTGAACTATCTATTTCATCGGCTCAAGTAGTATTGTGTTATCTAGTATTGTATTTGGATATATTAAATTGGTCCCTTGTCGATTTAATCTAGATTTCCCTTCTCTTATAACCAAACTATATGTAAATCAAGTAACTATAGAAAAGTCTCTTATACCATAAATCTATACTGGCGAGACTCTTCTAGAAGAGGCTCTAGAAATTTCTCCTATCTATAAAATTATCTTTGTTACTCTGGACGTCTTTGCAAAATTTATATCCTGGATCATTGAAAAATATAATATATATTCTTAGTATCAAAGAGCCTTAGCCTTATCTTGAGTAAATCTACAATTATAATATCTAGCGACAGAAGACCATTCAAAGGAGAATTATATAGCGAGTATAAAGGTCGATATCCTCCTATAAGTAATCTTAAGGACCGACTCTCCGTTCAAATCAAAGATACCTTTGTAAACAAAATTGCCGAGCGTTCTGGTACAGCTTATATAGATTACCACGACTATATAAAAAAGGTAGCGGAGCACGGCAAGTTATATGATGATGCGACGAACGATGAAATCTGGTTTGACTATGATAGTTCCGATACCAAGCTAGGACATTGGAAAGGCTAGACTACAGCTTATATAAAAGCAAAATTTCATTTTAAGGATGTTTGATTTTGTTTTGGTGCTGATGGTGTGGCCGGACTATATAGAAAAGTGGTTTGGGAAGCACTGTGAATTATATGCAATTCATCTTTAATCTGGTCTCCAGCCTCGCTGTATTTCGTAAGAGTGAATTGATATTTTTATAGAAGCGAAGAGTAGTTGGTATAATGACTCGTATATGATAGGACTCTGGGAGCAAACGATAAACATGTTTGATTTTAATTTTGATTCTGCTGAAAAGACAACTAAGATTTTAGTAAAATGAACGCTTAAACTGGCGTCGAGTGTAGCCGTACTGGGCGTTCGATTTACTGTCACTTAGCGTTGTGGTGTAAATTCAGCCTAATCAGGATTATAATAGTATATTCCAAGCACAAATAGTCTCTGCCTCAGTTCTATAAATTTTCATGACACCTGCATTTAAATGGTTACATTGAGTCTATTCTATGTTTCATGGTCTAGACCCTGTCCAGAGAGAACGATCTGGGGAGAGGGGCCGTTTGCGGCCGATAAACGGGTCACGCGTGGGCGATAAAACTAAACTTTGATTTTGCCATATGTATAAATGGCACAAAATATATAATCTTTCATGGAGGGTATAGGTAAAAGTTGAAACTTATCGAGGTAATTTTTAGAATTTATGACGATAGAGCCTCTTATGACTACACTTTATACTCCATGTATGTGGTGTTACCCGAATATTATGGGACGGAATTAATTCCAGTTAATAAGAATGTCAATAAAAGCAGCGGCTTACAAAATGATGATGACCATGGACTTTTGTCGTAAGATGTCATCATTTATCAAAAGCGATTATACTTTTCTTGAGATACTTGAGATACTAGTTCTAGAGAACTAATATCTAATATGTATACCACTATTGTCTACTAGGATGGTTACACTTATTTTCTCTATATTCTATATGTCGATAAACCATTCCACTTTTACCCTTTACTATAGTCGCTATCGGTCCCCCCACAACCAGTACCAAATATGAAACACGACTACGAAGTCAGACTCCTGCTCGGTTCAACCGCAGTCCTCAGCTCCAATAATAAGCTGATAGAGATCGTCCTATCGACCTTTAAGATGCCCCCGACCACAACGAAGCTGAATGTCCAGTTCTTGGACAAAGGCTCCTTAGATCTCTATGCTACTAGCTGGAGTGCTCACATTCGCAAGATTAAAAATAAGAAAGATCTCGAACTGACCTATAAGAAACGGTATACTATCTGGGAAAGTGACAATAACGCCGTTTTCAATTTGGCTAATAATGATGGTTCCAACACTGATAAGAAAACATACGAAGCGCAAGTCGAATAGGGTCTTAAGAAACAGACACTTTCTATTAGCCGCAAGAAAGATGTAGACCCTGAGAATAGTGGACTGGACCTGCCGGGAACAGAAATCTCCCGCCAACTTCTGATCAACGAAGCACCAGGAAAGTTCGACAACTGGAATAGTAATTCATGGGGTACCAAAATATTGAAGAAATCGCGCATTCTTGGCCCAATTCTCAGCCAACGACTCATTGGCTCATGGAATAAGATACCCTATATATTGAGGTCTGGCCTCTATTGAACTCCACGCGTACGGGAATTAAATACTTCATTGAAGTTTCTTTCAAGACCAAGACACAAGAGTCTGAATACAGGTAGAGTGGCACGGGTTCCCCGAACCCGAGCGGGTTTTTCTTGGCATCGTGTGATTAAGAAATCTAGATTTCTATATAGAACTAGATTTTATATATAAAATATCAATTCTAAATATATAGAATTGATAGAGATATAGAGCTTTAAAAATTTCTATATTTGACCTATTTAGGCAAGGTCTGTAATTAATAAGCGGTATCTTACCTAATTAGGTTTAGTCTAGCGTTGGCGGGGAACCCGCGGGTCGGGGAGGTCTAAACCTAGCGGGTTTGGGTCGGGTGCGGGGAGTCCTGTTAAAAACCCGACCCGCGTGCAACTCTAAGCAAGATATATATAATATATATATTATTTCTAAAAAGTAAACCAAGTCAACAAAGAATACAGGAAATAATATTGTCTATTTCTAGTTATAGGGAGTCTTTGTATAAAAGTCTAAAAAGAATTTGTATTGTATAGAATTGAAGTACCTATCAATAAATATATATATATATAACTTTTAGACTATTAGGTCGACCTTATAAATGGTATTATAAGGCCTGGGAAAAGGTGGAAGCAGTCTACTATACCGCTATTTCAGACCCCTTACTGCATCTACAATGTATATAAAGCATATTTATGATACAATTGCCGATGAGAGCTGCTTAGTACTATACTAAACGGCCGTTGACGACCCGAGAAGAGCACCTGAATGGGAGCTGTATTCGGGTATAATGCATTTCTCTCTCTCTCTGTCTCTCTATATCTGCGGTGCGCTGTACTCCGCCCGCAAACGCCCATAGAGTGCGGTATCACCCTATATATAGACCCAGGGAGGGCTACGATCTCTGTCTTGTAGGAAAAAAAAAGTAATTATTCCTTCCAGATAGATCTATATTAAGTACTTCAGATACACGCCAGCAGCAGAGGGAATATAGGGAGGAAGCAGGAACACAGGCAGCGGCCAGCAGACCACTAATCAAGGCCATCGAAAATTGGTCGCGGCGCAGATGTCCAGAGACTAGTGACTAGACCTGAGACTTAACTCATGTGTACAAAAGCGAGTCACGTTCCTCAGGGGAATTTAGATCTCGGAAGACACACACTTCTGTCCCATTATCCTGCTGCGGACGTTCCAAGCCATTGAGGAAAGCACCCACTTCATTGCCCTTATAACCAAATATAGACACTTTATTAGAATCACCACCCCCATAGCAGTGGACTCCAATAGCTCTCTGGACCCCATTTGGTGCGGTGTGGAGAAGTGGCCCTCCAGAGTTGCGTAGTGAAAAAGCATTTCAGTATATTTAATGGCTAATATGAGATGAAACTCACCACCATATATATCTAAATGATAGTGGAATATAAACTTCCACACAGTAAGGTCGTATTTATGTATGGTGCAGTGGCTGAGGCACATATACTCTCCCTCTTCTATATCTGTTGGGTAGCCAACAACGGTGATGTGTGCTTGCTGTCGATTTGTGGGAATGACCTTATATGGTATCACCTGGTAGTCATTAAAGGCTCTCTCAACTTTAACAAGCGCTAAATCATATATGTCACGATGGTAAGTAGAATACCCCAAATGAACAACAATGTGCTTTCCTTTCCTACACTCAACAGTATCGGCGCTAGAACCATTGTAACCAACATGGACACTGATATAATCAGCACGGCCATATGTAGCGCTGTGCATATTATGGCCAGCTGTGACCACAATGTCCCTATTGATGAGCCATCCGGAGCCGTTGTAAAAGTGCTTGTCCCCCTCAAATGGATAGTCATCTTGCATACAGCTGTCAATAATATGAGCGTAATAATCACTGATTAGCCATTTCGCAAACAATCTCGCAAGGTTCTGTTCGGTCAAGTCCAGATCAAAGCGGCCATATCCTGAATATTGAAACCTTTCGGTATCATAATTAGACCATCCACTTCAGAGATCTGAAGCTGCGGAGCTCAGATGCTCTTACCCGACAGTGTAGCAATTGAACCTAGGCTCTTTTCCCATAACTTTACCCTGGCAGGAACGGCTGAATTGTCCGAAAGAGTCTCAGCTGTTGGTTGTGTGGCGGCCATAGCTGTTGGCGAGGGAGGCTGCGTGCTAAAATGCAGAGAGGAATGCTATCAAGGCTGCAGCGTAGACTGTGTTCACATTCGCTCCTGCCGACAATTCATGACCTTAAGCCTCAAAAGTAGAAAATAATGAATAGGCTTAGTGGCAGTTCGTGGGGCCTAGAACTTATTTATTACAGAACAATCGAAATAATACCAGTATCCTAGGGTTGTTCAAACAATTATTCCATGAGTCCGGAACTATGGATCGATGACGCCGTAGCTTGAAGGAACCCCGCACTGTGAACTATGTCCGTACCATGTTTCAATATAGGGCCAGATACAGCGAATATATATAAAGAGTCGCGTGATGTACATCAGGCAGGGAGACACGCTTTAGGCTGGGTTCTGCCGAAACTTAGCTGCCCTTCCTAATACGCAACAAATGACATCAACCAAATATGGTTCAATCACACCACTATCGTCCATGATGTTATAGAACGGGATGACAATCTAACTGTGTGGTCTGGATGTCATTTTGCCCCGACCCCTGGTCATCCTCAGAAAATTAAAATGGGTGAAGATGGTATATTATTATATCCGTTTAATAACAGCTCATCCCCTGCTCAATAGGACAGGGCTACAGTATAACTGAGAATCTTCTAATTGTTTCTTTCACCTCGAGCATATAGCAATAATGAAATTTGAGAGACGGACTTCTATACATGATCTGGACAGGCTAAGCCTTCAGTTGCATAAACCCAGCTGGCAAGGACCACCATTCAATGTGTGTTATTCAATCTCAAACCAAGAGTTGGTCACTTACTAACGGTGCAGGCCATTTATGCTGGTATTGCGACTCATTTTCATGTGTTTTCTTCTGGAGCATCCCTTGCTATTGCCGTTCGCGATAGCTCATATTTACTCGACTTTGCACAGTATGACTTCCGCTCGGGCGATCGGTACCAGGGTTGGACGGAATTTTCGAATTTCATCCTGGACAAGTTGAGAGAGTACCAGGAAGAGCACTGCGAGAAGTTCATCGGCTTGGCGATGCAGGCGGAATTAGCTGAGAGATGTCCCGAGCTCTGTTCCTTGCTTTGGCTTGAGCTCGATATCATCCCCATTGTACTTCACAAAGCAGAGGAACATGTGAGTTGGGGCATATATGAGCAAGACATCTCGTATAAGTCATTGGATGAACAGGCTGAGTCAATTGCAAGAAAATGCATTAGGTACGGTTTTCCTTTCCCCCATTCCCCGTGATCGAGGACCTCATTATTGGCCAGGTTTTTCGGTCCCAGCAAGGCTCCTGTGCCGGAGATAGGGCTTCGAGGCCTCGTCGAGGTCGATGCCGCATTCCATGTGAAACTCACCAGGCTTGCCGATTATGAGGAAACCGTCGGACCCCCAACGTGGACGGCCGTTAATAAGTATGCTAGCGATCTAAAACAACGCAGAGTGAAGATAGCATTCTTCAGTGCGACTCCCCAAGGCGGTGGTGTTGCGCTCATGCGCCACGCTATGGTTAGGTTTGCGAAAGCAATTGGAGTTGATCTCAGATGGTAAGACTTTCACACTCGATCTCAACAGCAAACCTCTCGATATTTTTCGCTCACTAATTGTGGCAGGTATGTCCCGAAGCCAAGACATGGGATCTTCCGCATCACCAAGAACAACCACAATATCCTTCAAGGTGTAGCCGCTCCTGGGACACGATTCACCAAGGAGGACAGAGATATCCTTTCTGGTTGGGTGCTTGAAAACGCAAAACGATATTGGCTTGGAGCAGAAGGAACTAAGATTCCTGCATTGCTAGATAAGCTTGGCCCGCAAGTCTATCCTTGGCTTGCGCGACATGGCCCGCCTCCTCCCCATTGGTTCCAGAAGAACGGTCCTCTGGTTCCGCCATGGGAGGGCGGCGCCGATGTGATCATCATTGATGACCCGCAGCTGCCGTTCTTGATTCCCCTCATCAAGCAAGAGACTCCGGATCGGCCAGTCATCTTCCGTAGCCACATACAGATCAGAAGTGATCTGACTGACACTCCTGGGACTCCCCAGGCTGAGGCATGGGAGTTGTTGTGGGAGGCGATCAAGCAGGCAGATCTGTTTATTAGTCACCCCGTACATGCATTTGTTCCAAAGGATGTCCCTCAAGAAAAGCTAGGATTTCTTCCGGCAGCAACAGACTGGCTGGATGGGTTGAACAAACCAATGACAGACTGGACTGCCAGTTGCTATGGGCGGGTCTTTAACTCCAAGTGCCGAGAGCAGTATATGACAAACATTGCATTCCCAGATGGTCAGTAATCTTCGTGCCTTGTTCTCACCTCCTCCCGGGCTAGAGATCACTGACATGTTGCTTTGCCTAGAGGAATATATTGTCCAGGTTGCTAGGTTTGACCCTTCGAAAGGGATCCAAGATGTCCTAATCTCATACGAGGCATTCCACCGGCGACTTGTGGATTCCCGTCCGGACCTAAGGCCACCCAAACTACTCATCTGTGGACACGGGTCAGTGGATGACCCAGACGGCTCATTAGTCTGGGATAACACCTTGGATTTCATCGAGCAGCATCTGAAGCATTTGCAGTCACTCATCTGTGTCATGCGGATTGGTCCTAATGACCAGATGCTTCATACCCTCCTGTCCAGAGCAAAGGTTGCCCTCCAGCTCTCTACTCGTGAGGGGTTCGAGGTCAAGGTCTCAGAGGCACTCCATATAGGTAAACCAGTAATTGGGACACGAGCTGGTGGGATTCCATTGCAGATCCAACACGGAAAAAATGGCTTCCTGGTGAACGTTGGTGATACCGATGCGGTAGCAGAACATTTATTTGAGCTCTGGACAGATCGAGAGTTGTATGATCGTATGAGCAGCTACGCGGCAAAGAGCGTGAGTGATGAAGTTAGTACGGTGGGTAACATCTTGTCATGGCTATACTTAGCCTCGAAGCTATCGAAAGGTGAGAAAATTCAACCCAACGGAAGCTGGATAAACGACATGGCCCGTGAAGAAGCATATGAGCCATACAAGGCAAACGAGAACAGGCTTAAGCGAGGATTGACAACATAGTGGGATTGTAGATCACAAATTCTGGAGTCAAAAATGGGATCAAATTTCAATGCCAGGAGAAATACCGGTGATCATTACAACGGACGAAGACCCTACTTCTTCTCCACCGTCCCAATGTGATCAGTTGAAGTATGGATAGGCGTCAGATTCAGGTATCTATGCTTCGAATGTCACCTCGATGCATGTTTCCACAATTATGATACTTTAAGACTGCACCTTACTAGGCAAAGTTTAGCTTTTAACCAACCTTTATACGGATCATCTATAGACAGCAACCTCTAAATCTTCCTAGAGGGAAAAAGTTTTGATTTCTTTGACTTCGAAGATTCTTCCTTAGCCTCACAATGCAGTACTATTCCCAGTCCTTATGAGTACAGAGAGACTAGCAAGTTTGTGGAGACATTTCAATTCTCATTATAGTATGGAGTGCCAAGTCGTATATAAAACACATCAAAAGAACAATAAGTATCAACCTCAAATTCAGAGCCAAGAATCCGTTAGCACCGCATGTTCAATCGCTCTGGATGTGCTTAAAGTTCGGTCACATATTAACCTCGCAAAAGAAATACTGCGGCAGTCGAACCGTGGATACAGCACTGGCGTTCAAAGAACGCGGCGGTTCTCCGCCTTCTTCTCTTGCGGGACTGTTCCGGATCTTCTTCTAAACAGTCTATGCAAGACCTTTCCGCAGGCAGTCACCACTCGCGGAAGCAACGTTGTTTTGTAGTGGCGGACACTGAAAACATAGTACAATATTGCAGCCCCTGCAATGTTAAAACCAATATAGGCCCAACCAATTCCGAAGTTGCGCCAGCGTTGACTGTAGTCTGATATATCATCATGATTAGCGCTTGAACAGCACTGAGGAATACACAGAATTCGCATCAATCAGGCTTGCCACTTACAGATATTGCTTAGAGAAAGATACTGGTCTGCGGTAGTAAAAGCGCAGAACTCGCAGTTTGTCGTGGCAGAGGGGTTGTACAGTTGGCATGGCGATACACTCAACCAATCCGCCATGTATTGACCGCATGTCTGACCTTGAGGCGGAGAAAATACACTGAGCTCCTTGCTAGAACATTGAACACTCTGCCCGTGCAGCGTATTGCCGCACATTCCAGCGATCAAGTAGGTTAGGGCCGAGACACGGTACATGAAGATCCAGAATCCGGGCAGTGCGTTTGGGGTCTGCATGACTCCATTAAACGTTAGAGTCAGGGCAAAGGACAATGTCGCAACAGTTCCTGTTCGGTGTTCGCCTAGTGTCAGCAATGTTCTCACTGGGCCACGTCTTGTCGGACTGGGGATATCCTACCTGCAGTTTCGGCATCTGGCAAGGACGAGATCACCAGGTCTGCGAAGGTCGAGGTGAAGAGGAAGAATTGAATCACAAATAGTAGCATTAGTCCCTGCTTATCCGAGCTCTGGTTTGCACCATAAATCGGATAGTAGTAACTCGCCCAGACTAGAACTCCGAGAATGGCCATGTACGGAATCTCAACGACGATATTCGAGACAACGAACGCCACCCATGAGTAAGCTTTGGATGGCCGTTCACGAACCTCATACAACGAGCACTGAGTGACAAACTTGGGCATTATTCTATGAGCTTGGTTAGGGACAAAGGCTTCAAATATCATGAATTAGGGATCAGCGGGGTAGACTTACTGTTGGACCAATGTGGAGAAGATTGACGTCAACATGAATGAACTGAATAGAAGGTTCTGTATCCCCTGAATCGAATGTCCTGGCAAGAAGTAGGAGAAGCCAATGAACAAAGCCGAAACGACGCCTAACATGAACTTTGCCCCGATATAGGCAGGTTCACGCCAGTACTGCTGAAATACCCGGTGAGTGACCCACCAGAACTGAGCAGTGAGCGGCATGGCATATTCTCCCTGGTCGTCTGACAGTTTATCAATTGGTGCAGGGCCACCATTAGGAACACATTGCGTGGCACGTATGCGACCTAATTCGACTTTTACTTCGCGCGCTTCCGGGCTTTCTTTCCAAACTACCGGCCAATCTTTGGTAGCTTGACCCGATGCCCCTGCGCCAATGATTTCCAACATGTATTCGGCAGGCTGGAATCACAGTGTCGTCAGACACTTGCTATATGCCTTTAGAAACAGGATGTATTGGACGTATATTCTCGGATGGGTCGCACTCTCTTGCTCCGTTTCGCTCGAAGTAACTTAGCAGTGTTCTGGACTGCTCCCCGATTTCGCCAAAGTAAACTGTTCTCCCACCTTTGGCCAGGAAGAGAAGACGATCAAACTGCTGGAATAGAATGGCACTTGGCTGGTGAATTGTGGAAAGAACTGCCTGTCCGTTATTTGCGAGCTTGCAGAAGAAGGCGCAAATAGACCATGCACTCTGCGAATCTAGGCCACTTGTTGGCTCATCAAGAAATAGGCTGTCCACGCAACGCTCCTAGTCAGTAGTCTGCCTGAGGTCACAGTAATTTTGTCTGAGGTCACAACTTACAGAAGCTGGGGTTTGGCTGCAAGTCCAACTCCAATGGTCAGGAGTTTGCGTTGCTCCACATTGAGGCCTTCTCCTGGCGTACCAACGACAGCTTCCGCAAAATCCTTCATATTCAGCATTTTGATGACTTGTTCAACGTAGTCATACTTGTCTACCTTGGAAACGCTCTTGGGCTGCCGCAGCATTGCACTGAATCTCAGAGCCTCTCGTACCGTAGATGTAGCGAGGTGGAGGTCCTGTTGTTGCACGTACCCGGTTTGTCGTTGAAAGCTTGCTGGGAGAGACCCTCCATTGACCAGCATATCCCCAGTAACAACCCCGATTGAGACCCGCTGTGCAAGAACATCCAGCAATGTGGTTTTGCCGGCTCCAGACACGCCCATCAAGGCTGTAAGAGCTCCTGGCTTGACCCAGCCGTCAACATGATCGAGAAGGCGGCGCTGTCCACCCTTTACCGGGATATCGTAACAGAGGTCCTGCCAGGTAAAGGTGCTTCGCTGTTCGGGCATGACTGTACTCAAGTCGACGGGCTCTCCATTCTCCGCTGGCGACTTCAGCCCCGGCGTTTGGGAAGTGGGAGTCTTCTCTGTATCTTGAATCGTCGCTTTCCTGTAGCCAGGAACGTGACCACGACGAAAGACAAGAAACTCAGATGTGGACGACGTGGCGGAATTCAGCTCTGTGGCAATTAGGTACAGGAAATTAAAGAACGTCCAGAAGCCAATGAGGATGCCGAGATTTCTCCACTCGTGAGAGTAGCTGTAGCGGTACTGCGCGTAGATGAAGGAATCACCAGACACAGTTCTTACTCCTGCCACGGACCCAGGCACGGAGCAAACAAAGGCATCGCCAGAGAAGCTTGGGTACCCAGGAATAAACTGAGAACACTCGAAACTTCTTTCATGGAATTCATTGGAAATGAGGCTCTCGAAGGTATAGAAGAGCGTGTTGATCCATCGCAGCCAGGAAAACCAGGGATGCATCTCCGGCGCCGGGATAACGAATCCTGCATAGATGACAATGATTAGGATCATGAGTCCGGCCAGCGCCATGGCCTGGGCAACACTTCGTGTCACGGCGGTCAGAGTACGGAAGACCGCCGACATGATCATAGTTGAAAGGAAGCTGAAGAGAAAGAAGATGAAGAATTGAGATGCAGTATAGCGCTTTTAACTTTTGTCAGCGGCTGAATAGCTTCATATACATTTGGGAAATTTGGCCTTACCAGACTTCCAAGGAAATAGATGACTACATTGAACAGAACTGCAGAAACAAGCTTGATGGGTAAATCTGCAATTACCCCCCCCAAAAGGCCTCTGCAAAAGGGTGGACAAAGGCATAGGAAGCTTGCTTCTCCACAATAGGACGCTGATCATAGAGGGAATTGATTTCCATCACGCTAATCAGGGCATTGAGTCTGCATAACGTCAAGTTCGGCCGGCGTTCGTCAGGCCATCAGCAGGAAAGCACCAAGCTTACAGGGTGGCAAAAAAGAGCAGTGAACCTTTGGCGAAGAAAGCAGCATTGGCATCTGGAGTGCTGCAGAGTATAGTCAGTATGGCCACCTCACGACGTAATGAGATCTATACTAAACTTAGTCAAAGAAAGTCGACTCAACAACCAAAGACATGACGACTCGACCAACAAGCAACGTCAGTGTTGAAGTTTTGTCGTTCCATATCCTAAGGAAGTCAGGTGTCATTAAGTACCCAAGCGAAAAGGCAAGACCTTGACGTCAGGTAGCAGTCAGACATACCTCTGATAGGCCCTTATCATGCACAGTTTGGGTTGCATTGGAACGGAGATGAGATATGGACTCCCTGACCGGACGTTCTTTGCCTGCTCCATGCGCTTCCCAGCTGAGACATCCTCTTGCCCGTGGCTCCCGAGAGGATATTCAGACTCGTATTGTCTGATTTGTTTCAGAAGGGTTGCGTATTCCGGGCTACTCTTCCAATATCTCTGAAACTCTTCTGGAGTCCGCGGAACTATATCCTCCATCCCTTCTTGGGCATTGCGCTCGTGAGTGTTAGTAACAGAAGTAAGAAAGTCTCCCACCGTCTGTCGAGGAGGGTTGACCCATCCCATCGTGGTAAAATATTTCTCCGCCTGCTTGCATGGTCCAAAGTAGATTTCGCGGCCGTCATACAAGACAATCACCTTGTCAAATACGTCATAGATTGCTTGGGATGCCTGGTAGGTGGCTACAGCATGGCAGGCTCCGGCTAGATCGGCTGATATTCTCAATGCTTTCACAAATGCGAGGGCACTGGCAGCATCGAGACCCCGTGTACTGTTATCCCAAGCTGCAAGAGGAGCTCGTGCGACTGCAGTCATAAGAAAGTCAACATATTAGCGAAATTTACGCTCACATTTGAAAATTCCTTGGAGGTAGAGGTTTCATCTTACCCGCCATCTCTGCGATGCTGTGACATTAACAACGTCAGCCGCCACTCATACTTGGAAAATTTTAGTCAATACGCTATAGTGCATAACGATTATTGAACAAATGATTTCTTACCTGACACGCTTTCGTTCTCCCCCAGATACTCCTCGAATATAATCGTCCCCGACTGCAAGTCTTGACTCAGTAATGCATGCACCGGACAAATCACGTGTTAAAACTGACCTCGGGTGTTATATGTATGGGACAGGCTCAGCACCGCCATAGCTACCTGTGTAGTTTCTTTGACATATTGCTTGCGAGACACGCCCGCCAACCGATGAGATGGCGTCCTGGCCGAGGCGGCAAATTCCAGAGTCTCACCGACGGTTAAATGTGGGAAGTGTTTATCCACCTACTGGTTGTAGACGAACTCGCCCTTGAACTCTTTGTGCATCTTCTTCCAAGGTATTCCATTGTAGTGCATGACCGAGTCCGGATGTAACTCGAGCCCGTGCAATTCACCACAGATTGTCTTATGGAACGTTGAGCAACCGCTGCCCGGTCGACCGAGGACCATGAGCATCTCGCCGCTCCTCAAAAAACCATCAAAATTATGCAGAATCTGCCTCTTGGGAGCTAGATGCATGATCTTTCGGTAGCTTTCAGGAAGGAATGGAGCCAGCAAAGTCGAGCTAACTGTTTCCTGAAGCTGCAGGGCTGCGCCGGACCCGGAGAGGCTGAGGTTTTTGAAGACCACTCCCGCGTGCTTACGCAAGATGCCTTCCTCGTCGAGCTGGTTGAGCCTGGTACGAGCCCATTTGTACGCGTCGAGCTCTTTAATACTATATAAGATAACCCCAGTCTGGATAAGCTATAGAAGAAAATCCTAATAAAGAGACTCTATATACAAGACAGCACAGCAGATTAATTATAAAGGAGATAAGGACAACTTACTGTTTAATTTCACAGGGAGGGGGCAGGTAGAGAAGACAGTGTATAGACAGCAGATAGCAGACAGCGCACAGGCAGCGGGACTAAACTCGCGAGACATTAACAGTACTTAATAAAAGAAGCTAGGACTAGAGATTTTTATAAAGAGAAACTCGGAACTGTACTGCAGTAGGACACCAGTCAACTAAAGAAAAAAGAAGAAAAAGAAGTTAAAATTAGGAAAAAAAAGATTAGTCTATATATATCTTTCTATAGACAAATATACTAAATACTGCAGGGCAGAATTCCGCTGGAATAGCCTAAGCTTAGCTAAATAAGTTAAATATTAATAATTCTCTGATTTTTTGTATAACCGACGATATTATTATAGAAATTTATAGAATAGGGCAGAACAGTGCAGAAATAACTAAATAAAAGAGATCTGTAAGAGAACACTGGCGACAGAAGTAATACTGCGAAGAAAATAGAAGATTCCAGTAAAAAAAGAGACTATATTCCCTGTAAAGAAAACAGGAATATTGTCACAGATCCGATGATGACTCCGCATGATGACTGTATCGTATACCCTGCCCGTCGTGCATATACAGCTCGGAGGACGAAGGGCGACGACGGATCACATATCCGTTGACTTTTCAATAGCGTATAGTAGCTCCTTGTCAGTCTTATCCTGTTAGGAGAATAAGGGGCTTCTTCTGGATATAAAGTTAGCCCAATGTTAATAGAAGGAGAAGGCAAGAATCAGTCTTCTGTCTGCCTGATATCTACTGCTTAGTTTTCGGCCTACGTACCCTTACCTAGTTGACAGGTCTTCTACCCTGAATAGTAGATATTTCCTTGACAAATATAGAGTAATCTTTTCTATCATAGATTTCCCCGCGAAAGGGTTTACTGTGGTTGGTTTTTATAGGTACTTATAGAAATAAATATATATAGTCTATATTCCTGTGATACCAAGGCCTCCTCGGGATAAGATAGTTATAAGAGAAGGGACTTAGCCTCGAGGAAACTGAGTAAGTATCCTGTAAGCAAACCCTTTAATCCTCGCACACTCGCGGGAGTTAGACGGAACCCCAGCGACAATACCTTAAGAAAAGGCAGATATAACCCTATGTCAACGCGAGGATAAGCCACTTCTCTAATATCACACTATTTCACACATCCCATCCTTATAGTGGGAATGGCAGGATGTATGCCTAAAATGAAGCCTTTCTAAACGCTAGGATCTAGGTGATGCACTGTTTTCTTAAGTGCTTTAATATCTTTATTTTCGGTTGAGATATTTGTATTTTTGGTTGAATTATCTGTATTTCTAATATTAAGCGCTCTCCCTACTAAATTGTATGGTAAAGTATCTTACCGGCTGAATGCCAAGCTTATACTAGCGAAGGTTGATTACTTTAAGAACACACCTCCGTATAGATATCTATATATTTTTTGAAATATATATATTCATATAATGCTAAAACATCTGAATACAATTCAAAAGCTGAAAAAATATCTAAATTAGGCAAGCGGGTCTAACGGGTTGGACCCGGCCCGGAGACCCGGCCCGGAGACCCGGTCCAGCCCAACCCATTCGGGTTCCCTGGGTTCGGGGCGGGTCCAGCGGGGAACCCGGTCAATTCTATTCAGTCTACAGGAGGCTTTAGCTCTGTATGGATAGATTGTAGATATCTTCTCTAGATCAGCCGCTTATTGAATATAATAACGAAGTCCTGTATAGCATGGTGGGCCGAAAGCCACGGTAAAAGTTTTCCGCCTGTCTGATAATCTCATTACAATCTCGAAGTCTTTTTTCCCCCTTTTAGCTGTCTGTAAAGGTTCTTATGTGTGAGATCTGATACCTGGTTAGTGCATACTGTCACAGGCATTCTATTTGATACACAGTTGTTCTTTGAAATGCAACTACGTTGGTTTACCTTCTGTCTTGTGGTTTGTAATCTGATCAGATCAGGGTGCTCAGGGGCGTGCTCAATTCTACTCAGTAATTAAAAAGCGGCGAGGGGTGACCGCTAAGACACAAAGAAAGGCCAAGAAATGGCATAGGAAATCCGGTACGTAGGCGATATATCTCACATTACTCACTTCATAGCTGGAGCTGTAGCTGTACTCTTATACTGTCCCATGCTCATGCAACACCTATATCAAATGCAGTAAGTCTCAAAAGAAGGTAGAGACGCCCGCCCCATCAAACCGAACATAGTCCACCGCCAGCCGACAGCATCGACACATCATGCGGAACGCGGCCTGCCGGGTCGCCCATGACATTGACCAGCATCGCCATACCCGTCGCAGAATGCCACAAAATATGGCAGTGGAACAGCCACACGCCAGGATTGTCGGCGCGGAAGCGAAGCACGGCGTACCCGCGACTGGGAATCTGGACTGTATCGCGAAGGGTGGCGCGAGAGAGATCGTACGGTTGGAAGGAGGGGCCTTCTTGGGTTGAGTGTTGTGTTTCGGGATCGGAATTTGGGTCTGGCTCCAGGCCCGGTGGGTAGGGGTCGATGAAGGGGTCGTAGGAGCCCCAGCCGTAGGAGGATTGTTGTACGGTTAGGATATAGAAGTGGTGTCCGTGCTGTGGGTGCGTATTAGCCGATGATAAATTAGATTGATTTGGGCGAAGAGAGAGGAGGAAATAGAGAGAGCATGGACACTTACCAGATGAAAGGGGTGGGGGCCCTCGTCGAGATTGTTTACGACTAGGTCCACCCATACAGCCTCGGGGCCGGTTGAGAACGCCAACTGATTATAGTCCCAGCGCTCTCGCGGGAGACCGATCAGTGGTGCAGGTGGGTCACTCTGGGGCTTCCACGTAGTCTGGTTAAAATAGCCTTCGGGGATGTTGCTATTACGGGCCATTATCTGGATTTTGGTGTAGACGACGTGTGTTTGTTGGGCCTTGGGAGGTAGGCTCTGAAGGATGGAGGGGGCTGAGGGTACATCCTCGAGGTTAATGTGGTTTCGTACTTTAGGTACAGGGACCTGGTCTGTATTGGGAATAGATGCAGAGCGGTAACGGATGGCGAAGGTTTGATCTGGCATTAAAGCAGGATTCATGTACTTGAAGCATCTGTGGTCAGTTAGAATTTGATGCATCAACATGAGAGAAATGGGGCGCCTGACCCTTGGTCCAGTTGCACCATCATGGAGGAAGACGATTCTTGGTGAGATGAAGTACGGAGAACGAAGTCCATGCGCTGGCCGGGGTATAAGACGCCCGCAGAATTGACATCTTCTTGTTGGTAGCGCTCAACATCAACGCTGTCGGCCTGAATGAGATTTATATTCTCCTGGTCGAATACGAGTGAGAACCCTGCCAGGGCACTAGGCTGCTTGTCAAAAATTGACATCATGATACGGCCTGGTGTTCTCATACCCAGTGTTTACGACACGGATCCGATAGGCCGTGTCCGGATCAAGATCCAGGAATGGGGTGTTGGGCAGCTGCGTAATACAGTCGACGGGGCGAGCAGGAACGGCCATGGAGCATTCAAAATGGCCAACTCCATTAACCAGCAACGAATCTGGCACCGGCTAGAACAGAGAACAAATATTTAGAGCCCACTCCCAACGTAAATCCTTCAAGAATAACTCGCCTCATTGGCAAAACTTCCAGGAAGTTTATACCAAGCCAAGACATCCTTCGCTGGCCGGTGGTACCAGTCTCCGACAAGCAGCAGAAGCTCCTTTTCGTAATGGAATCGCTGGGCATCACCCCGAGCACGCGACATCAAACCTCGTACGGTGGTCTTGGCCGCGGGGGCATGAACAACTAGTCCGCCGTAGAGACCATCCCCGCGCGAGACACCCGAATGAGCATGGTACCAAAATGTACCGCTTTGATCGGCCGGGATAGTGATATTATAGACAAATTGCGCAGTTGGAGCAATTGGACATTGTGAAATCCCGGCTGCGCCATCCATGGCATCTGTCAGGGGTCAACGGATTGGGTTCTCTATGATTAAAGGATTGCTGCAATCAAGGATACTAAGTACATACTGGTCACGTGAATGCCATGCCAATGGAGGGCAATGGACTCTTCCTTTACCGCGTTGGTCACGGTAATGAGGAGGGTATCCCCGGAGCGGGCTTCGATGGTGGGACCGGGGAAGAGATCTATATAGGAAGAGTGTTTTAGAGTGAGCATCTCAAACGCGAGGTATTAGAGAGGCGTGAAATGCATTGATAACTTCAGGAGCGCACCATTGATCAGATAAACCTGTTTCAGGACGCCGTCGGGTCTGCGCAGACCCGAGCTGATATGCCAATCGAGATGCTGTGTAACTGGTGGGCGAGACACATGATCTTCAGGGCGAAGCTCCATGAAGGGACGATTTGCGGCAGATAGGTCCTGGGAAGGGCGTGTCTGGAGCGGCGCAACCCAGTCGAACCAGGGGAGATGAATCCTAAGTTGAAAGATATAGGATACCATCATCAACAGACACGCGACGAGGGACCCCATCAGGAACCATGTCCGTACTGACCGGGCGGCCCTCTGCGGTGTGACGGGCTTTGTGGAGGCTGGTTCCTGCATCTGGGATAGCCTCTGACCCCGACTGTTTTGCCGCTCCATGCTGGCTCATCGAAATGTCAATTGTGAGAAACAGTTAGAAGCAACATCCAGAATGCCTTTGAAGCGACAGAGTCCGAATCGGAGAAAATTGGACCAGCATCTGAGTCAATGAATAATCTGTAGTTAACAAGTTAGCTAGGTTAGGGGGAAATGTTTAAGCCCTTGCCGCACTGACCTTCCGCGCCCTTGCCAAGGGCGCAGACCAGGTGGAGTGAGGTGATGCTAGAAAGGAAGGTGTTGTGGCTGTGAGGCCGGAGCGAAGGGAAATCCACGCAGGAAAGAAGTCGTGAGAGTGTGCAGAAAAAGAGCCAAGAGTAGGGTGTGATGCGGTGTAAATGCAGAGAAGTAGCCACGATGTCGAAGTCCTCCACGTGCTTGGAGAAGAGGAAGGGTGGAGTGGAGGCGCCCAAATGGAGCCGTGGATGGAGTTGATGATCAACAAACAGTTACGTTACAGAAACTGGAGTAAAAATATTCTTACTATACTCCATAGTGATCATGGCCTATGGTAGATCCAACTCGTATATTATGGACAGGCCAGAAAATAGACACAAGTAATCTTTTCGGCGTGAAGTACGAAGTACATAGGGTATTTATTTAACTTCAGTAGAAGCTGATGCAGACGCTGAAAGCCCCGACCTAGACAGGGTTCTGCAGTATTATTTTATATTATCCGATTTAAGTATATGACTAAAATTGCATATGTATTCGTCGACTGTTACTTGATTCTTCCCCGATCTTCTCCGATTCCCTCTTCTTCCTCTTCTTCCTCTTGTCCTTCAGCTTCTTCTTCGGCATCTTCCCCAGTTTGCAACTCGGCCAACCACATCTTCGAAACGCCCATCGTGAAACTGTCCCAGAACGAAAATAAGCTACTATGACTAACTATAACCACACGGCATAGTCCCCACTGATGCTCCTTTTAAACTATTCCTGATCCTCACTAGAGCAGCTCAATCTCCAAACTAGACCTAAATCACATCCAACACGCCCTCACGTGGGGTCTTCCGGCAGCGCAGATTGGATTTCAAGGGGAGCTCCGAAGAATGCGATCCCTACCTGTATCCCAACTCTCTCTAGCTTCACCGCGGGAGATGGAGATTCGATTAGTCACACGAGTCTTGGGTGTGAAGTGCAAAGACTCTTCATCCGCAAACTCTGCCCGTCGGTTAAGGTGGTTCATCCCGATGCGCCCCGGACTGTGAGGTCTTTAAAGGAGGAGCAGGTTGCCCCTGCTTCTCTACTTCTTCACCATTCTCTTCCATTCTCGGCACGGAAACTTCACCATCATCACTATGGTGCTGATCCTTGGAACTGTCCTCGCGGTGCTGCTGGGGAGCTCCCCCGTCACTGCGGGCTCCCTGCGCGACATCGAGCATGTCGTCATTTTCATGCAAGAGAATCGCGCATGGGATACGGTAAGTCTCTCTTCCCCGATCTGATTACCCCATCATGAGGGGTAGTGGTGATAGCCACGGATGACGGCTAACTCCAATGGTATGGATAGTACTTCGGCACGATGGCAGGTGTTCGTGGCTTCAATGACCCCAATGTCCAAGTCAACCCCGATGGACAGTCGGTCTGGAATCAGTGAGTACTTTAACCAAGCATGACAGCGTGTTTCAGTAGTTTCACGTACTAGACATAAAATTTCTCTCGGAGCTAACCTGGTCCGCCGTACAGGGTAGTTGAGCCGAGCATGTCTAACGCTACTAAAACCCTTCTGCCCTGGTACCTGGGCTATCAGGGAGGTGACTCGAATGAAGCGATTCAGTGCATCACTCCCGGTGATAACGGCTACCAGGAGAACCAGGCCTCCCTCAACCACGGTCTGAACAACTACTGGGCCCGTAACAACACTCCCTGGAGCTGGGGCTACTTCAAGCGCGAGGATATTCCCGTGCACTTCGCTATTGCTGAAGGGTGGACCTCCGGCGATATGTACCAGGTACGGCTTGACCATTATTTTTAATCCGAGAAACAAAATCAAGTAATGAACGCTAATCAGGGGATAGGAGGGGCAAGTCGCCTCCACTAACCCTAACCGTGTCACTCTAGTCAGTGGCTCCGTTAATGTACCCGGTAGCCCGCAAAACTCCACCCAGGGTGGCCCGACACTTGACAACAACGAGATTCCTGGTACGTATTCTTTTTTATCCCCCGTCTATTGATCACCTCACTCAACTAACATTCTTTGTGGAGGCTGCGATCGCCTGGGTATCAACTGCTATCCCCTGAAATGGAAGACCGTTTACGAGTTCTACGAGGAAGCTGGTGTCTCGTGGCAGGTCTACCAGGGCACTAACAACTACGACGATAACCCACTAGCCTGGTTCGAGCAATTCCAGAAGGCGAGCAATAATACTCCCCTCGCTGAGAAGGGCATGTCCTTCCTAGGTCTCGATACGTTCTACGCTGCCGCTGCCAATGGCACCCTTCCCGAGGTCAGCTTTATTGTTGGGCCTAAGGAGCTATCCGAGCACCCGCCCTGGCAGCCAAAGGACGGTGCCTGGCTACAGAAGCGGGTTGTTGATGCTGTCATCAAGAGCCCTAAGTACTCATCTACTCTGCTGATGATCAGCTACGATGGTAAGTATCATGCTCGCGTGCCTATATTCCAGAAGGAGTATGCTAATGATTGGTACAGAGACTGGTGGTTTCGGCGATCATGTCACTCCTTTCCACTCGCCCCCAGGTACCCCCGGAGAATGGATAAAGGACCCACTGGGCCTGTTTGGTGACATCTTTGTGGGACCTGGTATGTCAACAACGGTTCTATTTCCCCGAGAGTCAGCTCTGATTGGTTCGATCGTCTAGGTTTCCGTGTTCCTTTTTATATAATCTCCCCCTGGACTCGCGGCAACCGCGTCTTTACGGAGCGGGCCGATCACAACTCCCAGATTCTGTTCGTGGAGCAGTGGCTCACGGCTCGTGGGTACAAGAGCATCCAGACTGATCAGATGGTTCCGTGGCGACGTGCCCACATGTCCAACCTGGTCAATGCCCTGGATTTGGACAACGTATGCGATCACCTGGTTTCCTTATAATATTTGATAATTTGAACTGATAATGATTCAGCCCGATTTGTCTCTTCCTAGCCTGCCCGAGGCTGAGACCCCTATAACCAACAGCAATGGCGACTATGTCGGCTGGTCCCAGTGCGAGTCCAAGTTCCCCAACCCGCGTCCTCCAGTTCCTTACGGCCAGCAGCAAAACTCCACTAACGCCCTCTGGTTCGAGGATGGCTACAAGGAGGTGGTCGGTTATCTGACCGAGGGACGATACCTGGTTCCCGAGAAGGGTGGTGTAGCGCTGACGAACTCCGGCAAGCGAAACTACGTGACCGTGACCACAGCGACTGAGAATCACGAGGACAAGCACCAGCGCTGGGTCATCCACTACACCGACGATCCAGAGAGTGGGATCTTTACCATCTCCAGCGCCCTTGATGGCCGATGGCTCGGCGCTCGCGGTGCCCTGCTGGACAGCGACCAGGCCTCAGACGCCGAGCCCGTGCGCATCACCTTCCTCGGCAACGGTCTAGGATACACCCTGCAGTATGTTAATGGCAACCAGTACATTGACGTGAACCACGGTGGTCAACTCAACATCGCGACCCAGCCCCATTCGCCGGACCAGGGCTTCAAGATTTTTAGCGTGACCTATCACGACTAATGGATTCGGTGGGAGTGGAGTGGAGACTCGATGACGAGTCATTTTATTGACCCGGATGGTCTTCGTGTCCGAAATATGCATCAATTGTTCAAATGAAGATAGGCGGAATGAGACTATCTTTGAGTACTCCTGCCACCAGTCAGGATTTCAATTCTTACCCCTCCCCCTATAGACTGGGCAACCATATTTCACCACGATTATTAGACAACTGGCGTAGTAGCAGATTTAAGAAGCAGATAAGATTCAGACTGTTTACTAATTTGAAATATTCTGGTTCATTTTGTGGTATCTATCTAGTTGTTATTAGAGTTGCACGCGGGTTGGGTTTTTGATAGGTCTCCCCGCACCCGACCCAAAACCCGCTAGGTTTAGGCCTCCCCGACCCGCGGGTTCCCCGCCAAAACTAGGCTAAACCTAATTAGGTAAGATTCCGCTTATTGATCACAGATCTTACCTAAATAAGCCTAGTATAAAGACTGTTTAAGCTCTATATCTCTACCAATTCTATATATATAGAATTGATAATAAATATATATATATATATATATATTCTATATCTACATAAAAATCTAGAAAAAATTTAGAATATCGGTATTGTAATGCCAAGAAAAACCCGCTCGGGTTCGGGTTGGGTCCAGCGGGGAACCCGATCAACTCTAGTATAGAGCAAATTCTTAGATAAGTTTTTAAAATATATAGAATATTTTAGTAGCTGCATTATATAAAGATAGATGTAAGAATATGTTTACAGGAAGACTAAAGTATAATATAAAATAATATAAAACTAGATTATTATGTGGCCCTTTTTAAAATTAGTATTCTTTTATAAGTGTTGCCTTAAGAAAAGATAGAATATATGAGTATCTATATAGAATAGGCTCTGATATGAGGTAATTATAGCTATAAGAAATTTAGTACCGGCCAGTCCAGCGTATAAGAGAGCTGATATAGAAGTAGATTACTTATAAGACTAACCAAGGATAACTGGAAGCACAGGAGTGTCCTAGGGCCGGATGTAGAGAATATCTATTTAGAGAAGCTCTGGGCCCTGGGGAAACGACTTGTATTTTATACTGTAGATTTATCTCTATTGGCCGAATATAACTACTGGGGTAGTTATATACTTAAATTTCTTTTATTGGGACCTCGCTTAGACGATCTGAATTATTGAAATAGGACGTGGGCAATAATATCAGCTGGTGTCTTCCGGGAAAGATCATTCCGTCCCTTCTTGCTCATTGGTTTTGGGATAGGGGACGATGATATGACCAGAGATTCATTGGAGAAAGTCTGGAGATCCATGCTAAGCGACATAAGAAGCGGGAAGCCGATTGAACTTGGAAGGGGTAGTGTTTTTGGGGGCGGATATACTGCGCTGTCTATATTGCCATTCAATTTGAGGTGGATACGAGTATTAAAGTCAGCCAGCTAGGTAGCGACTGAAGCCCTCGGACAATTTAAACTATTTAGTTCTTGATAAGAGAGCACAGAAACTCCGATAATATCATCTTCTAAGATAATTAATCCAACTAGCCGTGGCGTTGTATGGCACCGCGGCCTAATTTATACTGCTAGGCGCCTTGAAATTTTACTTCCATAACTCTCATTTAGAATTCAGCCAATATAATCGGCAAGACTCAGGGAAGATATGGATAATCTAATAAATGTCTCTTTTACATTCGCTAATCGGAGTCTATCATGTAACCTTCTGTTATAAGCTCAGGGCCCATCGATGTCACACACTGGCTTACCAAAGGTCTTCTAATGCCATGACGCACCTCTGGTCTTAATTAGCCCTATACGGCGTAGTATATACCTGTCTTATGAATAACTACACACCCTGTTGGATTTGGCAATATGCTTTATGACTTCTCTCGGGCTTCGATGGCCCTGTGCTTCCCAACACTCGTTTCAAAATACTCCTTCACCTTGGCTCGAGCGACCTCGACCACGACCACATCCTCGACGGTGCTGGGAACTGCAACCTCTTTTGCAAACTCTCCATGGACACCATTGTCGACCAATTCTCGGAGCACCCGTCGCAGCGTCTTCCCCGATCTTGTTTTGGGAATCATGCCCTTTCCTTGGATCATGCCCCCGATCGATGCAAAGGCGCCCACTTGCTTGCGCACGAGCGACTGGATCTCGAGAGCAATCTTGCTATTAGGTACAACAGACTCGGGGTGGTCAGATTGAGTGAGAGTGATGAATGCGAACGGCAGTTGGCCCTTGAGCTCGTCGGGAATGCCGACGATGCAGGCTTCCGCCACCAGTGGATGAGAAGAGATGGCTTGCTCGATGGCTCCTAATAGTCTTGTTAGTAATCCAAACAACACTGTTGCTACTTTCTGACGTACCGCTGGACAGTCGATAGGCACTGACGTTGAGCACGTCGTCGTTTCTACTCATGACATGCACATAGCCCTCTTCATCAATCCACCCTGAGTCTCCGGTATCGAGAAATTTTCCATCAAATCGCTTCAGATAGCTTTTGTAGAATCTTTCCTCGTCGCCCCACAGCGTGCGGAACGCGGTCGGCGCCAGCGGCAATCCCAAGACAATATTCCCCATAGACCCGGGCTCTACTTCATTACCCTTGTCGTCCACGACGCGCACATCAAACCCTGGCATCGACTTCCCAGCACTTCCAGGTTTCACGGGCGGTGGTGGATAGTCCCGTAGGCTCGTCTTGCGGTCCTGCCCCGCATGCGGCGTGAGTGCTCGCCCCGTGATGGGCGAACCGGCCTCTGTGGACCACCAGTTGTCGATAACGTGACAGGATGGTGCGCCATATTGAGTCAGAAGATTCTGGTACATAGAGATCAGGGTAGGTTCTGAACGCTCGCCCGCCAGGAAGAGTGCTTTGAGGGATCGTAGCCCTCCGCGCTCACCAATCTTCGAGAGCGATTCGTTATTCGGATCGTCATTTTTGATGGCTCGAAGGGCCGTCGGCGCCGTAAACATGGTATTGACCTTGTACTCCTCGACGACTCGCCAAAAGGCAGACGCGTCAGGAGTCCCCACCGGCTTGCCTTCGTATAGCACTGTGGAAGCGCCCGCGAGCAACGGTGCGTAGAGGATGTAGGAGTGGCCGACGACCCAGCCGATATCTGACGCCGTGAAGGACACGTCGTTGGGGCCATGGATATTAAAAATGTAGCTGATGGATAAGTGTAAGCCCACAGCGTGTCCACCGGTGTCGCGACGCACTCCCTTGGGGGCGCCTGTTGTCCCGGAGGTATGCATAATATACACGGGATCCTCGCTCTTGACCGCTACGCAATCGGCTTTGATCCCTCGCGCCTTTGCGCTACTAACATACTCTTGCCAGGACACTTGGTTTGCGCAAGTCGTCTTGCCTCCAAAGATTATACTTTGCAGCCATCCCCACTGGACGCTCCACCAGCTCTTAATCTCCCAGCGCAATTGCTTTCGTTGCCAGATCACAGTGCTCTCGGGCTTGTGCGAAGACAGATCGATCGCCTCCTCGACCAGTGGTTGATAGGCGATGGGAGGCCTATTCCCAACAATGCCACAGGAGGCCGTGAGGAGAGCAACTGGCTGACAGGCGTCAATGCGCTGAGCTAGCGCATTCGGTGCAAAGCCGCCAAAAACAACTGAATGGATGGCTCCAAGACGGTTAACTGCGAGGATTCCAATTAACGCCGCGGGGATCATCGGCACTGGGTTCAGAATCAGTCCGATGCGATCGATGCCATGGCATCCTAGAGGCACACCTACTATACAGCATTACCACGTCTCCCTTCTTGACGCCTTCTTCCCTAAGCGCTCCGGCTAAGGTCTCAACCTCATCAAGAAGTTGTTTGTACGTATATCTTTCCTTCGTATTGGTCACCGGACTGTCATAGTATATGGCCACCTTGTCCCCGTTGCCGGCCACTACATGACAGTCGACACAGTTATAGCAGGTCGATATCTCGCCGCCGGAGAACCACTCCCACGTCGGGTGAACGGTACCGTCTGGAAGTGTCTGCTCGGCCATTCGGAGTGTGGTGTCTGGCTTCTTGTGCCAATGGAGGTACTCCGCTTGGCGCGCCCAGAATTCCTCTGGGTTCTGTAAGCTTTCGAGAAGAACCTCATCCTGCAGATGTGGCTGCGTCGGCAATCGGGGAGCCATGATGCCCATGCGTAGGACAAGGGACGCGCGATGGCCCCAAGCGACGGTTTCTGTCCTTGCGGGGACGTTTGCAGCTAGCCACGATAGTTTTTTTGATGATGTTTTTCAATTCCAGTATATAAATGCTGAATGTACGGCTTCCGCCTACATAATAAGAGTTTAACCTGCGTTTCAATAGTTATAGAAGTCTACCATTAGCAATGCCGTGTTCTAATGTTTTTATGGTTCTTCAGCCGTTCGGTCGTTCGGCGGCTGCACAGGTTTTGGGGTTAGGGCCCGAATCTTGGGTTCCACCCACACCTAGCAGGTTTATAAGACTAGCATACTAAGATTGATGAGAGACAAGCATTTACTGTTGAATAACATTTCTTTGGATTTCTCATCCCTTGCTCGATTGAGATCTGAGCAGTAACAATGGCTTTCGGCACTATCTACACCTTCCCCGTAAGTGGTCGATCATCTCCCTGCCCCTACATATAATAACAATTCCATTCCAGGGCGACCAGCCTCGGACCATCGCTATCAAAGCGGTCGCTAAGGCCAACAACCTCGATCTCAAGATCGTTGAAGAGCCCAAGACCCCTGCCCACTTTGCGGTGAGCAAACTGGGCAAGGTTCCTGCGTTTGTCGGCGAGGATGGCTTCATGCTCTTCGAGTGCATGGCCATCGCCATTTACAGTACGTCGATGCCCTCCTTTTCGTACGCCCGAAGCTCACATGGTATTAGTCACCTCCCAGAATGAGGAGACTACGCTCCTCGGAAAGACGAAGCAGGACTATGCCAACATTCTGAAATGGATGTCCTTCTTCAACTCTGAAATCATCATCCCCCTTGTCGAGAAGTATCTTCCCTTGGTCGGCATCCGTCCCTACAACAAAGAGACGGTGGATATGTTCGCCAACATGGCCCAGGCAGCTGTTGACGTGGTGGAAGAGCACCTGGACGGCAAAACCTTCCTGGTCGGTGGGGAGATCTCTCTGGCCGACATTTTCTGCGCCGGGATTATCTCCCTCGGCTTCATGTTCTTCTATGGCAAGGAATGGCGCCAAGCCAACCCCAACGTCTCTCGTTGGTTTGAGCACATTATCAACCAGCCCATCTACTCTGCTGTCACCGAGAAGATCGAATTCCTCGACGAACCAAAATTGACCAATGTGCCCCCCAAGCAAGGTGAGGCCGAGCCTGCTCCTGAGACCCTCAACTAAACCGTCGGAGCGTTAATCCCCACAACTGGCTCTCGAGATATATCAAGTAGCGATGAAGTCTTTGTTGAGTGGTACTCTCTATAGGGGTTAGATGAGGAGAAACGAAACGAAACGATCCTGATCGTACACCAAAAGGCCTACCATCTTCCGAAACCACTCTCGGAACGGGCTTGTTCGCTGCGTGTCAATATCGAGAGTACTCACTCTAACTTTCAAACATACCTCATCGCATGCACCGAAGCGACTCAATCTCTTCAGCTGGTCAATTATAGAGTCGCCATTGCGGTCGGGGTGATACCGGGGACTGTTCAGATCCAGTTGAGCTGAAAAGGACTATGATTGTAATGTTAATGACAAACTTTGTGATCGTGTTTATTCTGTGGTGTATAACTCAATGAACATCTATATTCCCAGCCTAGTGTTCTTTTATTCGATCTCATTCATCGCTTAGGGCACCTTTCATAAGGTAGAAATTCCAAGACTTGGACCAATAGTCTGCTTCACGCCGAAGCGCATGCTTCGGTTTCACATAGTTGAATCATATAGAGGCTAGACCTATCTGATACTTCTAATGGCAATCCTCCGCAGGAGGGTACGTACACACGGTGCCGAAAGCATCCAGACCACCGACATCTCGAGCTTACCCAGAGCTGGATATCAACCCCGAACAACCGACGCTAATTTAGACAGAAGGGCCAGGATATGGAACACCATAGGATAATAAGGCCTTGATCTATAGAACTAGATAATCATACAGTTGCCATTCTCTTTCTATAGTATCTCAACTCAATCATGATAGGTCTAAACCAGCTACTGGCTGTCAAGCCGGCGCCGCTTTTAGGAGCGCTAACGGCAGCGATATTTTTCGCTTTCTACGGGCACCCCCGCTACTTTCTTCAAGGTATACAACACCTACCGGAAGAGCATACAATTACACGCGCAAAGGCCCAGGTGGGCGCCGACCACAAGCAGCAGCAACCTACCGAGTTACCCTACCCAGCGGATGCTTTTCCTGGAGGAAGGCGAGTTCAGACAGTATACGGAACAATTCAGGTGTTTGAATGGGGACCCGAACATGGCGAGAAGGTCTTGTTGGTGCACGGTCTGGGCACTCCATGCATTGCCCTGGGGAATATGGCAAAGGAGTTTGTGCGTAGGGGCTACCGGGTGATGATGTTCGGTGAGCCTTGTCTTCTCATTCTGGCGATATAGATACACTACTGCAAGGAACCACCGTTGCTAACAATTGTACCGCAGACCTCTTCGGTAGAGGCTATTCAGAAACGCCGAATGATCTCCCACATGATGCTCGGCTCTACACTACGCAGGTTCTGCTAGTTCTCTCATCTTCCCCGCTCGCCTGGACGGGGTCATCCGCCTTCCATATCATAGGATTCTCCCTCGGCGGCTCGATCGCGGTCGCATTTGCCGCTTACCACGCAACCATGCTTCGTTCAATAACTCTCATCTGTCCGGGAGGACTAATCCGCACATCGCATATCAGCCGCCGAAGTCAGGTCCTCTACTCATCTAGTTTCATCCCAGAGTGGCTACGCCTCCGACTCCTTCGTCGCGACCTGGAACCGAGCAACGGCGCTCCAAGTGCAGATGTCCCCGATGGAACCCAGGACGCAGATGTTGACTTCGACGCAGTGCCGATTGCGGCGGATCGACCGCAGGTGAGGATCGGTGACGTGATCCGATGGCAGCTCCGCGCCAATCCGGGATTTGTACCATCGTATTTAAGTACCATCCTAGGTTCTTTGGTCTATAGGCGCTATGACCGAATATGGAAAGTCCTGAGAGACGAACTGGCGCGTCGTCGAACAGCAGATGCACCACCCGGTCTACCGTGTGGACGTGTTCCCTGATTCTCGCGGAACGGGATGTTATCGTCGTGAAAGATGAATTTCTCGAGGATATGGAAGGGCTTCTCTGTCGCGAGGATGTTGACTTGCACGTCATGAAGGGTGGCCATGAGATTGGCGTGTTGCGAGGCAAGGACGTGGCATCCATAGCTGTAGAATCTTGGAAATAGACAACTTTAGACCTACAGACATACAGCCTCGATGATGCATACCACGCAGACTTCGGATTTCGCAATCTACTACATAGACCGGTAGTACAACCCTCCATACCACGAACCTAACGCCAGCATAATCTAGGTTTTTGCCCTATTCTTCATCACCATCAACATAGTACAAGATCAGAAATATATTCTTGCAAATATACAACCATTGGTCTGTAAAACGACTCTCCGCATGCCACCCCTAGTCCATCTTCAATCTCTCAGCCGCGCTCTGGACAATCTTGACCCGCTCGGGGTCTCTAGGTTCAATCCTGCAACCAAACCGCATTGGCCTCGGCGCTGGTACTGGCTCATACTCTAGTGTCTCCCGAATTTCATTTCCATCTTTATCAAGTGGCCAACCGATATTCACAGCCCAACCCAACTTAGCGAGCAAAATCACCAAACTCCGTTCCGCGAAGTCTACTCCAGGGCAGGCTCTTCGACCATAGCCAAACGCAGGATAACCTTGGCAGGTAGGGTAGACAGTGAGAGGTTCCTTGTAGGTCGGATAGCTGGGCTCCAGCCAACGGGCGGGGTTGAACAACTTTCCGTCGGGATACATCTCCTTGTCCATCAGGATAGATCTGGCACAGTTAACAGGCCTGAAGAAGGCCAATGATGCTGATGAATATCACTTACGCAAAAGTTGCATGGAACACAGTTCCCTTCTCGAAGGCGTATCCGTTGTAAATATCATCCACTTCCAAACAATGACTGATTCCCATCTCCGCCATTATAGACCGGTATCGGACGCCCTCCTTAACAATCGCTCTCACTGTCGGCAGGTTAGGGACATCTTGGTAGCTAGGCATTGTACCCTTGCCAACAACTTCGTCAACCTCCTTCTGAAGCTTCCTCTGCCAGTCCGGGTACTCCATCATCAGGAACAAGAGTGTGAGGAGGTTATTATGCGGGGAGCGGGTGCCACCGTCGATCATGGCTTGAAACACATGAACGGACTCTTCATCGGTCACGGTGTAATCACCCCGATTCAACAGGAAATGCTTATAGATAGAGTCCATGGCCGACCCGTCCGTGATACTTGCCTGGATCTTTCTCCGAAACGACCACATCTGGCCCACATATTCCTTTCTGAGGGTTTCCATCTTTTGCAAACTGGGGACCAGCCAGTGGGGGAAGTGCTGCAAGATGGGGAAAACATTACTGGGAAAGCAATCCGGACGAAAGGAGTTCATAATTTCCGCCGTGAAGTCCTCATTGTCGCGAATGAAGGGATCTGATGCCGAAGGGATGGAGAACCCCAGCATGGAGCTCGTCAGAACCGAGTAAGCATAGCGAAGAAACTCGTCGTGGAACGACGACGGCGACTGGATCAGTGCGGATAGAGAAAATGTCGCTTCATCGTCCATCAGGCTTTGGTAAGTATTAATTGCAGCCATAGAGACAGCGCTGTGTAACATTTTTCTCTGGCGGCGCCATCCCTCTATTGGTCATTAGCATCGATGATCGACATTCAGTGGGGTAGGGTACACAGCCTACCGTCCTTGTTTCTGAACCCAGGGCTTTGCTTCATCGAGATGTATTCTACCGCATGGGGAGCTCCACGATCCGAATACCGATTTCCTCTCTTAACGAACAGCTCATTTGCAATCTTCTCCTCCGACAGGATTACTTGCTTTGCGCCCATGAGGCTGATCTGAGTAATGGGACCATACTGCTCAGCCCACTTGCGGAATATATGGATCATATCAGTGCTGTCAGCCGAAGCCAAATCCATGGCATTTCCCACCAAAGGCCATCCTAGAGCAGCATCGTCATTCACAACATCCTAGCAAACAGAACCAAAAGGAAAGAAATAAAGAAAGACTACAGCACTGTACCTTTGGGCCCTGGAGGTGTCTTAGCGCCTTTCATTCGCTGACGCCTCACGACACTCCCAGCGACATAATGCAGTACGAGTCCCAGCAGCGGGAGCCACCACCATTGCGATAGCAGAGTCATTTTTAGAGCGGATATTGGCTCTTCTTCCACGGTGCTAGGCTTCACACATTCGCTTCCTCTATCATTGTGCACAGTGAAAACTCGCAGATGGCCTATTAATTACAATAGTCTAGACCCTAACGTAAGCTAAATGTAAATCGTACTAAAATCTGGACTTCACTCTTCCACAAACCCTGCTCATTCGGAACCCAGTCTATTATGAGAATGTACAAAAGCCGCATACGCTCGGACTTGGTATTCGTGTTATCTCCATACATACGTTACGAGACTGTGTAAACGTATTCTAGTTCCGTAGTTCGGCGGAGAGATTATAGTTGGAATCGGGCATGATGTTCGGGCCCACCTTTCGGCATCTTAACTCAGTCTGGCGTCCATTCGGTACGTTAAACTCATTCCAGTACGGCGCCGACTCGGTTCGGACCGAATTGCCCAAGTCAGAATCTATTAGGGTTTCGGTTTAAGGTCGTTTGTCCTTCGGATGGTTGGTGTTTTTTCTGTCTGGCATGGTTCTTTTCTGAAAGAATTGTAGCTGTACATAATAATCGTGCACAGACACAGAGTGTCCTAATTATGGATTTTGTGAACGGGATGACATTCCCAACAATATTATTGGCAAATTAGAATACAGTTACTGGTCTTGGTGAAAAGAATTAAATAGGCGAACTCAATCGAATGGGAAATCAAAAATCCGACCCTTGCGCTTGCTAGGATGGTGCAACGAGTCACAGCCTATGGAATAATCGTGTGTTTTTCAGTGCCAAACCAAATAGATCTTTGTCTTCTCTTGTTACCATCTATGAAGTCTGAAAAAAGAATAGTGTACGAGGACCAAGCATACAGCTCAAGGTTCTATTGAAATTCCCAAACGACAGTATTCTATAAGGTTGCATAAAGTTCAAGAAATTATTCTCATATTCAATGGAAGCAAAGATCGTCAATATGTACATCTAAAATAAGAAAACAAAATAAACCATGTCAACGCGATATGCATCTAGATCACCACCCCTCACTCATTTCGACGGCTCTTTTCCATCAGTGGCACTCTAATCACACCCTTGGAGGCTAGCAGGAACGAGCCCAGAACCTCATCCAAGCCCTCCCCAAGTGCCTTACAAACCCACTCTTGCAGTGGCAACACACTGAACGAGCCAACTGCGGAACCTTCTAAGTACTCCTTCAACTGATCAACCGGCACAACTTCCTCGCCACTCTGGTGTACGTAGTTGAGCACGTTGTCAGACTCTCGCTGCTTCTTGTTGGTGCTTGCCACCGCGCAGTTCGCAATGTCTCTCGAGACAGTATCAACATGAATGAAATCAAACGCTCCTGTAGAACCGGTAAGATCAGGAACGGCCTTCATCAATCTAGAGTATCGCAACACACTGTGGACAATGTCCAGGGCCGGCACATTGTCACCAGTAATGCTGCTAGGACGGTGGATCCAAATTTGCCCGCGGAACTGCTTCTGAAGCTTCTCGAGGAAGACTTCACTCGCCCACTTCGACGCGACATATCCGTCCGAGCCGTCAACCGGTGGATGGAAGGCCGCCAATGACGACTCAGGCTGCACTGAGGCGCCACTCAGCCTAGTGACACCACCTGTAGAGATGTAATGGATCGGAATTTGCCCACGTACAGCCAGACGGGCAAGTTCAACGGTAGACTGGAAATTAGTAGTTCGCAAGGTGCGATAGTTTTTCATGTGCGATACTTCGGCTCCGTTATGAATAATGACATCAACATCAGTGAACAGATCATCCACTTCCGCTTGGGTCATTCCTAGATCGGAGAGCGCGAGATCGCCGGCGTGGCGCACGATCTTTGGCGAGTCGACGCCCAGTTCTCGAGGCTCGCCCTGGCCATTAGGGCGAAGAGCTGCGCAATGAACACGGGTTACGTGGGAAGATTCAACTAGTTGGCGTAGAATAGCAGTTCCCAAGAAGCCTGTGGCTCCCGTGAGGAGAACAGAAATGCCCTCAGCACTGCGAGTTGAGGTCCTCTGTTCAGTGGGTGGTACGAACATCTGCTCATCCACCTTTGTTTCTTTTTCCCAGTCGATCTGCGAATTCTGGAAATTGCCCGTGAGCCGTGAAGCTAGCAATTCGAGAGTACTAGCTTGGAAAAGCTCCGGTAGGGAGAGATCAATTGCAAATACTCGACGAATCTCTGCCTTGAGGGGTAGCAGAAGCAAAGAATTACCACCAACGGAGAAGAAGTCGGAGCTGCGATGGATAGGCACAGAGGAGGATGTCTCACCTAGGACACGTCTCCAAACTTCTCGCAAGCGCACCTCTTCTTCCGTGAGTTTCTCGTTGGTCTCCTCCTCGACAGAAACCAACGGCAAAGGCAAAGCCGCCAATTTGCGGCTGTCAAGCTTACCTCTTTGTGTTACCGGGAGGATATCTAAGGAAATCATGACTGCTGGGCGCATGTGCAGTGGCATCTGAAGCTCCTGGCTGAGTTGACGCAGATAGGTTCCCTTGTCGTGAATTTGGCTGGTCCTAGAGAACACAACATAAGCGACGAGCTGCTGGTTACTACTATCACCTCGGACTAGAACAGCCACATCCACGAGATTGCCGCGGGATGCTTGCACAATGGCTCTGGAGACATCGTTCAGCTGAACCCGCATGCCTCTAATCTTCACCTGGTCGTCTCCATCAATACGTCCAGATATCACGATGGAGCCGTCCGAGAGCATCCGACCTTTATCGCCGGTGAGGTAAAGCCTATCCCAGCCGGAAGGTCCCTTGACCAAGGCGTGGTCCTTGAACTTGCTCTCAGTAAGCTGAGGGAGACCAAGGTATCCACTCGCGACACCTGGCCCACTGATTGCGATTTCTCCAGGCCATCCAATGGGAACAGGGTTGCACTGGTCATCAACAATGTAAGTTCCGTAATTGGCAATAGCCATACCGATGGGAATGCTGAAGTCGATTGCGTTGCCAGCAGGCAATACTTCATGCATGGAAGAGCAAATAGATGCTTCAGTCGGGCCGTATGCA